GAGAGTTTCTTAACAACTTATTTGCTAAATACCGGCGAAAATACAGGAATTAGCTAAATAATTTTTGTTTCATGCAAATGTCGGAACACTATATATTTGAATGAATGTTATTTCAATCAAAAATTTATACCCAGAAGGAAGTTATTGTGGAAACAAATTTCCACTTTTTCAATGTAAACGCCACCTTAAAGCGTTTGAAAATCACAAATCAATTAGCCAAGCATGTATCAGGTAACATTTTTATGTAAATCGTGAAAACAATGGCGAAACGCAATAATTTTAACCCTCAAACAGCATTTATGTCTCACGAACAAGTGGCGTACACATTTTCGTAGTGGTTTTAATGTTGAAAAACACGGAAGCAGAAGAAGACTATAAGGAGTATAAAACTAAAAATTATCCACGATTTGGCTACATGACAACTTAATTTAACTTCCACAAGTTATAGATGAGTGTGGGAAAAGTTCCAGGAATTTGCCCTATAGTCCCGAACTATAGCACTCTGCAACTATTTTACCCCAAGCTAAAAAACACTTACGAGGTTAAGGATTTTCTTATGAAGATATCCAAAAAGATGCTGTTAGTGACTACATATTTTCAATAGCTACAAAAGATTTTTTAAAGGTATCTTTTTATTGCAAAACAGTAGAATAAGTACCTACCTCGGTACCTACATATGTGAAAAAGTAAATATCTGTCATATTCAGGAAGATTATATAAAAATTTGGTGGGGGTAGCACAGATACCACCAGCGCATTCGCGATTTTGCCCTTTTATGTCTAAATGTACCAAATTTGGTTCCAATCGGTTTAGTCGGAAATGAGGGTACAGACGGACCGACATCATCGAGATTTTGTTTGATTCGGATCCCTGGTGGTTCAATTAGTGTATTTCCCTAAAAAAAGCGAGAGGTTATTTTTTACCCCAATGCAATACCTCCCTTATAATGTGCGAGTGGTAAAAATGTCGCCTCGTATAATAGGCTATAGGTACTATTTTTATTATGCCAGCATATTGCCTCGCATATTGTATGATGAAAAGAAATAGATAGTAAAATATTATTGCGCAGTATATCGGTAAAGGCGCTTACTTTCTACTGTAGACAAATTACTAAACTTTAAGATGATAGTACTTTCTGATGTGAATATCTAAATAATCCTCTAAATTGAACAGAAATTAAATTCACTTTACCTATCTATTAATTGCAAGTGAAATTTTCCTACATTTGAGACAATAATGAAAGTAGGTAAAGATCCGTACCTCCAGATTGAACACGCATCTACGTGTATTTACAATAGGAATCGGCATTCACTTAACAATTCAACTATTAATGATGTTTGTACCCCTGTAAAAGGGGGTCCGTAACCAATTGTGATGATAAAATTTGGTATCTGGTTGTTTCTCAACGTGAGAATGACGAATACAAATTCAATTTTGCAATTATTGCCGGACAACAAAAATAGTAAAAATGTCACGAAATTTGGTATGTACAGGGTGGTTGAAATTCGTGGCTCACCATTGAGAGATGCAGTGTAAGATAAATGGGGCCAAGATTGACCCTTTATGTGACTAAACCACGCATTTAAACTTTTTAAAACATCCTTGAAAATAACTATAGATAAGATGATATCGTCGAAAAACTGAAAATGTCCAATTTTCATTTTCCCTAGCTTTAACGGTCGGAAATGGACGGTTCCCGTTAGCATCTTCTATGGGCACTTTTTTTCGGATAGTCTGAGTTTCCAGAGCAGAGCACGCTAGATGTAAAAGATACAGGCTTATTTCTTATGTACGCCACATTGGATTTTTACGGAATAAGACAAAGGACAGAGGGCAAAAAAAGAAATTCATTTGAATGCATCGCTTCATTTTGAAATTTTTCTCGCAAATTTCAATAATAGAGTGTGACACATCATTATTTTTCTTTTTTTCTTCTATCTCATTTCGTAAAAATCCAATATGGCGCCCATAAGAAACAAGAAAGTAGTAGGTACCTACCCTATAACATACGGAGTGTCAATTTTAAAACTTGCAATCGGCCATATTTTCCAAACTAAAGAAGATATTGAATATCGCGCAAAACCGTTTCGGGGGTATCGATGGGGAACCAGAATGACGTTATGAGTGATAACCCCCCACCCCCCAACGCCCCTCTTCAAAAATCCTAAATGGCAACCCCATACTTGTGGCACATCGTTGGAAAGCTACTGAAAAATGCTTTCCAGTGGTACCAATAAAGTCAATATTCATCGAGACAATTTAACAAAAATTTAATAATGACTTCAACCTGAGCTACTTCATTAAGTTGGTTGATTTCTTTTTTATTGATAACAGATCTCGTTTCTTCGAATTTAGCGACCAAATCTTGAACATAGGCATGGCTTAATAATTATATTAATTATAAAATTGTTGTTAAATTGTCTTAATGAATATTGACTTTATTGGTACCACTGGAAAGCATTTTTCAGTAGCTTTCCAACGATGGGGTTGCCATTTAGGATTTTTGAAGAGGGGAGGCTGGAGGGTTAAGGGATGGTGAGGGGTTGTCACTCATAACGTCATTCTGATTCCCCCTCGAAACCCCCGAAACGGTTTTGCGCGATTTTCAATATCTTCTTTAGTTTGGAAAATATGGCCGACTGCAAATTTTAAAATTGACACCCTGTATACATCTAACGTGTTATGGAAGATTCTCCGATTATTTTCAGAAGGTGTTAACGAGACCATTTCTGACCGTTTGAGGTAGAGAAAACGAAAAAGAAATTTGACATTTGCAGTTTTTCGGTGACTTTCAAAGATTTTTTCAAAATTTCAAATGCGTTTTTTTGGTCACCAAAAGGGACAACTTCGTCCGCATTAACCTACACTGTATCTCTCACCGTTACGGAGATCCCAATAGTGAACCACGAATTTGAACCGCCCTGTGTAGAGTCTTTTAATTTCCAGACCCCGAAAATGCAAACCTTTATTATCCAGGGGAATATTGGGAAACGGTTTTCACGTTGTCATGCGGTCAATAATAGCCATTACGCTTACCAACCCTTTGGGCTTTAATTATATGTAAAAGTATACAGTGTGACACGTCATTATCTTTCTTTTTTTGGTCTCTATCTCATTCCGAAAAAATCCAATACGGCGAAATAAGAAAGTAGTTGCCAGGTAGCCTGTAGCTTCTACCATTGTATATAGTATATACATACATCTTATATACAGTGCTTCTACATCTAGCGTTTTATGAAAATTCTTATAACAGATAAAACGTGCTAACGAGAACCATCCATTTCCGACCGTTTGAGCTAGAGAGAAAATTAAAACAAGGCGTTATAATTTCACGATTACTGCATTTCCTTATATCTCCTCCAGTTTTTGAGATATTTAGCTCAAATTTGGAATATAAGTTATGTTTAAGGGCTTACACAGAGCCTGCTATAGGCCCTGACTTAAATCATTGGTCGTGTCAATGGTAATAAGAATCTACAGGGTGATATTTTCAAGGGTAATGTTCCATTTTCTATTCCTGAACTATTTTTCGATGTACCCATGGTAGATTGTATAATAAGGAACTCATTTTCTGGTTTAGTAAGAAACTTTTGAACCCTTGTAACTCTTTTCTATCTGCGACGGTTATCGAGAAAAAAAATTAAAATCAAATTTCTGTAGTTGCGAAATGGTCCAGTAGACCCTGAATTTATTTGTATCTCTTGTTTTTGTTAGTAGATACCGACAGTTTGTATTTGAAATTGTGTTTGTCGGAGATATAAAAAAAAAACCGTGAAATTATATCACCCTGTAGATTGCTAATGAAGCGTTTGCCAAAGCAAAAGAATTACTCCAGTCAACACGTAGTTTATTGATAGAAAAAGCTCGGAAATTAATGAAACTTGGGGATGTTATTCAGGGATGATTAACAAAGATTTTCTCAAGTTTTGGACCTCGAGGACTTCTGTGCGAAAAGAGAAGATGGGGGAAAAACTGTACAAATTTTTACATTCCTACGGATTTTCTTAAATAACTACGGCAAAAGCCTCGTCCATAAAGACCCAGTTTATGTACTTGATATATAAATAGCTATTATAACACTGACATTTTAAACCGTTTCTAAGATTCATTTAAACTCCTCGTTTCTTAAGTTATCTATAAACTTCAATGTTTCTTACAAAATTTGTCGTCAATGGCAACGTCCTTTATACACTACTTAAAATACGCTGCTTAATTTTTCGTACCTAATGTTGTTGATTCTATTACCATGGTTACTACCTACACCAATTTTGAGAAATATTTTTCTCTCATGATAAAATATTAACAAAAGACGAATTCAGATTAACTATGCTTCAGTGTTATAAAAAATCTTGGAAGATGACACGGTCGCTCGGATGTAAATGGGCTTTAAAGTATCTATAAAACACCTAGATATAAAAGAAAACTGTGTCCCTAATTTGAAACTATTTGATTTGGTGTTAGTTCTATATAGGTACATTCGACAAGCAATCCTATGTCATATACCAGAAATCAATTTTTTTGGTCGACTATTTGGACAATCATATTACTATTTGGGTGGCAAGGTTCAACGGTTTCCTCGGGTTACATACGTGTACTAAGTGCTGGGCTTAAAATATAGACATGACCAGTGAAAAATATTCAATATCATAAAACAACTCAATTAAATTAAAAACCAGATCGCAACTTATTCAAGGCTTCCTAAGAAGTAGCGATAGTTCGTGTTAGGGACAACCCAATTAATTATTATGTAATATAGGTATGCATAACTGTAAAAATCAATTAAAATAAGCGGGTATTGATTTACAAAGCAAAAGACAAATTTGATTGTTTATTGAGTAGCATTTATCTATGAAGACACCGCACCTTAATAATTAACAGTAAAGCGTGTCTAACAAAAAACCTTTTGAAAATAAAAAATTCTTGCACACGTAATGAATTAGTATGCAGATGTTGCTAGGTAATACGAGACACGAATTTTAATTATTTTCGCGTAATTCTAGACGTTCTTGATGATGGATTTATTTGTCCCGATGGTCCCGTACCAGGCCCAAATGGAAGACCATTACCTCACCCGACGTTTGCACATCCCGACGACTGTCAAAAGTTTTACATCTGTAGGAATGGCATTCAACCACAAAAAGGATCTTGCTCGGTCGGTACCGTTTACAATGAAGATACTTTCACCTGTGATGACCCTGACAATGTACCCGGATGGTATGTACGCATTCTTTTTAATAACAAAGTCAAAAGACGTTTTCATTGCAGTGAAAAATACTACGAAGGAAGAAAGGTTTAATTACACGTTACACAACGTTTTCTAATTACTTAATATGTGTGTTAGATTAATTGTATTTGAAAAATAAAGTTCTTTGATTATTTAGGGAATGTATTGCTTACATAATCTGTTACCTATAATCAGAGCAGTGAAAGCTAAAATTCAAATGGGTTATTGCTTTTATAAAAAATTGTACGACTGTGTTAAATATTGTTGAAAATTTTAAACAATGCTGAAGGTAATCCAGTTTTAATGAACTTTATCAAGTAAACCGGTCAAATGCCGTTTTTGGTGGAGAAATCGCGAATGTCACCAATAAGTATTTAAAAAAATCAGTTTTGTTGTTTTACATCATTAACTTTCTCTCAATTTCTTTTCGAATTTATATTGTTAACATCGAAATTACCGCATATTATCTTGGCTTTTACAACAGATCCCTGTTAATTGGCAGTGTGGGTTCATAGTACGTATATCACTGATTATAAATATTGAATAGAATTAGTGAAGGGTATGTACCCAACAGACGGCGGCGTGCGAAGCAGTAGCAGCTAGAAAGTGTTGTAAACGTTCTACGGTCAGTCATCAAGGATATTTCAGCATGAAAGGCTTCCTAAGTGTAACCGTGGTATTCGCAGCCCTTGTTTTTGGTGAGTTTGACAAATTTGTATAATTTTGTCTATAACCAAAATTGCTAAGTAGGTAATGCTATGTTATTACACGCCTATTTGTGAATGGGCATAAAAGTAGTAGTTGTAGATTTCTTTGTACACGATGTTGAAGTTGTATGTCAACTCTCTACGTTGCAACTGGTAATTGAACATATTTAGTTCATGAAAGTTGTTTCTTTAGATTTTTATCCCTTTTCGTGATCTGGTTCACTTGTATAGATTTCATTTTTGTTTTCATCGCAATAATAATGCCGAATGCAAAAGAATTTGAAATTTAATTCTTTTCACTTTCTAGCACAAGGGGGTGTACTCGTTCAAGACGCACCCGCTTGTCCAAATCCAGAAGGAGTGCACGCTTATCCGCATCCAGAATCGTGTAATTTGTTCTTCTTATGCACTAATGGAACCCTAACGGTTGAGCAGTGCGAAAACGGTTTGCTTTTCGATGGAAAAGGTTCGATACACAATCACTGTAACTACAACTGGGCGGCCCAGTGTGGAGAACGCAAAGCAGATTGTAAGTACATACGCAATGATAATCACACTGACATGTTTTATGTAACAGTAACTCCAATCAGCACCCCCGGCTGCGAGTACCAATTTGGTTTGTATCCAGACACACCAGAGTGTTCCGTCCATTATATCAAATGCGTCCATGGCGAGCCCTTACCACACCAATGCGAACCTGGTCTAGTCTACGATGATAAAATTCACGGATGCAACTGGCCCGATTTACTCATCGAAAAATGCAACCCCGAAGGTAAGGTGTCGTTGAGTCAATCAACCGAAAAAATTGAAACGTTTGCTTATAGCCGTTGTCGGATTTAAATGCCCAACTAAGGTGCCATCCCATACCGCCGCAGCTCGTTTCTGGCCATACCCGCGATTTTCCGTTCCCGGCGACTGCCATCGTTACATCACCTGCGTCAACGGATTTCCACGTCTCATCGGATGCGGAGACGGCACGCTTTTCGACGAAACAACCCTAACGTGCGAGGAACCCGAAGTAGTAGCGCAATGCGCTGGAAACCACCTCCGAAAATAAATCGTTTTTCATTTACACAACTTTCTCCTTTTCGGCAATTGAATAGTTTATAAATTTTTTATGTACAGTAATAAAACAATAACTTATTTCCACTTTTTTCATTTTATAACGCCGCTCCTTACCATAACCTGATCACCTTATAAAGGAAAACACTTTTCACTTTTAAATAATGAGCGAAATTATAATTAATTTTTTACCGTGTAGCCGATTAGAAGGTAAATGGTCATGTCAGTTATCTATAAATAAAAGATTCGAAAGCTAAAAAACTAGTAGATATATGCAGTTTACTTAAAAGCAACTTCTGTCCACTGATCCACAAACCCACATACTGATACTTCAAGCGCCTTTAGGTGCAAACTTGATGTAAACAACTCTTAAATCCGGGAATTTTTCCTCATTTTATCTTCGTAATTAGGACCTTGTGTAAGTAACGCTTTTGTAGTTACCTTAGCATCCCTTGGGGAATGTGAGCAATGTGACCGTTTTTGCGGAAATTGCGACAAAAACAATGGGAAATCTATATATAGGAACGTCCTTAGTTAATTATGCATAACCAACCGAAACCTGGGGGGCATAAATTCCTTAATGATACATATTTTGTTTATAATGTGGGCTTTAGAGATGGTATAAGATGGCCAACGTAGAAGGGATATATAAGTTAGCATAGTGACCTAATTGTTTAGTTTACTAACTGTGTGGTATAACATCTTGTAGTTTCAGCAAGTGCTTTGGTTTGGTGATGACCGCGGTAGTGATATTTGCTTAAGGATAATAACCAAATTCATCATGAAGGTAAGTTAAGTAAACTTTATTTACCTCTTAAAATAGAGGGTCGTTTCACTTACTTCAAGATGTTATTTCTGTTCATTCCTGTACTATAAAGTAAATTAATTTAAGTAAACTATGATAAATATCCCCTTATCCCAGGACGACTCGACCACACTTCTGAGGGAACCAATACTCTATCAAATATCTCATATTAAGGGATGTCTGTGTGGTCCAAAACGACAAATTACAGCTGTTTCTCTTCCTACATGTTCTAAAGATTGCTAGAAGAAAAGTTTGTGCTGAATGACAAAAAAATAAACTTGGTGTTTGGGTGCAGTTTCGCTGGACGCACTGCCATAAAACCACCCTAACCTTCTGTGTAATGAAGTAGGTATCGTTTGACTATAATTAATCGTCGCAAATTCAAAAAGTGCAAAACTTTCTTACATTTTCTAGTATTCAATTAGTACACTTTCAGTAAACGTACGTCTTTCTCGTTTGACACCAATCTTTATTCACTAATTACCCCCAGATCCTAAACACGCTTACAAGATCAATTTGATGATAAATAAAATTGATGAAATTAAGGTAAAAATACGTAGGTAATTAAGGTCAGTTTTTAGAAGAGACAAATAATTCTAAATCGTACTCCATACGAAATTAATTAAACATTTTCAAATCACATTCATTGAGAAAAAATGAAGATGAAGGTTAGAGAAGATGCTCGTTAATGAATCCTGCATCATTAACCTTGCGCGGGTTTCACGTCTGGTATTAAAATCGTTAACAGGTTAATTACCTAGACGTTACAAAATGTGCACATCCAGGAAAACGATTGTTTAAGGAAATGTTACGGATTCTAATGTACAGTTTCTTTTAGTATGTAATTAGTCAGATTGAAAACTAAAATTTTTAACCTTAAGTTTTTTTACTTTCATAAATAGCATTAATAAAACACTGGATGAAGAGGAAGAATCCTCAAAGTAGCTTAAAGTGTTGGTATAACGAGACATGCCTCAGTCAATATTTCTAGAATTTTCACTTTCTGACATGGTCACTCTCTCCATCGTAAAATTCTCTATTTGCATTTGGGATTTTTCACTCTTAGACGAAATTCGGAATTTATTTTTCGCCGTATGGAGGTTAATAAAAGGTCTACAATTCGGTGAAATTGAGTAGGATTGTATGGAACTGTGGGAATTTGGAGTAGTGGATCGATTAAATTGGTCTGTTTTTACATAGTAAAGCGGGTCTCTAGTGCAAACATATACAGAGCGGTCAATATGCATAGAGCAATGGTAGGTGTACCGTTATTATGTATTATTGAGAAAAATGAATTATAAGCACCGATTTTGGTATTAGGATTTATTACCCAATTTTTGATAAAATAATGAGAAATACACATGAAAAAGAACTCATTCGTATATCATTAGATGAGAAAAAAAAATTCATTCAATTGGTGTTATTATAAACCCTCTAAGGACAACGATCTGCAAAAAAAAGCTTTTTCCCAGGTTAATTCCCTATATTCGGTTTTAAAATATTCACCCGGTATGTAAAACTGTCAAAAACGTTTTTCTATATCGGAGTTTTTAGAGCTGTGATGTCATAGAAATTTTTATTCAATTATTCGGAAGACTTTTTTTCTGTGTACAGGGTGGTTCAATCTCCGCAACGGTGAGAGATACAGTGTATGTTAAATGGAGGCAATGTTACCTTTTTTTGCAACTAGAAAAATGCTTTTGAAATTTTTTCCTCGGAAAAATCTTTGAAAATACCTGGGATCACCGAAATATTCCCTAGCTTAACCGGTCGAAGATGGACGGTTCCGGTTAGGACTTTTATATGGGCACTTCTTTCGCAGAATCTGACCACGGTAACTAGATCTTGCCTAATCAACAAGGATATGAGGGCGATGAATTAAAATGAATTTCTTTTTTTGTCCTATCTTAGTCCGTACAAATCCACTGTGGCACCCATAAAAAATAAGTAAGTAGTAGCATGTAACTTCTACATCTAGCGTGCAATGGAAATTCTGATAACAGATTCAAATTCTTCGAAAAAAGTGCCCCTAGAAGGTGCTAACGGGAACCGTAAATTTCCGACCGTTTAAGCTAGGGAAAATGAAAACGAAATTTGACATTTTCACTTTTTCGGTGATATCTGGTTCATTTTTAAATTTTTTTTTTAAATTACAAATGCGTTTTTTAGCCAAAGAAGTCAAAGAAGCAACTTTGCCCCCATTTAACATGCACTGTATCTCTCACCGCTACGGAGATCCCAATGGTAAGTCACGAATTTGAGGTTTAGTGAAATAAAATCTGGACTTTTTATAATGGTCTAAATGATGAAAACATTGTGAATATAAATAGAAAAAACATAACTCCAAAGAGATCTTTAAAATAAGGGTTAAATGGAATTTTATCAATGTTACTGTTGTTCCTAATGGATTGTTATATCTAGTTTGGTGAAGTAATAAAAAATCAATTATTACTAAGGCTGCTACTACAAAGGGTGTATACAAGTGTGAATTGCATGAAGCCAAGCTCTGGAGTAGGGGTTCTGTAACGCATCAAATCTATCTTTGTCAGTTTCGGATGGAAAATTAAGGGATGATTCGACCAACTACAATTTCATTCCATTTATTTTGTAATTCTCGGATGGGGGGAATGCTTGAATAGATCTGTTTCCATGAATCCAAAGCATTTTTCAAATGGGGTAAATTGGACATTGTAGATACGAGTGACCTCACTTCAACTGAAAATGCCAAGAAAGCGGTGCAACGTAACCGTTATCCAGTTTCGCGAGAAAATGACAGTAAAAAAAGATATATCCATACATCAGACTGATTCGAATTCGAGGGTCACCATTGGGATCTCGGGACTTGTAAGAGACAGGTAGGTAGATTAATTTTGGCAAAGTTGCATATTTTGATCCTTAACAAAATGCAGTTTCCGAGTACTTTCGGAGATATCCGGAAAAAACTTGCAAAATCGTTATTTTTTACTGAAGTTATTTAAAAATGTTTTTCAAAATAAATAACATTATTATGGCCACTTTTTTCTCTCTACAAGATGCTAGTTAGCGCATTTTTTGCAAATTTATTTGTAAAAAGTAGCTTTTAATCTCACTTTGGCTGGCTGGCTGGCTGGCTGCAAATGTGGGCGCGTAGAAGAACTCTTGTAGAAAGGCAACGGGTGTACGTGTATCTACAAGGCCGTGAAATTTGTCAACCTTAGGGACATGGCTACATGATGTGGGGTTGGCGACATCTGGGCGTCATCCTCGAGCGTAGTATACTAACGTGAAAGTTTTTCAGTTTTTTCCTATTTTCTACTACAGTTTTGGTCCGATTCTTTTCAAATTGGTGTGGTCGGAAAGATGTTGTAATCGCGCACAACTCCTGCGTGACGGAATTTTGTTTTTTGTCCTAGGGGCGAAATTAACGACGTTTTGCGAGGCGCGCGAGCGCGTCTTCGAGAAGTAGTCAACTTCGGGCGCCTTTTACCTTCCATTGCGAACTCACGCGGTTTAACGTTTCGTAAATCTCGAATCGCTGTCTCTCTTTCTCCTGTCGCCAATAGAAGCGAATTGCGGGTGAACGGGCCGTCGGAAGTGGCTACCGTCAAAGGGAATGTGGTAGCCCCCGACCCGATTTTAACTTTAAAAGAGAATTGCGGGTGCACGCGGAAAGTGGGAAACGGTTAGTGAATGTAGTAGCCTTCGACAAGATCTGTTATTGATGGTTGAATCGAAAGGGGCTAATAGAATACTGATCTGCCACACAAAAATGCGCTGAAGTCCCTTCGATCTCACACGAGGACTTTGATAATTTTTTTAAATTTTAAATCCGACGTTTCATCTCCGGTTAACCATCATCAACTTTGTTTTTTCTTATGGAACTAATTTTTACTTTTTGTGTCATTTGATAGAGAATTTTTTTCTAATTTCAAAAATGAAAACATCGCAGTTTTTTTAATATTGTTAAAATATCTTCTTTTTTGCCTGGAAAACTTTGTCTTGAGTAGTTTATGTACATAATTTCTTGCGTTTTTACAAATTAATAGCGTTATTTCTGATTAAAAGATAGTGACGTTTACATTTTTGAAATTAGAAACAAATTCTTTATCAAATGACACAAAAAAGTAAAAATGACTTACATAAGAAGAAACAAAGTTGATGACGGTCAATGACCGAAGACGAAACGTCAGACTTGAAATTTAAAACTAGTAGAGGGAAAAAAATGGGCATAATAATGTGTCCTTTATTTTGAACTACCTTTTTAAATAATAAAAAAATAAAAACGATTTTGCACAATTGCTTTTTTTCCCGATCGGAGATATCCGGAAAGTAGTCGGAATTTTTTCAGTTTCAACACTGCATTTTGTTAAGCATCACAATACGCAACTTTGGCAAATTTAAACTATAACCTACCTCTTACATCAAAACGTCCTATCCTACTGAATAAATAAGTTCCTCAAAAGCATAAAGATTGTTTTCGAAGACAAAAAATACCTTTATAATAAAATCTGTACTTGCTAAACGAAGGAGATGATGAAGATACCGAAGACACATTCCCACTCTTCATTAAAAATGGTTGGGAATAACTAAACCATAATCAGTATGTAGTAAAGTTAAATCGTCTTTCTTGAGTCACTTTTTTTCGGATTTTGTATTTGCAGTTTTACAGGTACGACTTTCTGAATAGAATTGTTTCTTTTTTTAAAAATAGAAACCCCATTAAACTGCTGATATTGTGATTTATAATGGCTTTGTTCGAAATGCATTAAGCAAAAAAAAAAACCTTAAAATAAGGTATAAAGGGTGTACCTACAGAAGAATTTCTTTAATACATCTCCGTTCTGTTAAAAGCGAGGTTAAAGCAGATCTAATTTACAAACAACTCCACAACCGTCAAATGGCGAAATTTCAATATTTTATTTTTCAACTTTAAGGGAAGATTTTTGTTTCAGTTAAATTTATGTAATGGATAACCTGCAAACTGTAATCAGTGAAAGTTTCGTGTTTTAAATTTCAAGTAAAAAATACTCGACCCCAAGTTACAAGTCAAGTCAAATTTAAGTTTTCAAGGATTAAAATGTAAATGTAAGGTTCAATTGTCAAGTCTCCCAATAAGTAGTAAAATTTAAAGCAATTATTAACAAGAATCAGACGCCACACTTGTAACTTCAGCCTTGAAACTTCAAGACTCAAGATTCACAAAATTCTAGCGTAAAAGCATTGAATAAAAATTTATTCAATGGTAAAAGTCTAATTGTAAAAAATTGTCACAGTTTAAGTTCCGGGATTTAGACACAGGCTTTCTTAAATGTTTTAACGCCAACGTTCTCGATCCTAAAACTGGAGTTTCAAGCAAGTTTCTATAGGTTGGAAATGCCAGTCTTCAAATTTGCAAAACACAAAATGTCAACCTTATTTTATAGGCAACCTTTAAACTTCCAGGCCCAAAACTTCAAACTGAACGTCATGTGAAACTTAAACAGTTCAAGTAAGTACCAAGGTGCAAGTTCAAATATCAGGTATACTTTCTTCAAACGTTATGCAAACAAGATTCATGTTTAAACACCACGCATACGTAGTACTATGCGATCAAAAATGGGTTGCTGTCGAGTCACCTTTGGAATTTTTATTTGCATGGGAAATCGTAATTAACTTGAACTCTAAATTGGGATCCATCTTGTAAGCTCAAAATGGAGTTTCAAACTTCTTCCAAATTTGATAAATATACCTTCCCCATGAAATTTATTGTTGTAGAAAATAGTAAATGCGAATTCGCATTTACCATTTTCTACAGCAATAAATTTCATGGGGAAGGTATATTTATCAAATTTGGAAGTAACTTGAACTTCCAAAGGCGACATGACCGCCACTCATCTTTGATCCCCAGTGACATAAGCGTCAAATATGAAACCCTGCAAGTGACAAGGTTCACACTCGAGAGCTTTTATCAAACTTTTTCACGCAGCGAAGGTTTATTTCATTGCAAACATTTCAAAAATTCTCTACACATTTCCAGAAATTTGTAAAATAAACTTTTGTGTACCTACAACATAAACATCGCGCGTCGGTCGTAGGAAAATCAAGAACAAAATTATTTTTCATTTCAAAAGCGATTTCGCTCATTAAATTACAAAGTGCATGCACAAAAAACAAAAGACACTGACCTTAGCTCCATTTTTGGTGCATTTCTGAAACAAAAGACAAATTAGAAAAAACGTAGATAGCAACACGACCACCCAAACAAATATTGCAAAACTTTTACCTGTCATAATATTGTTAAAAGCCGACAATTTAACCCCTAGCATTCGCAAACAGACTTCTTAATCCAAAACTACAAAACTCACCCCTTCAGTGGCAAGAAAATCCTCACTAAAACACTAACATTCGCATACACAACCGACGCGGCACTAACTTAAATTATAAATGATGCGTTATAAATTCGGTACCTGGGCTGCAAAAGGCGATAACGTTAACAAAAGGTGTTGGGTCAACCGCCTACGTGGCAATCTTATCGCGTCACACATGTTCAATATAATTGAAATAATCAAAGCCTTACAATTTATAGAGACCATCATCGACATTTTTGTATCCAAATTTTCCGATTCTACTGGTCATTAATTTTAGAATAACAACGCAAAAATTTCACTTATTTTCATTAAGACTGGCTTAAAGTTTTCGGTATCAGTTGTGGCAGAAAGGCTATTCCGAAGTTTCATTTGTAACACTAGGCAAAACAGTCAGTCAGGAACGTCTTTGAAATATTCATGTGCCACGAAAACATCTCCCCAAGAAATTCACACCCGAAAATTAAGTCACTATTGCAAAATATTAAGTTTAGTAATATGCACATCAAAAAATGTACCGCAAATCTTTCTCTCACGAAAAATCAATCAGAAAAAATCGCATTCGAAAACTCTCCTTCGGAGTATTAACGGCTCAAAAAAGGTACCTAGAATCTAACTACTTTGGGGAAATATTCGCCACCCTCGCTCCAGTAAACCAATAAGCGCCCCGTTTATCCGACCAAGGAGAAATATGGGAAATACGGTCTCCTCGGAGTGAAATGACACAAATAAAGTCGCTCCCAAAAAAATTTTACCACCGCAAGAATATTCGCCCGCCCCTAAAAATTGGTTCGGTATATGTACCCACTACCAAGAAATATCAGGGCATATAAGAGACAATTTTGAACCTGATATGTCGTTTTCGGTAAGTTATAAGAGGAATTAATTAATCATATTAGATTTTTTAATCTGATCCGCCATGAATGCACCAAAACGACCATACTACGAAAATCAATTTTGCCTAATTTATCCAGTAACAAAGATTTTAAATAATTTTTAAATTACCCCTTAGTTTTATACCGTTACATCAGTTTTTTTTGTTTTCAAATAGGATCATAGTGACTGAACCTAGGTATATTTTGAAGGGCCCTGTAGGTATATAGGCTGTTTCACGCAAACCATTACCTAAAAGTATTCAGACTCCCATTAATAATTTAAATCTGCAAATTTGCATACCAACATAGTTTTTTATGCTCTAGCAAAAGAAAATATGATCATAATCGTTTCACGTCCGCTTGTACCGACCGAAAAACCCTATTTACTATTACTATTAATAAATCATAAACAGAAGCAGGCCATGATAACAAACGACAAAATAAAAAACAAACATCAATTGAGGTATTGTTTTACGTGACTACCGTTTTTTTCAATCCATAATGGCATCCTCTGATTTTCCGTTGATAGTCGCCTCTAGAATTCCTACTCCATTTCATCAAAAGCCCTTCTAACCCTAAATTGCAGTTCTTCAAGAGAAACACCTGGTGTTTTTTGTTTTTTATAAGACCTCACACATAAAAGTCCATTGGTGTTATATCTGGAGATCTAAAAGACCAATAGCGCGGATCTGTAGGCCTAATTAACCTGTCTTCCAAAATGTTCAAATACATATAAGCGTCATGGGCAGAATGAGCCGGCGCGCCGTCAAGTTGAAACCAGTAGCTTTTCCCAGGTAATGTTTCCAAGGATGATACAATAATGCGTATAATTCAAGGCCTCCTAAGAATTTGAAAGTCCAAAAATTAAAGCAGGTTCCATTTGAAAAAGAAAAGGTTCGAAGTTATTACACTTGACCATTAATTTTAAAACACCTTATAGAAGGACGATCAAAATTTAAATCATACGCATGTAGCATCACGTCAATATTATTGATTTTGGAAGACTTTTTGAAATTCAAGTCAACGGAGCGCTAAGGAGAAACAGTCAAACGTCAAAAATTTTGAAAAATCTTGAATAACTTGAAAACCTTTGTAACGTCATGTAAATATCAAAAATGCACTAAAATATAGGGTGTTCTATTTAAAATAAAAAACTTGCTATTCACTTGCGGTTCAACCGGAAAAGACACGATCACGAAAAACTATGTTGGTATGCAAATTTACAGATTTAAATTATTAATAATAAGTCTAAATACTTTTAGGTAACGGTTTGCGTGAAACAGCCTGTATATTTTCCAAATGACTACAATAATTTGCAACGGTTGAATGAAAATATTATACAATTTTCTTTAATTTCATTTAATTAAATGTCAACATGTCGGTTAATTATTATTTTTCTGGCCAATCTCGTATAAATTATCGTAAACAAAGTATCAGGTATAAAATTGTCCGTAATATCCAAAAATGTACAAGACGTACCCATTTAAATTTTAAAATATATGCTCAAAATTTACGCAACTGATACTTAAATGTTAAAATCAGTAATCATACTTTACAAATTAATGTAGCTTAGGCAGTTTAAGGATTGAACACACCACATTGTTCACATTAAGTAATGTGCCCTTCTTTATTTTTCAGGTACAATTATTTGCATCATCTGTAATATTTCTGGCAACGATATGGTTGGAACAAGTAGGCAGTGCGAATATGGATTACAGATACAAACCTAGAGGACCACCACGTCCCTCAAGACAGCCTCCACCTCCACATTACTTCAAAAAATGGGAACAGAACAGACCATCAAGGAATACAGCAAGACCACCGCGGCCCATTCCCTTAGAACACATTCCACCCAATTTTTTACAACCACAAGCTCCCGCTCTCTTGGGTCACTCAGTTTTAAATTCTCAAATTCCAGTGCGAAACATATGGCAAAATCAAAACCAAATTCACCACCAACCGCTGCATCTTCCGCAGCCGGCACCCGTAAAAATCAAGAAAGAGAAACCTTTCCAATTTTCACAGCAAATTAACAACGTTCCTGAATACGATTATCAAATACAAACTAATACGATACCATCTCACACATTTCCAATCAAACAAGTAGGCGAAAAGGGACCAATTCATACAATACCTGCTCCGAATTTAAGCCCAGCCGATCGGCCAGCAATTATTGAAGAACAACAACGACCGGCGTACAGTTACATTCAACAAGGACAGCAACTCTCAACTATACCAAATCTCCATTCGTATCAGGTGACGGAACCAAACGATCACTTAAAAAATGCTCACAAGAATTTCCGAGACCAACAAGTCTATTTTTCAACGGCACAGGCACACAATTATAAACAGCAACCATTTGGAAGCGCCCCAGAAACTCCTTCGTATTCTACCAATATCCAAGATCAACAAACTGACATCGCATTAACCCAACACGAAATTTACCAGTTAATAAACGCCCATTTAACTCAAAAACAACAAGAACCGCAGCAATTATACAACCACTACGACGTACCTTTAGTCTCTCAAACCCTGGTGCAGCAACCCCACGAACCTTCAGCGAACGAATACAACGCGCTATTAGGCCATTCCCAGATTAAGGTCTTGCAACCACACCCCCAATATCAGATGCAGAAGACAGCATTTACCACCAGCCCTCAGTTGCAGATGTACAATTACGAGAGACACGCAGACAGTGGCGCATTTCCAGGAGGAATGGTGCAGGGACAAACCGAACCCTTCATTCAGGAGATTTTTGATGTAAACGATGAAAATTTGGGTAACGGCGTCGAATCAAAGTCCGACATACAAGACAAGTCCTCCGAAGGGGCAGTGTATTACACCAGCTTACCTAATCGTCAAGCAGCCGAAACTTTGGCCTCATTGCAAACGGCCGGAAAAAGCAACGTCAAGCAGGACAGCGCGAATAGTAAAACTCCCTTGGAGATATACGTGCCCGATACGCAGGAGTTTGCCAATTTTGAGGTTAACTCCTCTATACGACACAAGAAAGATAGCGCAAATCCCGATGATTTTGAGGCAAACGACGATTATGCCGACAATCAAGCCGTAGATGAGTACGAAAGTGATGGCAACCAAGAAAGCCAAAGAATGTTTGGAAAACGACTAAAACCAAAGCAGAAAGATTAAATAAAGGTTTGTTATGTGCTAGTTGATATTGTATTTATTGAATTTGTTATTGTAGTATTAGTTGAATAAAATCAAGGTAGTGCAAATGTTTTTTGAGCGTTGATTGTCAGTTTAAGCCATATAAGAAATGCAAGAAGGTTCATCCGAGGCTAGCTCTTATTGTACGTCTAAAAGTAGTGTGGGACTAAGTGAATGCAATCAAAAATTCAGCGCGAGAGAGTTTCTTTTGCCTCCAATTCATGTACCGACTAGAAAGGAACGGGAAATATGGAGTGTCAAAGCTTTACCCTCCGATTGGGGTATGTTTTGCTTTAAATAGCACTTGCTGCTTTCCGTGTTGTTACGCCATGGGTTAAGCTTTTATAAGTAATGAAGTACTATGCTTATTATTGTGTATTTACAAAGCTATTTTAAGGCCGTTTGACATACATTCAAAACCTTCCGACACTCTATTCTGCAGATATTTGCACTGAAAGCTTTGACATCACATGCAGATATGTTTCGTTCTGACGTTTCACTAGCCTTTTCTGGGCACCCTCTTCCTACACTTCGTTGTCACGGTATTTGCTTCAACTTCACCGATAGATTTCTCGTACTTTCCTCCGACAAACCGTTTTCGAGAGGTTCGCTCTAAAAGTTTTGACATCACCAATGGATCTTGCAGACGTCCCAATCGCCCTTTATGAGTATCCTCACCCTCTTCCGACAAAACGTTCTGGAGATATAAGGGACTATTGCCCGACAAAAATTTTGCAAGATAAGAAGAATATAATGTTTGTTTCGATCCTTTCAAAGACATGGTTTTTCAAAAAGCATCATGAAACCGAAAATAAGCATGGGTTCAGTTACAAATTGCCATTTTACAAATTGTAATTTTCGTAAATACAATTTGGAATTATTTGTGTAAGTTTCATTTTAGGTATTTACACATAAGCAATACCCGCGGGTATTGCACAAGTGCATGAATTCCCGAGGATATTTGTCTGTTACTAGGTGATTTCTGTAATATGCATTAATATGATTGGTTGAAATTTTCTGAGGGCAATAGTCATCCCGTATATCCCTCGTGCACGCCAAATACCAGATCTGAGTATTTCGCTCGTGCACTACGTGCACTCGCGAAATACTCAGGTATTTGGCGTGCACTTGGGATATAATACTTGAATATATCCGATCACGATAAGGGGCCGAGGAGGAGGACTACGGTTGGTAGGAAATAATTCCTTTCGTTGAGACCTTTCATTGGAGTACCGTGGATGGAGGTTAAAACCAGCTCAACTCTCCCCCCCACTCCTATCTTTTGATAAGGGGTCAGAAAGAAGGACGGTAGTTGGAGGAAAACGGTTCCTTTAATTAGAATACCATGAAAGATCAAATTAATTATTCCCCCTCCCCTCGTGGCCCGGTCGCCCGTTGATCTCGAAAAAGTCACGCGGGAAAGTTATAGTTTGTATAAACAACGTATGTTTACCACCCCCCTCCCATTTTTAAAAGTTTTATTTGGTACCACTAAAGGCATGCGTATGCAAAATGTGAGACCAATTGGTTAATGCATGTTGTACTTTCAAAAACAGCATCTCGGGAAATAATTCATGCCCGTCCCCCCTAAGTAGAATACCATGAAAGGTGAAAGGTCAAATTAATTTACACCCGCACCCAGTGATACACAGTCAATACAAACATTCCTCGTGGATACTTCTACAATACCTCGGATTTCTGTGAAAGTTCCCCCAAATTCTTTACAGTTGCCTTCAAAACCAACCATAAACATATACCTCCATACAAAACAATATGCTAATAATTGTTGTCTAATCTCCTCTTGAAAATCCACTGGAAAATTCTACATCCCGACCCAGTATGGAGTGATAAAAAGCAATAAACCTCTAAAGAGCATCTAAAAAAGCGGCAGAGCACCTCGGCGTGACTCTACGGGGTCATTGGATTTGACCCATTTTCAATTGGATTGCTACATGTGGTATACATGTTAACTGTGCAAAGTTTGAACCAAATTGGTCCAATCGTTTGACAGTTATCGTGTTCACGGATGGACAGACGGACACCATCGACTCCCCTATAAAGTTTGCATGGCTTTGCTCTGCCGCTTAATAAATCAACACTTACACAAAATCAGAAGATTAGGTTAAAAAATATTCTATTCGCTTCCAATGACAGTAGGTATAAAATATTTAATTTGCAGATTCCGCCCCGAAAGGTTCCCAAATTATTGAAAAGCTTAATGCGAAACGAAAAGAACGACATGAAGCAGTTCAAAGTGAGGTCCTGAAACGCTGCCAACAAATCGACCTAGACTTGGAAATGCAAATACGCCAAAGAGCTGAGCTGTTTAAGCTAGAGCTGCATAAGAATAACAACGCCGTTTTGGAAGTAATCTCTAGATTAGAAAGCGAAGTCGACACGGTACTTACCCCATTAATATACAGGGTGTAGCACCTAAGATCCCTCGGATCATAATTACTTTACCATAAAAGATACCTAAAAAAGTCTTAGTTGTACGCAATTACCGCCGGCATGTTTCTAAACGTGCCGTATTCCAGTGGCGTACCAAATTTGCGTTTTTTTAAATGGAACACCCCATATTTTATTACTGATTTGGAACGTACCTACTTGAAAAATAATTATTTTGTATGTAACATGTTATACCCCTAACTTGTAAGAATTGAACATCTTTTGTTTCATCATGACACACTTGGGTTCATAAAAGAATGGGTTTTTTTTACAAATTGGTGTTTAGACTTGGTCTTTCTCAGAAATTTTCCTAAGCAATGTGTGGTTTTGTTTATATCAGTGGAAAATTTATAGCTTTGGTTACACAGAGGTATAATTTTAAGGGGGTGACATTTGACATTTTAAAAAAATATGACATTTGACGAATCAAAAATTTTACTTTTGTGATAAAGTACATAAAAAAATTATGTGACTGTAGAAGAGGTCTTAACCTATGCCTCAGTCCAAAACTTAGCCGCCTACGCGATTTAGTTTCTATCCAAAAAAAACTGTCAAATTTTGACAAAAAAGGTTATAACAATGAAATCGTTAAAGTTAGGGGTATAACATGTTACATAAAAAAATAAGTATTTTTCAAGTACGTTCCAAATCATTAATAAAACATAGGGTGTTTCATATTAAAAAACGCAAGTTTGATACGCCCCTGGTGATCAAAAATATTTTAGAAATATAGCGACGGTAATTGCGTACAATTTTGCCTTAAGACTTTTTTCGGTATCTTTTATGGTAAAGGAATTATAATCCGACGGGTCTTAGGTGCTCCACCCTGTATACTACAGGTGAATAGCTCAGGTTTTTCAGCCTAACAAATTTGAAGATGATGAATTTGAGGTAATTAAATCCATGTCAGAGGAGTCGTATGACAAAAATAAAACGGCTCTGGAAGAATTTTATGCATTCTTGCAAGGGATAGAAAAGGAGCGTTCCAAGAGATATAAAGAGGTCCTAAAGTATGAATACGGAGAGTTGTTCAATATTTCTTACCTTTTGCCACGCGAACTCCAGATTTATTTTGAACACAAGCTTCTGGTGGTACCCCCGCGTGGTAAACTTACCATTTAATGTGAACTTTTAGAATTTCAATCAAATGATACTCAACAATTTGCGCTGCTATCTCGACATTCACTTAAATCTCCATAACAAAATCTCAAACACATACAAATTTCATAATCATCAAATTACCAAAATTTACATCTCGCGTAAATGCGAGAAAAAGGTGGATGCCCTAATTAAATTAAAGTAAGTCGAGCGTTCATAATTATCTTCGGCAATACTTTTCTATTGCAGCCAAACGAAATTGTGGGGATCTGATTGTGAAAATGAAACCTTAGCTACGGAACAAGGCAAACAGGCCAGCACAACGATTTTGAATAAACAACACGAGATGAACGAAATGATTTCGCACTTATCAGATATGCCCATCTCTTCCACTAATGGAAAAAGATGGATCAGCAACGCTCAGGAAGCTTTTAATTCCTTAGGTGGGTGAATTCCATTTGACTTGGCCTTTCTCGATGCGCTTTTCAGACATAGCTGCAAAGAAGTTAATATCTTTATACAAAGTCGCTGTAGCTGAAGTATTTAATGGCTATTTTGAGGAGCTGCAGGATATATGTGCACAAATGTCTGGCGCTTACGACTCAGATACCGATATAATAAATATGTTAAACATGGAAGTGTGCAAACCATCAATTGAATCACTTACAAAACAGTACACCAGTAATGTGCGCAATATAGAGGTGACTTGTACATTGAGTAATTCTGGGTTGATATAGGTATTTTAGGTTCAGTGGGAACTAGTAACGACGAAACTGAGAAACATCTTACAAATTACCTACACTTTTCTTAGGTTATCCAGTGGAATATGGGACAGACATTTTGATCGTGTGAACGAATTAAGAAATATCATTTTAAAAGAAGTACACGCGCAAGTGCAATCAAATGATAAATGGCAAAATGTAATTATCACCGTTGAGTGAGAATTACTTTTCATTTCACTCAACGTTATCACTCAGTAGCAATAAAAAAGATTCATTTGTAGAACTGCGAGATTGAGTTAACTATGGTTCTTGACACCTTAAGACAAGCACCTTCAGAGTCGAAATTGAACGTCGCATTGACCGAAGTATTTAAAAAATTAGACATTTTAGCAAATAAGTAAGTTCACAGACCTTTTTTTACCGTATATTCTTAGGTATTAGGTATGTAGCTACAAAGAGCACTACGTCACAGAAATAAAAATTGTCGAAAAATACGAAAACCTCACTCTGATCGAGGCAAATCTACTAATAGCCGAACTGGGTGAGATACTATACCAGTTTCCAAAGGAAGCGTCACAAAGATCACGAGAGGTTTCTGCGTACAGTGAACTCAAGAAGGATGCAACCCCCAAAGAGGAAGATGGAGAAGACGGAGATGAAAAGGAAATGGTTAACTCTACTTTTACAAACTTTATCGTTCAACGTATGAAACAATGCGAATATCAAGTTGGCGCTGTTCAAAACTGGATGTACGGGTAAGAGTGCAAATTTCTTTGTACGCTACCGCTTTGATTCTTCCCTCGACTAGATTACAAGAAGGCATCGAACTTTTCAAAGTATCTTGTAAAGAAGATTCCGGCAAACATGCACAGGTGTGGATTAGTGACGCCAAGAAAAAGTTGGCCAAACGCTTGGAGGTGAAATTGGAAATACACAACACGAAATATGAAAGAATCAAATGTGGTATTTATGAAGTTCGCCTCGCCGAGTTGAAAATTCACAACGAGAGATTAAGTGGTCATATAGCAGTGAGTAATTTATGAATGCTACTTTGAGACGGTTTGAAAATTGTTGTCTTCTCCAAATTATACCCCCTCTCACACTTTGGGGAAGACTAACCAACTTTGAGATTTATTCTAGCATGATATCTTTATTTGCTAGGGCGCCGAAAAACAAATAATGGACATTAAAGCTTCTTTTACGAATTTAGAAAAGGAGTGTGAAGTAATTATTAATGATTACAAGCAAAACGTCGCTACGTTACATTTAAAAATTAAGCAAGCTAATTGTTCGAATAAGGCAAAAGCCGGCATACAAAATTTACATTATTGCAGTAGTAATTGTCACGAAAAGTTAAAGTGCGCGATGAAGCCTTTAGATGATATGTATAATACTCAGATGGCCAAAATTAAACTATCGTCGATTCAGTTCTCTAAAGCCATTAGGTAGGTAGGTCTGAAAAGGGCATGCTGAAACTGAAATGGAATAAACGTTGATTTTGCTTGTTTTGTGCTTGATTGTAGGTACTGTACTTAACTCTCCACATCTTGCTTACGTTGCTTATATAAGGGAGGTATAGATAATTGAATTTTAATGTGGAGGTCTCTAGGTACACTCGTATGTACCTATCCTGTGCAGTAAATTCGACCTGTAAAACTGGCCCCCGAACAATTCGCCCTCGGGATATTCGCCACCACAATATTCACCACCGGAAGACACGCACACTAGTCCAGGCAACGAGTGCTAAAAGGGGGGTGTGCAAAATCAAAGCCCATAAAATTGTCTACAATTTTGATTGTATACACTTTTTCGAAATTCCCAACCGTTTCCGCGATATACGCTCCGGAAGGTCGGAAATTTTTGAAAAATCGGTTTTTACCTCACGTTTTTCATCAAACATTCCTTTATATCCTGTGAACCGATGATCTGAGAAAAAATCCGCCTTCGAAAAAGTTGTAGAGCATTAAATTTCCTTTCCGAAAATATCGCTCCTTTCCAAATTATCGTTTAACCGGTCAAAAGTTACAGCAGTTTTAAAATTTCCTGAAATTTTTCGTCATCTTCTATATGCAACAATTTCAATGATTTCTCACCTACGCACCCGCTATTTTCCATTTTAACTTCCATTTATGATATTAAGGACAATAAATAGGCATCCAAGTGGGTAATTTAGACAAACAAATCGAAGATTATTACCTGAGGGCAAGGCGAGGTAAAGTCTGTACGCTCACCAATGTAAGTCATTTAAGACCATAAGTCGTAAATCAAAAGCAGTTCATAACGCGACCGATAGTAGTTGTATTTAATATGCACCTGAAGTCAATGCAAAAACCCGTTCTATACGGCCGAGATTCTCTCAAAACAAACCTTATGGAAACTTGAAAATGATAGAACAATAATTTTCATTTTTTCAGTTACCTAAAGGTCAGCGGTTCCCAATACTTTCATTAGTCATGTTGTTCGTGTAAAGTTTATGTGTTTGTGTATCTTACCATACAACAAATTGTATTTTCTATTCGACACAAAATCCCGTTGATATGTATGTACACTGACTGGCAAAAAAAGTGGCCACCCTGAAATAAATGCAATCAAATGTGTTTCATTGTTAAATTAGCATTTGCTTGTATTTGTCACAATCTGTTAGAACGGTCGATGTTTTAATATTTTAATATTACCCACTTGGGTGCCCATTAATTGTCCTTATATCATAAATAGAAGTTAAAATGGAAAATAGCAAGAGTGTAGGTGACAAATCATTGAAATTGTTGCATATAGAAGATGATGAAAAATTTCAGGAAATCTTAAAACTGCTGTAACTGTTGACTGATTACGATAATTTGGAAAGGAGCCATATTTTCGGAAAGGAAATTTAATGTTTTACAACTTTTTCGTCGGCGGCTTTTTTCTCAGATAATCGGTTCACAGGATATAAGGAATGTTCGACGAAACGCGTGGGTAAAAACAATTTTTCAAAAATTTCCGGCCTTCTGGAGCTTATATCGCGGAAACGGTTGGGAATTTCAAAAAAGTGTAGACAATTGTTTGCGTTCAAAATTTACCGGCATGAATTTTTCGAGGGCGAATTTTTTGGAGGTGCAATATTGCAGTTGAATCTTATACGGGGGCGAATTTACCTGTGGGCTTGTTTTCTTGGGGGTTAATATTTCGGGAATCATTTTACGAGAGTGTCGCCGAAATTTAAAATTACCATATTTTATTTATCCGAGAAATATTCAATTGGCATGAACATTTAACTAGCCCCAGAATAATGGCGGTCTGGTTTGTTTCGTTGATCCGCGGACTTTCCTAGTAGGTATTCTATAAGCATTCCAAGGCAGTGTTACTGCAATTTCTAACTACAACAGAATGTTATCGAAAGAAAGCGAAAACAAACGAATGTGCCAAATTCTTGACAGAACAGCTTCCTAGCTCAAAGCTTTTAGAAGTGTTTTCAAAAAATAGTAAGTGTAGAGCAAAAACGTTTCGTATCAAAGTTAATTATTTTCCGACAATACTCAATAAATTTCATATCTCCTGTTTTCTGCCTTAATCGACTGTCTTTAAGACAAACCCTGTATATAAATTAATTAAGTAACATTGAATGAAATATAAGGTTACGGAACTGATAGTCGCAGCTTAGAAAAGAAATGACCGCTACACCCCAATTCGTTTCGCTTATGCAGATCAATCCCAACAAATGATCCCCTGAAACTGATAACTTTTCTGTGCAAAAATGCTTGCTTTAAAACGATATAACTCGATATTTATTTTCGTTTCCGTAATTACTCGAGCTCCACGTTGTTGTGTTAAGACTTCACGCGGTTTTTTATACTTTTGTTTGTGTTTATTACTAATAATTCATTTATTGTCTACATTCAAGCAACGTTGTTCCCGGTTAATACTAATACTCCGATCGTTAATTAAAAAAAATATGGGTTACTACAACTACAACTATAAAAAACAGTTGTACTACGTCAGGGCGCTAGAAACGAATAAAAAAGTTTTTGACGGTTTTATATCTCTTATGCCGAATGTACAATGCCAAAATTTTTAAGAAATCTAAATTGCAGAACAAATTTTTGTTTTTTAAATTTGACATTTTTTTCACCTAGCATAATTTTTGTAGATTGTACACAAAAAATTGTAGGTTGCTATTGGAAAAACAAGTTTTATGCCGTTGCGGCGCTCCAAAATTCCTTATCAATTTTAAAAATGTGAATAAGACTATGAGACGACTCCAGCGGAGTCTCGGAACACGTCTAAGTAAAAATCCCTGTGAAATTTGGTTAAATCTTTGAATTAAAAAACAATTTTAATGTGGCACAAATAGGTGAGAAGGTGTAAAAAAATTCGGGAAGGGTTTCCAAAAGAATAGTTGGGAATGCCTTTCTAATCAATTAATTAATACAAGGAAAATTCAACAAAGTAACATGATTCTTTTTAGAGATTTCAGAAATTTAGATTGCACGCAACTCCCAGTAATGATCTAAGCTTCATATAAAAATCTCACTTTTTTTAAATGGAACACTCTCTGTATATACTTCTGTCATCTTTTAGCTCCTCCAAAAACGTTCAACTTTTGATAATAATGTCCTCTAACTATTTCTGATAGTTTTCCAAATATCTTGGATTTCCTGGTTTTTACATTCTAGTCTCAAATAAGTTATATGTAATTTACATAATAACGAGGGGGCCATGTACCCATTAATGAATTACATGTACACCGGAGTAGGCCGATAAAAAAAACAAAAGAATGCCAGAAAGTAAACAATTGTCACAAAACTCACAAATTAAATAACGGGCGATCAAAAATGAGTTGCTGTCGAGTCGCCTTTGGAAGTTCGAGTTTGGTACGATTTCCCATGTAACCAAAAATTCCAAAGGTGACTAGACAGTAACTCATTTTTGATCGCATAGTATTTACTGCAAGTGTACTCCCTAGTTCGTAGTAAAATAACATTGGCTAAAAAACGTAGTTCATCTTTTTAATTAATCTTATTTTATTACGAAATAGGGAGTACACTTGCAGCAAATAATTAATTTGTGACCCTTGTTTGCTTTATAGCATTCTTTTGCCCAAATGACTCAAATTTAATCAGTTAATCCTTTGACCATTGTCTACCTATTACGGAAAACAGAATTGGAAAATTCGAAAACGTTCGCGATAGTTATCACGTATACAGACGGACGGACCGAAAGTCTAAAATCATGAACGACCCTGGCCGCCCGTTAATAAAGCATGTATACTGAAACTATACAAATTCTAATGAAAACCTATGATTTCTTGTGGAAACCCTGCAGTTTCATAGGATACCTTTATCATCTCAACATTGCGGCACCACATTTCAAATTCAGGCACGCCCGCTAATCAAAAACGAAACGAAAATAACATAACACAATAACAAACAAAAAACTAAAGTTTGGCATAGGTACTCTGCGCTGGACATTTCATACACAGTGCAGCTAACATAACATACACCGTGGCCCCATTCCTCAAAATTACATCTTCGCGACGGAGTGAAAATTGTACTACATAAAAAACAAAAAACAACGAAAAATGAACCAAAACAAAGTTCGGTTTTCGCTGGAAAAGTCGCTGTAAAGCGATCTAAATCTTTAAAGGCACCTACCTATCTGACTTTAAAATTTCATGTCTGATCTCTTCAACATTCAACAGAAGGAATTTCTTTTACGTGAAATACTTTTTTGACTAATCCTTTTTGCTCTCTAAACACTTTGAAAACACTAAACACAGTTACGTAACAAATGTGAAATGTTAAATTGAAAAATTTCCAAATATACCTAAAATCATTTGGGACAGTTTACTGCAACCGCACATCTGTTGATCATTAACGCCGTATCTCTAATGGACACACATGTTTATTATTTTGGTAACGAAAGTATAGAATCGCAATACATTTATGATGGGGTTTTAATTTAATCGTATGATTAACAATTACCTTTTTTGTTTTTTTACGCCACCTCATGAGAAATCAACATTTAGATTGTAACATGTTAGAAATGACTCACGGTGTACCTATTTAAATAACGATAAAAACTCACCCTTGGCCTTATTGGTTCAGTCTCCCCAAAATATGGACCATAACTCACTCATTTACCATTGGAACGACGCTACATACACCACTCCACTTAAAGTTTGGTCAAATATTGCACCGCAAATTGTTAAATAAAGCGAGAACAGGTAGTCGGCGTCGGCGCAATCACCGTATCTTTTGTCACAAATATCTTAATTGAAAAATTTAAATCTTTATAAAAACCCGCTGCTGACTGGGTTATTATTTTAAATCTCGACGTGTTTAATTCTCCAAACGCATTTTTGGGGAAAAAGTCTCCACCTCAACTTTGGGCAATAAATATCTCCAATATCTTGAGAATGGACCAGGCGGATTTCAAGTTTTTGTGTCTTAAGGAGGAGACCCCCCCCCCCCTCTCTTTTACAGTGAATTATTCCCTGAGATGCTGTTTTAGCACGCGAACATTTTAAATGAGGTTCTGGTGCTAAATAAAAAAGTAATTGGGGGCCCCATCCCGAATTCCTTATGAAGATCGGTTGTATCCTTCTCGTTTTTTCCGCCAGAGCCCTAGAGTGCCGTGAGAGAGTACTTACAAATGAATGCTGGAACATTTCAACGAGCATCTTTTGGTGGTGTCGGTGGAATTATCTTGATAATGAAGTAAGTAGCAGAATATATTGTTGGAAAGCTATGGACCAGTCCCATTGAATAGTGTTATTATTGTGCTAAAATATTCGCTTCTTTTGCAGTAGTCCGTGTATAATGTTTTTATGTGCCGCTGAAAAATTAGTCATCGGCGATAAAGCTTCCTGAGTTGTACTCGAAAACATTCTAGAAAGAATATTGTTTGCTATATAAGCAAACAGAATTGTGTTTCGAGTCAGTTCCAACTTCGATGCTCTTGTATAATAATTACTGTTATAAATTAATCCACTTTAAGTCTGTTATAATGGTTTATTGGTAAATAAATAAAACCATGCATACAATTATTTTAAATGCGAACAATGATAGGTTTTATTTTTTTTACTCAAAAAGGGGGAATCTAGAAAAAAATCAAAAGAGTGCTTCTCTTTCAAATAAACGATTTGTGAAAATTAATTTTTATTTGAGAAAAAACCATTGGCGTACCGTTTTTTTTAACGGAAGCATGCTACTGTTAAACCTACACATTTAGTTTTTATTGGAAAAAGTGCGTTTGTATTAAATGCTACAAGATACTAAACAAAATTTGGAATCCAGAACTATTAACAAGTTTTCTTGTTTTTTTTTTCTTAAAGCTTAACGCCCTAAATTTTCGTCACGAAACGTTTTTTTACAATAACTTATTAAGCACACTATTAATTAGCTTATAGCATCTTTCTTTCTGTTGACGCGCGCAAACAGTGATTTTTTGGAACAATATAAAATTTTTGAAATTTGGTTTTTAGGGGAATTTATTTATTTTTATTTTATATAATTATGAGTAATGATTTCTCTCTGTTTTCCTCGTTTAACTCGAGATCGAAAAGAGACCGCGATATCAAACCTTCGCCAATCGATTTCTACGAGTTCAAGGGTCAGTGGTCAGTGCTGAATATGAGTGAATATCCGAGCCGGACATCGGCTGGTTTCTGAATGCGACCTGAGTGGCAAAAAATTACCCTCCGAAAAATCGTACGCGTTTCTTCGTAACTTGTATGCATGATGAAAGTATGCACAATTTTAAAAACAGTTTATAATTGTAATAAGATACAGAGTAATTCATTTAAAATACCAAAGTCTCATACCACATTTATGGAGCACCCTGTCCATACAAAAAATGTTTATGTTATACACATTCTGTGTCTAAAGTCCAAAATGATTTTATGTTGATGATCGATTTCTAAATTGCACATACTTTATCACATATGAATTATTTTGAACTGTTTTCCAAAATTTTGGGCCTCTGTATTAACGGATATAAGTAAACCGTTTTTAAATGAACTTCCAAAAGACACAATTTTTATCGTCGATAAAAACTACTCAAGCAGGATCATATATATATATCTCTGAATTTCTCTTCCATCTGACACTGTTTGAAAATTTTAAATACCTACATTAATCTTACGCAAAAATAGGTATAGAGAAAACGTGAGTAGACACGCACAAATCCAAAACATACGAATTTTTAACTTACTTTTAAAAAATTAACACAAAACATCCACAAATCAATAAATTAAAGACCTTTTTGGTTCCTCAATGCATGTCCGATAACTTCTTTTAAATATACATTTCATTAATGCTTTACTTTTAGATTATTTTCCGAAGATGGAAACTATCACAGTGATGAAGTAAAGACAGTTACGCAAGAATTAAAAAAATTGGAGAAAACGGTAAAGGCGCAGTTAAAACGCGTCAAAAAAGAAATACAAGTAAAACAAAAGAAAATGACGGCTCAAGTAAAGGCAGAAGTAGCAAAAATTCTTCCTTTGTATGATGACTACATTTTGATCATCGGAGATCTCAAATCACTTGATCGGTTTCATTTGCTGTTTTTACAACATCTTGGCATCACTTATTTTGCTTAGGAAAACAGATTTGGATGGAAAAAACTGGCGGAACTGGATCAAGAAAGATCTTTTGAATACAAAACGGTCGGTAATCGGGTGTTATTTTACCGATCGCGATTGGAAAAAAATCAGTCAGTTCACTAACTCACTTACTCACTCACTCAATTAGCTCACAACCAATCAACTGACTATAGCCATTGAATAAAAAAATGTTTATTCAATGCTATAGCCTTTTATCTATAACAATATCCAAAATTATTGCCTAACTTATTCTAGAGAAAACTATATTGCGTAATTTGAGATCTTTGATTATAATATAATCAAACATCAAACATATTATGTTACTGCATATTGGCGAAACCAACTAGGAAACATTTTAGTATAACAATGAGCTTAGAAGAACTCCAATTTAAAGATATAAACATGACTGTAAATCAGAATCTTCAAATTGACTTAAAAAAGGAAACGTTTAACTTAAAGTTCTACCTTAAGAAAGCCGAAGACAACTTGAGAGATTTGGAGTCCTTCAAAACCAAACCTTTCGATGTAGCAAACTTGAAAGAGTATGAGACTGGATTTCAGGCACTTGGCAATGGCCTTCTGCAATTAATGAGCTATCTCTATCAATCCGAACCTATAAACAATGGTGCGCGTGACAATTAAAAAAAATATTATTGTTCAAATTTCAGTACGAAACATTAATTATTCAATGCTTCCCGTCGAAATAACTGATACAACGGACGACAAGAAAAGTGTCAAAAAAGACAAAAAGACAAAGAAGGAGAAAGCAGTTGTTGTCACTAATCGCTTTGATTACACCAAAATGCTTTTTGAACACGAACCGCAAGGAAACTGCTTCATGTCCAAACTATGCAAATTTCTTCAAGACTCTTTGAAGAATGTTCAACAAGATGCGAAAGTGAGTGCGAAGCTATGAACGGTCACATATGCAAGGGCTGAGAGTTGCAGGTTCTTGGTACCAATCAGGATCCCGTGCAACTCCATTCCTTCGATAAAACGAGGCCTTGATCACTTGACATCTTCCATATCTAACTGGCGTTGCGACATTTGCACTATTCCACATGTTCCAACCGTATCGCCAACTCGTTACCTCGGCAAAGTAATATTTGTCTTCGGGTATAATTTTGACGCGTTCGTGTAGGTAATTTATCCGTCCGTCCTTTTGGGTTCCTATCAAAAAACATAAACAAACCCGTTTTCAACCATAGATACCTGGGTACCTGTGTAAATTAGTTTCGCTATCTGGGGATCGACCGGTTTCATTGTACTGTACATTGAGTTTGGATCGACCAGAGGGGGTGGAGCATCATCAATATGGATTCTCGGATGTCTTTCTGCTTCCTGATAACTAATCTTACGTTTACTCGCAACTTCGTGTAATAATTCTTGCGGAACAGTTTTGGTGTTGGGCTTCTCCGTATACGCCACCAAACGTTCTTCGTTCCTCCTAAACCACTTGAGACGAAGACGATTTTCCTTTTCGTACGAGTCGGTGTAAATTTTCATTTTAGACGGATCAATTCCGCGACTTGTTCTTTTTTGCTCCCCCATTCTTAGAAAAACTCTTCAGTAATCGCTTTTTATAAACAGGAATTTTATGACAAACATGTCAAAATTATAAACAGCGAGAGTGTGCCGCCTTCTTACGACAAATTAATGGTCGAGGTCTTGGAGAAATATAATTGCTACCATCAACAATGTGAGCTACTGTGGTTCAATATGGTTTACGGTAATTTTTAGGTTTAATTTCGAGCAGTTTGTTTTACTTTAAAACACGCAGAGCTTTTGGATCTGTTAGAGTCCACGCACGTGATGTTTGTGGAGTTTTCATCTAATTTACTTAAGCACCATCATAAAAACAGAATCGAAAGCCTTCAAGAATCCTACAGGAAACTATGGGAACAAACTGAAGCCATAAGAAATACTAACATTGAAACTGTACGAAGTGTACGCAAAAAGCTCAAACCGCTATATGGATATGATGATAATCGACACATGCTGGATTCACTTCAAAATGAAATGGTCAAAGCTCTGACTGAAATTCGCAACTTTAATGTCCAAGAAAGCGTTTTCGTACCCTTTCAAGTAAGTACCTACTTGAGCACTTATCCACGTAAGTAATTCTGTTTTGGTTCGCAGGAATACCAAAACGACAATTTGGATGTGTATAGAAATGAGTGTGAGATCATAAACGGAACTTTAAAATTTTTAAACGACGAATATGTAAGCAAACTGCTAAAGTCGCCCCTAATATGCCAATTTGAAGCAAAAATTAGACATTTAAATGAGTTTTTGACCCACATCCGCCAGCAAGAACCTACAGATCTGTCAAATATAGGTAAGTACATTATTATTGTGACTACTGACCTCAACTATCGACTGATGTTACAGATGGTGGTGTAAAGTTAGCTTTACCTTTCCAAGATTTCAGTGTTCCGCCGGAGTTTGAGATAATTTTGGAAAAAGTAAAATTATTGCAGAATCAAATGGTTGAAGGAGCGTTTGGAGAACCAGACGATTATATTGAGGTAACCGTTCCCTGAAATAAAACATCAAACAGTCGCATAATTACTAACGCGAGTTGCAATTTATATGAACAAACCAAACCATTAATAATAATTTGAAAAGAATCAATTCCCATTTCAAAAAACAACTATTTAAGTGAACCTATCCATTTAGTTCATATAGGTACCTAATGTCCCTTTTTTAATAAAACGACAATTACTATGTTTAGCATCCATATGAAACCATTGTGCGGAATTTTTTTAAGAGAGCTCGTTATTACTTCAAAATTTGAACAAAAGTACTAAATCATATAAGGTTTTTACAGAAATTTTCAAAAAAGTTAAACTCAAACGGATTTTTTTTATATCTACATTCTAAACCTTATAGATATTTGTTAGTACCGCATATTACTTATTTATTTGTTTTCTAATTTTGAGCCCATCCACACCTTTTTCATTTTTCACGTAGCATTGCTCTTCTTTTCTGGTTTAACGCAATTGCGACCGGCAGCTCATTTTTATTAATTCTGCACCCCACACCCCACTCAATTAACGACATATTTAATTCAATCCGAAAGCTTTCGCAGCCTGAGTGCACATTTCGAGTCTTGTGGATCCTACAATTGTCGTGCAACAGCGCAATTTTTTTGCGCCAAGGACCTTCTGCAAGCATTCAATCCATACACCTTATATTATAGGTGAAAGGCCACTGGAAACCACCACCGAATCTTTCCCCAGAAAGCGCATCTTCCACAGCTTTAAAATGGTAATGGCGTATTTAAAAACAAAGAGGACTCCGGGTGGGTAGGACCAATGGTCCAGAATACCTCACTGCTGTATCCCACGCAGCATCATTAACTTTATAGAGTCTGAGAAGGGCAACAAACGTCTTCTGCGACTGCATGTAATATGGGGAGTTTAGGGAGAGTAGGCAGATTGTAGAATTAACTTAAAAAGGCAGAAAGCGCGTTGAAGGGAGCGAAGGGAATTTTTTATCACAGGAGACTGGAACGCAGTAGTAAGAGATGGAAGGAAAGACATTATAGTAGGACCCGACAGTCAAGGCAAGAGAAACGATAGGGGGGCCGGTTAATACAATTAACGAACTATAACTAAACATAGATTATCTATAACTAACATATTATGGTGTACCTAACAACCAAGGCGTAGAAGATATACGCGGATAAAGCAGAGCGATATAGGTAAACATTAAATAGACTACATTTCTAGTGAAAGAGAGATTTAGAAACCAGGTAATTTACAGCAAAAGCTACCCAGGTGCCGACATAGCTAGTTACCACAAATTAGTCATGATGAATAGCAGAAAATTGGCCAAACCTAATAAAAAAGGCAGGTTAGATTTCGAAAAGTTAAAAGCGCCAGAATTGGTAGATCGGTTTAAGGCCAAAAACAAAAAAGCAGAGCCACGAACCAAGTGGAAGGTTTGGTAGCTGGAGATGCGTTAGGAGTAGAAACAAGGATAACCAGAAAATAATGAGTCACAGGACATTTTAGAACGGACGAAAAGAAAGGAAAATATAAAAATGCATCAAGTCCGCATATTAGGGATAAATATGAAGGGAGATAGGGAATGTAGGTTAGAGAAAGAGCATGTGGCTAGAGGAGAAATTCGAAGCAATTGAGGCTGAGTTCAATAGATGTATAGGACAGGTGTAGAATATAGGAAAAATAAAAATAGTTTTAGTATCGGACAAATTTCCTGGGAAGTGGAAAAATTCTCGCACGATCGTTAAAAGAAACTGTTTCCAACTTTTTTGTGCCGTACGTAGTTGTATTCGTAATAAAAATTCTACTCAATACAGTATGTATTTTTTTACGGGTCAAATGAAGAATAAGTGTTTGATGATTTCTCCAAAACGAAACGTTGTATTGAAAATCTCTCGACGATGTCTTGTAGAGCTCAAAAAGTGGCAATCAGGAAGTGTTTTTTTTGTATCTGTCCAAATAACATCAGAAATAAATAAAAACAAAATCGGCAAATTTCGGTTTTTCTGGCATAGTAATCGGAATTTTCTGGTTTCGTTTAAAGCATGGTAGTAACTCTTTAATTGCGCATCTTTTCCCTAATGATAGCGCTTTTTATAGACAATAACGCCGGGATTTCTTAAAATATTTTCAAATAATCTTTTTTTAGAGGTAACGTCGAGGGCTGTTGGGGTGGGGTGCCTTATTTTGAAAAAGAAAAAAGGAAACAAATTTTCGTGGCGCTATTGCTTAGATATTAACTTTACGAACTTATAGCAATTTTGGAAATTGTTCCAACTTCATTTAGATAAGTTATCTTGGAAAAACGACTTAAAAGTTTACCTCGAGAGAGCGAAAATACTTCCGCCGCGCGGCTTGTTTTATACAGATAGAAAATGTACATTATAATTAAGTTTCTGTTTCTACCATTGAACACTAATAGTACAGTCAAATTAGCCCAAAAAGTGGGCATTCCGTGCATCAGAAATGTCATCTCTAATTTTTCTTTTAAATTGTTAGGATCAATGTGGATGTGAAAAATCCAAGTTTTCGACATTGAAAGACCTGTGCGAGCGACACAGCACTTGAAAATATGTCATTTTTCTTACAATTTTTTGGTTTTTGTAAGTTTTTTACTCCTGAAGAACCGATTTTAATGCAATTATTGTCGTATACTTTTTTGAATTAGATAAAATTTATAACAATTTAAGCCCTTAACGATCTCCGCAGGTCTAATAGTTTCCGAGATATGGCACTTCAACTATTGGTAAATTAATAAATTTATTAGTTTTACAAGTTTTATCAAAATTTGCGTTTTTTTTCGCAGAAACTAAACTTACCAAATTTGCACGATTTGGTGTTTGTAAGTTTTACTCCTGAAGAACCGATTTTAATACAATTATTGTCGTATACTTTTTTGAACTAGATAAAATTTCTGACAATTTAAGCCCTTAACGATATCCGCAAGTCTAATACTTTCCGAGATACGGCGTTTCAACTATTGGTAAGTTTATTAGTTTTACAAGTTTTATCAAAATTTGTGTTTTTTCTTCGCAGAAAGTAAACTTAGAAAATATGCACGAAAAATTGTCGTAAGTCGTAATAAACTTGTTGTTGAAGAAGTGCTAAAAATTGCGGATAATTAAAGCAAATTAAATATTGATTTTTGTCTTTTAGTGAAAAAATATCCATGTTTATATTAGGGTATTGTATTAGGTATATGATGCGTTATTCATTCAAACCATAGTGTTGCGAGTAAGCTTTCTGCTACACAGATCTTCTATATTCGGTATCCTTTTTGAATGGTCGAGGTCAGGCAAAAGGAAAGAATTCACAGATTTCGCAATCCATGCAACAGGCAGTGGATCTTGCTGAAGAAGAAGAAGACAACTTTCTTATCATGCTGGGGATCCAGAGGATATCAACATTCTAGCTCTTTCTGTGCGGATTTATGGAGACTCCTCACCATAAAGTCCCCCCAAACGAACAAAATTATAAAAATGTTCATGAGGTTTTTATGCGAAAGAAAGGCAAATTTGATTAAAACTGAAGAATTTACGAATTTTTGAAACGCTGTATCTCCAAAACTATTAGACTTACAGAGACGGTTAGAGGCTTGAATTGTCACAAATTTTGTCTAGTTTAAAAAAGTATAAATCTGTCCTTCAGAACTAAAACTAACCAAAACCTAAAAATAATAGAAAAAATGGCGTATTTTCGAGTGCTGCGTTGCTCGCACAAGTCTTTGGATGTCGAAAACTTGGATTTTTGACATCCATACTCAGCCTAACAATTTAAAAAAAAATAGAAATGACACATCTGATGCAAAGTATTATGATAATGTGACTGGACTATAATTAATTAACCAAATTCGGGGATTGACAATAGGCAACTTTACATACTCCGTTCTGTATGTACGTGTGATGCGAACACATAAGTGTAGTCAATAGCGTTGATGGTCTGTGGTCAATAGAGGTACGAGTTCTAATAGCCGCTTGGTGCTCGATACTCGAGCGTTTACTTAAAGTGGCGCTCGTGCACTTTTTTCTGCCCACGAGCGGTTTTTCCGTCTATGAGCGTTTTTTCGCTCGCGAACTCTTTTTCCGCTAGCGAGTGATTTTTCCGCTCCTGAGCGTTTTCGTTCACTCGCGAGTGCTTTTTTCGCTCCTGGGAGTGTTTTTCGCTCCTGAGCGCTTTTAACCGCCCTCAAGCGCTGAAGGATTAAACACCGCTTGCGAGCATTTTTTCCGCTCACGAGAACTTTTAGGAGTGCTCGGAACTCGCAAGCTGTTTCGCTTTGCAAAGCAACTCGATGAACGCGAGCATTTTTGAGAAAAATTAGAGCGGTTTTTTAGAACGTAGAGGGTAGAGACCCAGCTCTGCTATAGCATAAGAGAAATGCTTCCTTAGCTGTTAATAAGCTGGATTTGAACTGTGCATGCCTTTCGCAATTTCTCTTGCAACTTGCATGCCTTTGCAATTTTTCTTGCTCCAGGTCAAGCGAGCTTTATTGTTAAAGAGGGACTTGGCCTACTCATTCACACGTATTAAAAGTTCAATTTAACATCTGCTCTAAATAAAAGTACTTAGTTTGCTTCTGAAAAATGACGCATTCGCATGATTGTGTAGGTAAATAGGTACTGAAGGACATATACCGTGCGGCCCAGGCCGAACGCACCATAGCCAAAACAGAGTTAATGTATTTTTTCGCGAAAGATCCACGAGGCGTCATTGCGCTAGCCTGATGTTAGGAAGAGACTGGAGTAGTACGTTGAACGCTAATTTCAAATATGTCTTAATATACTCTTTACTACTTTCAGACATGCAAATTTTCGTTTTAGAATAGACAGAAATCAATAGATTACCAAACAAATTCAGGAACTCAAACCCATGATAATTACCTGACTGAGATAATTACGATTAAATTCACATTGTACTGTAGTAGGTAAACCACAATAAATTACAAATTAATATCATTGTTTCAAAACATTGCTTAACGTTAATGTGAATGAGAAAAGTGACAATAATTCTTTGCTGCAACTAAATTTCATTTGATTAGGTAATGTCAAGTAACGGACTGGTCTGATTACACTACACAGCAGCAAGCCAAGGATGTTTAAACTTTATATAGCAACATTGTATATAGATAGTTAACTAATGAGGGACTTTTTCAGGTTTACTCAAATGAGTACAAGAAATGTTTGTACAAAATAGAAGATATCGAGACAACTTGGTTTAGTGAGATCGAAAACGAAGAAAATATTTTTAAAAATGATATCGAAAAAATCTGTCAATTATATTCCATTAAATATAACAATTGTTAGTAAATAAAAAGCACAATATTAAAATTTTTATTTAAAATGCTTTTACAAATGTAGAATGTAAATATAAAATTTAATACCACCATGGACGGATATTAAGATGCACTTTGTTTCATTGGAATAATTAAGTACCGTGTTTGTAAAATTTAACAATAAAATTAAGAATAAATTGTAATAAAATTATGTACAACGCCATACCTTTGGTTTAATCACGTGCTGTAGAGAGTTAAATTTCAAGCATCAACTGGCTTGAAATCGCAGACTTTTACTTTGAGGGCGAAAGCGTAGAGATTCAACATATTTGAATAAAAAATTTGTCACAAGAAAATAATACATAATCACATTGCCTAAACCATAGAGTAACATTTTTCCCTATGCCCACCCTTGTAAAAAATAAATAAATTAGAAAAATACTACATAATTACAGCTGCAATTGGAAAACAATAACATTAAATTAGCCGCTCTTCAGGAGGTGGTTTAAGTACATGGTCCAATTCGACTCTAGGATTGCAAAACTCTTGGGCACTGGGACTGTAAGTACCTCGAGTCGCTCGCTTACTACGAGCCATATTAACTAAAATAACTGCAGCAATCAAAAGACCTACTACAATTATTACTACTATTGGAATCACAATATAGAGAACATTAACGCCCTCTGTTTCTTGCCGAGCTTCCAGCTGAAATGAAACGGTTTTCACTACTTTTGTCAGTCAGGTTTTACCTTATTTATGGAACAGTTCATTCCCATCCATCGTGCGTCACATTCGCATGTATAATTGGATACATCTGTGCATTTAGGTACACATTTACCATGATCACATGGCATACTTTGACATGGATCGTTAAGTTTGCACCCATATCCACACATACCTACCGGACAAACACATGTATATAACCCAGGTAGGTTTACACATGTTCCATCACCACACATATTTCCTTCGCTACATTCATCAATATCTAATTCGCACAGTAAACCAGAATAACCTAAAATTATTATTGATACTACTTTCAATGTTGCAGTTTGTTTATAAACCTGTTCCTGTGCAATTACAATCGAATCGATCAACGCCATCGAAACAAATCCCTCCATTTTCACAAGGATTTTGACCCATAGGTAATACACAATCATCTTTATTAACTTCACAAAATTTTCCATCAAAACCTGCCTTGCATGCGCAAGCAGGATGGGATTGAGATGCATTGCAATGACCCTCGTTTTCACAAGGTTTTACAAGACAGTATGCTCGATCACACAAAGGTCCCACAAATCCCTCACTACACTTGCAGGTAAAATTGTTGCCAGTTTCGATATCTGTACCAATTCATTATCAAATTCGGAACAAATCAAATAAGACTTACTCCGGCCATCGTGACATGTTGCACCTTCATGACACGGTAGGTTTTCACATGTAATTATTCGTATCGCCTCACACTGTTTGCCAACATAATCTTCAGGGCAGTCGCATTTAAAGGCTCCCAATAAGTCAATACAGGTACCATTGTGTCGGCATGGATTACTGTCACACTCGTTAATTTCGTGTTCGCAACTGAAAAAATTCGCATATTTATCTAACAGAAAAACTGCTCACTTACAATTGCCCTTCGAATCCATTTAAACATTCACATTCGTAAGCGGCAATTTTATCAATGCATGTCGCATTATTCTTGCATTTGTTGTTTTCACACTCGTTAATATCGATGGAGCAATCATCTGCAGTAAACCCATCTGGACAATTGCATTGGTAAGTGTTTATGGGATCTAGGCACTTTCCGCCGTTAAAGCAATCGTTATTATAGCACAACTGGCAACCAATAATATCGTCTGCGGCCAATAGATCAAAATACTGTTGTGGATAATTATCGCTTCTGTATAGCTTTGGAGTCACATAAAACGGAACTAAAAGCTTACCAACGCGTATTTCTCCAACACAGCCCTAAAAATCGAGAGAAAAAATAATTCGGGGATGTTGACTGTGGGTGAGCATATGTAGGGTAGTGACAGAGTGACTAGCTGAAGGTAGACCATTGTTGAATGATCTACTCCCCTTTTACAAACATCTCCTTGAAGAAAAACTTAGAGAGCACTATTTTGGGGGATCTCTCTCGGATCCTGCCAACTTATAGGACAAAGTAGATCTTCTTACCAATCACATACAACTCTAATCAGGGAGGTAGTACAAAGGGCCCAAATTTAAGACCTTGTTACGCGTGGATCTTGTCCATTCTTGAGGTCGAATGTATGTGCAAACTATATTTTTTAAACAAAGCATATAAAAATTTTAATTATCTCTGTATTGTTTCATATTTTCTCTATATATAAAAATGAACCCCTGTTTCTTCTGGTCACGCAATAACTTTAGAACGACTTTACCGATTTCATTCATCTTTTTTTTAAGTTTTCTAATACTGTGTAGAAGGTTCTTACAGTTTTAACAGCTACATCGATCGGCACTGGATCGGCATAATAGATCCGTCAAAAATTTAATTTTTCATATCATAGTGTGCTGTCAATTCGATTCGGATAGTTTATTCAGATTTCAGTGAGTTTTTTGAGAATTTCGAGGTTATTTCACCGCAATCACGCCTTTTATATTAAAAGTTTGATATACCTAATATCCATTTTTGGTAAGTGTTGAATGTTGATAGACTTTAATCCCTATCGAGTTACATTTAATTATAACATAGCAATCGATTACAGTTTACAGTAAATCGTTGCTTTTAGACCAAAGAACTTTGTGTGTCCACATTGCATGGCTTTTAAGATTAAAACTGACGCCCCGGGATTATGTTGCGTCAGTGGCCAAGTGAAATTGACGCCATTGGTACCGCCACCAGAGGCACTATATTCTTTGGTTTCCGGGAATGGGCCAGATTCTATACATTTTTTGACTCATATCCAGAAATACAATAATTGCTTTCAAATTACGGCATTTGGTGCAACAAAAAAAAAGTGCGTTGCTAGCTCTGAATCGCCAAAAGCAGCTGGAAGTGAGTGCGTTTATTTTTTATTATTTTGGGGAGAGATTTTGGGGCAAGTGTGTCAAAATCTATTTTCCGACTAAACGGTTGAACCGATTTAAACAAAGTTTGCTACACATATTATTAGACATAAAAGGGCAGAATCGCGCATGCGCAGGTGGGGCCGGTGGTACCTGTGCTAGCCACATTAAATTTTTTGAAATAATTTTTTGGAATTATTTATTCCAGTCCGAATTGAATAGGTATTCATAGCTAAGAAAGAGGAAAGCGTCCGTCGGGTCAGCTAGTTAAGAATATAAATATAAAATTGAATCTTACCTTGAATCTATCTGATGATTTATTCATATCGCTTTTGTATAAGGGCAAATCAGTTGTGAATCCATTTACTGGCAAATCTAATGCATTATTTGTAAACGAAAAATCAGTCGTGGTTTCAATAAACGATAGATAGTTTGTTCCATTACCATATTCGTCATTGTTTAAAATTTTTCGATAATTAAGTGTCTTGTTATCGCTGCCTCCTACATATATTATACCTTTACTAAATACCTCAGTCAGATTTGCATAGTTAAAATGATCAATAACAAAATTGGGAGCGTCATCATTTATCATTTCTTTAAAGCCGCCTCTGAATATTTTATCTTTAAATTCGAAATGTAAAGTAAGCCATTGGCCTTCAAAATTTTCCCTGTAGAAACGCCTCCGTTGCATATCGTCCCCAACATTCCAATCAACAATCACTTCATCATGGTAAATAAAAACGATGAAATGATTATCTAAATATTTGGCAAATAGTAATGTTCCCCACGACTTTGTACGATACGTCACTTCGATGTGATCGAAATGTAGGCTTTTTGCTGTGTCACGGCGTACAAGATTGTATATCAAAGGTGGCGTTTCACCGTCAAAGGTGACGTTGGCGATGCACTCGTAACCGTCCTCCAGATTTTTGCATTGTGAATCTTCTGGGCATCTTTCTAATTCACAAAATTCCACTTCTGTGCAATCCTTGCCTTTGAAACCACGTTCACATATGCACCTACAGACATGGTCATAATTTAATGTTTTTTGATGTACAAAAATCTCAACATGCATTAGTCCTTCGAGCCGAATCAATCAGGTACTAAGATTCTGATTTTGATCAAATCTAATTTAGCTATTAAGTCATAGCAAGCAATTTTTTGTACAAATTGGCTAGGTCTTCAAGGACATGCTGAATATTGATTACATACCGATAGTCATTCCAAGTATTAACGCAAGTGCCATGTTTGCAAGGACTATTCCTGCAAGAATCATCTGACAGCACTCCTTGTTTAATTGTAAAGTTATCAAAAGACACAGTTCCAAATGACACTGGAATGTCGAGTTCTTCCACATGTAATGGGAAGAATTCCACCACCATAATTTTTGATCCGTTACTAATCTACAACAGAATTGATAACAAAATGTTTTTAACTCGGCAGAATAATAAATACCTGTACATCTTGTATGATGCCCTTAAAATGAATCATGCTAAGAGGTGTAGTGATGGTCGAAGCTGCCCCAGTTGTGGCCGTAAGGTCTGCCTTGGGACTATCTCCCGCCTGTCGCACGGGTCTCAACTGTGGCTGCCCTCCTAGGAATAGAACCTGTGCGTCTAGAACACCCGTTGACGAAATCGTTTTTCTAAAATACTCGGTTCCATTGAGTTTTACTTGAATAAGAGTAACATTTCTAATCACCTACAAGTGAGCCTTTTAGTTAACGCTCTACGAGTTGGTTACTTACTTGAATTAAGTGATTGTAACCGTTGTTAAGCTTGACTCCTCCTACTGTATATGATTCCGGAGTACCGTTAATTTGAATGCGCACCAATAATTCGCCCCCTTCCAATTGTGCAGCAATATACGTTTCGTCGACAATAGTATTTGGGCCTGTAGCCGAACCAATGTAAAAAATCTGACCCCCCGATTGACGGGTACGAATAAACATGCTGATATCGACAATAGAACGTACTGCTCTACGCGCCAAATCCGCTACAGTTACTGTTACCAGAGAACTTGTAATATTTTCATATCCAAAAGTCGCGGCAGTATAATCTACAAGTGCACATTTAAGGAACTTTCCGCATCGGAAATTACTTACTGTATTGACAAGTGTGGCCTAAGTATGGTCTTTCACAAGTACAACTAAAATCTCGCCACTTATCCGTACAGTGCCCTCCAGAATGACAAGGGTTTGGATTGCACTGGGGTTCACGCTGACAACCGACGTCAACATTCTGAAAACCCATGCCAGTAAAGTTTTGAACTTCTGGAAGAACCCACTCATTGTTTATTAAAACATCTTCAAGACAGCCCACCAGAAATGGTTGTTCGTGGGTCAACTTTCGCAAATTGCTAGGTATACCTCCAATGTAGGTTGTCGGAAAACTGGTAGAGCTGACATTATAATTTTCATTGTAACTAATAGGATATATAGTCTGTTCATCATTTGCCGATAGAACTAGATGAGATGAGTTGATGGCAACGAATACCTACATCTGACCGTAAGAAAGATTTCGATTGAAAGTTTAGTTTACCTTTTGCCAGGAGCTGTTATTCAACTTAGAACCAATGAAAACGCCTTCCCATTTATTCAACAGGCTGGAGTGTAAATTGAGTCTACCACGAGACAATTCCAAAATGTAATATGTCGATCCTTTACCTAGAGCCAGTAAACCATCGCCGAGAGTAGTTTTAAAACGGAATTGTATATCATAACCTTCCTCACGTGTCGTATTTACAACAACAAGCGAATGACCAGACAGTGACATTGTCGTAACTTTATCACAAATATCCCCATGAAAACCATTCGAACACGAACAGTTAAATCTGTGTTCGGTTTCATTAATTAGATACGGCTTGCAAGTACCATTATTATAACAGGGATTTTCTAAGCAACCCGTGAGAAGTACGGAACAGTTTTTCCCTCCGTACTCCGGATCACAGTCGCAATAGTAATTGGCTCTTCTATCCATGCAAATCCCGTGCTTGCACGGTTGATATTTTTCGCATTCGTCGATGTCAATTTCGCAATGTTCCCCCTCGAAACCATCATCACATTCGCAAATATATCCTCCTATTTTATCGACGCATGTCCCAGTTAAACATGGCGAACTTTCGCATTCGTTGATGTTTATTTCGCAATTGCGTCCGGTTACTCCAGTTAAACATAAGCACTCATACCTAAATTATAATACACAGTGTTGGTAAAAATTTAAAACAAATAAACTTTTGTGCCAGATTGTGATAGGTTTGTAATGCAATTCTTTATTGGCCTAAATGTAAAATCTTTACGATTAATGTGCGCATGTGCAGGTTATTTATTAAGATATTTTTGGAAATTTTAACCATACGTTTCCAGTAAAGGGAAACATCGCATATTAGTCCAGGAAATATATAATTTTAGGATGTAAAATTCATGGTAGTTCTGGACATAGGCTTGTTTTATGTTTTCTGTGCCTATGAATCCGAATTTTCAACTTCCCACCAAAAATTCCCCCCGCAACCCTCCCAAATTTTGAAAAAAAGAAAAAATATCATTTTTTTAAAAAAACCGTTATTTTGTGTATTTCAGAAAAAACTATCTGGAAATTTAGAAAGTAGACAAAATTTGCTACAAAAAAATCATATGATATTTTGACGTAGGGCGAATGGGTAGGGCGTTAGCACGTCTCAGAACATGCACCTTGGTCCCGTACGCACGCCGGGACATTAGACGATAACTGCGTGGTTTTCGCCACTTTCGCGACCTTGCCTATTTATCGCTGACTGTCATTTTCAATTTGTTTGTTCATCCCCTCCCCTGAAAAGCGCAGAAAGATTGCGAAGAGAAAGAAAGCAGTCATCGGTTGACATAATTTTTGATGAATGTATGACTTCTTGTTGGCCAGGCAAATTTTTTATCTAATAGCAGAAATTAAACATCGCCTCATTGAAATTATTAGGAAGTCGACAGTGCGACAAGCTGACGAAAACGCAGACTGTCTCATCGTTAATGCAGCAATTGAAATGGCATCAATTCATCCATCGGTGATTATTGTCGGCGAAGATACAGATTTATCAGTTCTATTAATTGCACTTCCTCAATCCGCCAATATTTACTTCATGAATCCCGCCAAAGCCAAAGTTTCACAACAGATCTACTCATCCTTTGGTCTAAAATATACTATTTTTACACGCTTTCAGCGACTGTGACTTTATGTCTGCAATTTTTGGTCACCGTAAAACCAAATTTATTAAAGGCCTTGTCTAGAACTCAGATTTGTTTTTCCTAGCTTAGCTGTAAAACACAATATAGCCTCTTTGCCTCCAACTGAACAACACTCACTCAGGACGTACCATCAAGTTCAACTTTGGCTAGAAAATGCGAGAGAAAATGTCATGGAACCACAAAAATTTCTCTATCTCCTGTCATTACATTTAAACCTTCCGTTCCACCAAAATTCTAAAGCTAATCTCCTGGGTGTAAAAAAAGGCTGACGTGGCGCGTGTGGATGCAAAAAAAGTGGGTTGAAATGTTCAATAATGTGCCTCGAGTGCAACAATTCATGCGACAATAACCCCTAAAGATATCGTCGAAGATTTGGATGAAGAGGATCGACAAGCAGAGGAACTTGAACTGCTATTTGAAAAGGTACTCCATCAAGCTGATGAGATTATTTTGGGGAAATCACGTAAATTTGATGAGCCAGCTTTTCCGAAAACACGGAAGAATTGTCAGATTAGTTGTTTCTAAACTTCCTTTTTTCTCTTCCTTCAACAATGGATCAAATCCACTTTAAAAACGGGACTTTAATTAAATCTTTTTCGCGCATGAACCTAGCTGTGGGCCCTCAGCTGCAGTTAAACGGAAAAGAGTAGATAATTGAAACTTTTTTTTAAATAATTTAATTTAGTAGTAAAAGTCTATATTTGTTAAATATGTAGATGTGTTCTTAATTCTGAACTTGTCTGAAAACAGGTGGAGAAAAGTTGGAGGTTGAGGGTTGACTTCCATATGTTAAAAAATAAGAGAGATTAAAGGAGGGAAGGGATTAAAACGAAAGATAAAGTGGGTGAAGAGAGAGCGAACGCGAACGCGGTGGGGTGTTAAGCGAAGTGCGCCTGAGTTGCCAATGAGCATACTTCAACGCACGCCAGTGGCCTCTACGTGCGTAGTACGTAAAAATCTGTTTTAGGAATCCAATCTCAGCCGTGTGTATCGATGGGCTACGAGTAGTAGACCTACAAAAATTCATCGAGCCTTTGAAAACCTTATCTACTCATTCCACATTATTTGGGTGCAGTTTAGTGAATTTGCTAGTAGTAAAAGAACTAAAAGTGGGTTACCAAACCAAACTTACTTTTAAATGCGATATGTGTGGTTTTTCTAAATCTATATATACCTGTCCAGAAAGTCCACAAAGCGTAGACGTGAATACGTCAGCAGTTACTACAGTCATGAACGTAGGAGGCTGTTACACACAACTCGTAAATATTACTGGTGCAATGAACATTCTGAGTTTAAGTTTTTCTTTATACAAGAAGATTCATAGTGAAATATGCACTGCATGGGAAGACCTTGCTCGGAAATCCATGAAAGAGGCTGCAGAAGAAGAAAAAATGATGGCTTTACAATGGGGCAGAGTAGACGTAAATGGAACGCCAATGATTACTGTAGTTGGCGTCTTGGCGACGGAAGCTGGGCCAAGCGTTCATACAGAGGGACAGGAAATTATAGTTCCCTTTCTGGAACTGCTGCAATAGTAGGGTTAAAATAAAAAAAGATTCTGTATTTAGGTGTTAAGAACAAGTACTGCTGTGTATGCCAAAGGGCTAAAAATATCGGCTCTGAAGCTGCCGCGCACACGTGCTATAAAAACTGGAACCTTTCTTCAACGGCTATGGAAGCGACCATTATAGCTGAAGGTTTTTGTTCAAGCTTTGAAATGTATGGGCTTATTTATAATAAACTTATAGCTGATGGTGACAGTAGCTGTTACAAAAAACTATTAGATAGTAGACCGTATGAAACCTGTACAGTGGAGAAAATTGAATGTAGCAATCATTTACTCAGACATTATTGCAATAAACTGAAGGAACTTTCCAAGATGAGGGGTATTCCTGGATCACTAAAAAATATTTTGTCAAACAACATTTTACGCTGCAGAACGGCGGTGGTGAAGGCAATTAAGTATAGAAGGAGTGAAGCCAATACAAGCTTAGAAGATAATATCAAAAACCTGAGAAAGGACATCATCAATAGCGTAAGCCATATATTTGGAGAACATTTGAATTGGACGGAATTACGCTACTTTTGTGAAAAAACGGAACCTGACCAAAATAATTACATGTCTGATTTTCGAACATTGAACCTCGATGAAAAGCTAATGGACGCAGTAAGGTATTAGGCAGGACACTCTATAAGCTTACTCGAAAACGTTAAACGTTAAAAAATAATGAAGACCGAGCAAAACGAGAATTAGAATCAAAATTTGGTTTGCAAATTTCCAGCTGCGGCCTTATTATAAATAAAGATTGGCCATTTCTTGGTGCTTCTCCAGATGGAATTGAAGTGAATTCAGGATGTCTGGTAGAAATTAAATGTCCGTACTCAGCCAGAAACAATACTATTAAAGAAGCAGTTGCAAATAAACTGATAACATATTTGGACGTAGAAGGTGATACCTATAATTTAAAGACCAGTCATAATTATTACTACCAAGTCCAGGGGCAATTGAATATATCAGACAAAGAACAATGTTATTTTGCGGTATGGACTCCAAAGGAAATTGTCTGTATAAAAATTCCAATTGATAGAACTTTTTTTATAAATTCAATGCTGCCAAAATTACATAAATTTTATTTTAATTGTCTTGCCTGAAATTATAGACCCTAGACATACAAGAGGATTAGAAATAAGAAACCCGGAGTATATAACCAAAGCACAAAGTGATAAAGTAAACACCTAAAAACACTATATATAAAAATATTCCATTTTTTCCCTTACTACTGTGACTGAGTCGTGTACCTTATGACTAAGAAGAATAAGAATTAAACCATTGTACATAATAAATAAATATTTTTAACATAAGCTATTTTTGTGTTGCTTAAAGCTAATTTGAAAATTCCCGAAAGATTATGACAACGGATTATTTATGCGTACAAAGGAAAATAAGTTGAGGCATTTAATATTCCTATAAATAAGAAACTTAGCCTTTGAGTAGTCTGCGCAGTGCGCATGCACACACCTAATGTTTACAATATGCGATATGTTTGCCTTTACTAGAAGAATCTTCGGTTAAAATTTCCAAAAAATATCCATTTTTTTTTGTAATGCGTTAACAGGACATGCCCAACACTGCTTCCGAAGTATAATGATAGGTAATAATTTTTTGAATTGTTTAGAGGCATTGTAGAATGCGTCTATATAAGTAAGTGGTGAAAGCTTTGTACAGTCTATACTGTGAGTAATTTCAAAAGGGTTTTTGAATTTAATTAAATCCCTTTTTCAGTACCTAGGTTTTCGCAAAACTGCAAGGTAATACCTAATCTTTTAAATTTACCGAGTTGACTGATTGCTGGTACGCAAAAATTCATCCAGAATAGTAGGAACAATATTGTAACTATTTTTTATCACGAAATTTATTTCCTAACTAAGTAAGCCTCAAGTTTGAGTTATCGGGCATGGAGTGGAACGATTAACACAAGTTAAACCCGAGGCTAAACCACTTGTTACAATTTTCAAATGGTTCACGATGAAGTACCGAAATATATTATCGTAATGGATTCTTTATTATAAATTGTATACTGCGTCGCGCAAGGCACTATCTGGTATGGTATTGCAATGCAAATTTAAAAGTACGCGTACCTTATGAATAAGTTCAAATATGTTCCTTTCAAATTGGTCAGAAAATACTGCAGTAGGGATATGCTAATGCCCGCCTCCGACTGCGATCCTCTCCACCCGACCGCGGAGCGCTTCCCTAGCCGTATGTAGAGAACGTAAAGACATTTGATAGGCAGCCAATCAAATGTCAAAATTTTTGTTTAAACTCAGATTTGGCAAATAACGTAGGATTTTGATTATAATTCGCTTTCCTGCAACCGGCCGTCACAGTCGCTCAGTGCTTCCAGAATAGTTGTTAGTAGTATGCATTAAGTATTTTACGAAAAAGTACTAACGCAGTTTTAAGAATTACTAGTTTATACAAAATTATTCGTAGAATGTAAATAGATGTACGCATTTTTAGAAGTGTCACAATTCAGAACAACTTTGTTGTATTTTTATTCAACAACATTATAGTAAGTATAGCAGAATCAATGCAACCGAATGAAAAAAGTTATGCTGCTTTACCAAATGTTATTCTCAAATTGTTTATTTTCATATAGGCAATAATAGAGGACAGCACAATGCATCACAAAAGTTTATTTTAAATCTATAGTTACCCTGCTGCATCTGCAAAATCAAATGATTTATTGAACGCATCTGGCAATGTAACATTCAAGGTAGCTACGACATTAGGTTCGTAAAGTGTTTTGTTGGACTTTTCCAAGCACAACCCCAAGTTTTTACAAGGTGTACTTTCACACTCATCGATATCTTCCTCACAATTTTTTCCTGAAATAAACAATTAGACTAAACGCCTTGTATAAGCCTGCAATTCTTACCTGTGTAACCAGGAAAACACTGGCATCGATAATTTTTAATTTCATCAACGCACACTCCACCATTTTGGCATGGATTACCGACGCAATCGTTAATATTAATCTCGCAGTGCAGTCCAACAAATCCGGTATCTGTACAATTACAGGTGTAGCTGTTTAAGCCATCTATGCATTGCGCCCCGTTCAGACAAGGAGACGACTAAAAGCAAACATTTATATTTTATTACAATTAAGGCAGACATTACTTCGCAATCATCAATATTGACATCGCACAGTTTGCCCGTTAAACCCGGTTGGCAAACGCACATAAATTCGTTAATTCCGTCTATGCAAGTAGAACCAGCAACGCAGGGCATTGGATCACATTCGTTTATATTAATTGAGCAATCTTTACCTACAATTCATTACAGATAAGCCTAAGTTTGTATTGGGTAAGAGTACCGACCAGTATAACCAGGCGGACAAACACACTCAAAGTTATTGATTTTGTTAAGGCAGGTGGCGTTGTTGCGGCAAGGCATAGAAAGGCACTCGTCAAAGTCCAAATTACAGGTCTCCCCTGTATATCCAGGTTCGCAATAGCATTGAAAGCTTCCCGGTTTATTTATACAAATCCCATGATTGCATACTGACATACCTGTATACTTACATTCGTTTATGTCAGTATCACAGTTCGCACCTGTAATTAATTACAGAAGTTGGATTATTTGCTTACAAATCATTTATACTGAAATCGTCGTACGTAATACTAACAGTGTATTATACCAGATACTCTCATCCACTAAAACATTTCATATTGATAACAATAATAGTAGTTTATTGTCCTAATATTAATTTTTATTTCAACCATTATTAGAACAGGCACTGATAATGGATGTGGTGTCATTTTGAACAGTTAGTTGAATTAGTTCGAAAATTGAATAAGCTTTTAAAAATTTGAAAAAGATTATTTTCCTCGTATACATTCGTCTTCTGTCACCATGAAAAATCATGGTTGACTTTAAATTAATAACTTACGAGACTCATTAGTATCGATCGTAAATTCTAAAGAATTAACTACACAAATAAAATAGAAAAATCTGACATGAAAGTTCCGGAAAGAAAGTAAAGCTGGTTTGGACATATTACCCCGCACGCAAGCGGTCGACATATAAAATAATAAATCTTAAATTACTTATTTTTTTAATAATCCAAATAATCTGGCCGTACAGAGTATGCGATATTCAGGCGTTGATAGTTTCTTGAATTTTCACTTGTTAACACTGATCTTGATGACAAACAAAACTGGCCTGATGAATAAGATGACAAACTTTCGGTCCTGTTCGGCCAGTAAGAAATTTAATAGGAAAAAAACCTTAACAAAAGGCCTCACTGCTTCCCTTTTCAACTCGACAAAACTTTTCCATAAAAAGACAACATACGTTAAACTTCTCACACAACTTGGTTAACTTGCTTCAACAAAACAAATAAGGCTGACTGCCCGTGATTTAGCGTAAACAAAATGTACATGCTCTTTTTCCGTCGCGAAAACTAGCAGCAGCAGCCTTGTTTTTGCGTTGATTCCATTATTCAAAGAAATCCTACTTCCACCATAAAATAATCTTCTTTTGAATTTTCAAATAAATCGCCAATCAAGGATGAAACGCGCCAACCGTCTCCACTTCTCCAATATGAAACGCGCAATTCTTGGAAACACTTTATCTCTTTAACAGCCATGTCTTTCAACTTTGCCCGAATGTCATCTTAACTTTTTCACAATATTGGTATGAAACTACTGACCTTTCAATGACATCCACTGCAGTAATCGTTTCAAACTGAATGGTTCATTGTTCATAACTCCCTTGTAACTAATTTATAACATGTCAATTTATAATTTATCGGAATTGAGCGCGAAAATCACTAGTCATCCATTTGGCATCAATGTAGAACTGACTGAAGCACAATTCTATTTACTTATACAGTGTGTCCATGACAAGGATGTCTCTACAAGATACCATTAAGAGATTTTCAATACAACTTTAATTGGTTTCAAGAGGATGGTGCACCCGCGCACAATTCCCAAATAGCGCGATAATATCTACCGAACAGATTTTATTGAAAATGGAAGATTGTCCGATCGGTGTCCATTTCATATTTTCTTCTATTCATCTTAATTATGGATTTACATAGATTTCTTTATTTGATTTGCATAACAAGTGTGTTACGTGATATTACTCAAATGGTAAACACCATTGTTGATACACTGCTGGAGCCTCGCGGGCGATGTCACCCAGAATGGCAGGCACCTCCTGGTTTATCATCTCTCTCAGAGCTTCCAAAATTTGAGGCCGATCCTTCTCAGTAGTGCCTTGAAACGATTACCTATGTGTGCTGAGTTGCCCCGTCCTGTTGAACCCACACAAAAGCTTGCAAGCGTGGCAGGTTTAAAGTATTGCATAGTAACGATCAGATGTCACCACTACAGTAGGACCATCATGTTTGAAGCAGTATGGACCCCACACACCAGAATAAAAAATGGCGCACCACACATTCACTTGCGGGCTGTTGAATGGTTTCGCTTAAGCGATACCGGCAATTGTTGCTTGTTAACAGCACCTGAAAGGTGGAACTTTCTCGTCTGAGCAGATGAGAATAGCGTTGGTGGGAACGTTCCGCAACATGTCTTCGCAAAATCTTTGGCGCGCTCCTATCAGACAATCGCAAGGCAGTCGCCTGTTTCCGTGCAGATCATGCTCTCAACTAAAATGGCACAAATACAGCTGCATGTAGACTCGCTCCCCAAGTCCCTCTTTCACCCGCGTTACGACCCACTAAAATCTGCCACACCTTGTAATTTAAATTTTTGATTTTATTTTCATCTATATACTTATGCAAGGTAATGAAATAAAGGTATTTATTATTATCATCATCTACATAAATATAAATGAATATTTGCATGTATGAAACCGAGCTTAGGTACCATTCATCCGATTGCGAAATTGATGAAACTTTGGGGAATGGTTGGACGTATGCCCGCGAAGGTTTCTGACTTAAAAAATTGCGCGATGTGAGGCGAAACCGAGCTTATGTTCCATCCGAAAACGGTACCATTGAGCGAGATGAGGCGGGACATTGACTGATATCGCCTATCAGTCAACAAAGTTCGCTGGGTCTACTAGTTATTATTATAAAATGATTTTACATTCACATGCTAAATAAACTTGTTTTGCAAAGGTTTTTGTGGAAAGAAAACAAGTACTTTGGTACTTTGTTCAGTAGTAGCTATGAACACCTTTTGCTTGTAGACTGGCCATATCGTTTTTTGTTACAGTTCTACAGTATACACATATTGGACTGAAATATTCTGTGAGAGGCTAGCTTTAAAACTCTGTGATTGGTTGCGATTAGGAAATGTTACCACCAAACAATCAAAATACCTTTAAAATGTAACTTTGATTGAAATGGCTTCTGATCATGAATTCCCAAATGAGTTGTAATATAAAACGCCCTATCCCGCCAAACAATTTATATAAGATTACCAAGCCAATTTGTTTTATTACGTAATTATGGAAAAACTTTCCTGTATAACCAGGTAGACAATTGCAGGAATAAGTATTAGATTTTTTGTCAAACACGCATGTGCCTTCATTAAGGCACGGTTGCAACTCTACACAAGGGTTATATAGAATAGAGCAGTTTGGACCAATGTATCCTGTAGGACAACTGCATTTGTAGTCACCAACCAAGTCCACGCATTCTTGACCAGGAGGGCAAATTGCGCCCAGACAATCGTCAATGTTTATTTCACATTTTGCACCTTCAAACCCTGCAAACATTACAATTAGAGCGAAACACATGAAAAACGTACAACCTTTTGAACAATGACAAACAAAATCTCTTTTACTGGAAGATGGTATACACGTTCCACCATTAAGGCAAGAGTTACTTTTGCAAACTATAAGCGGTTGCTCACAAATTTTACCTATCCAATTATCTGTACAATTGCAACGAAATCCATTGGTAGTTGAATAACATACTCCACCATTCAGACAAGGTGCTGACTGACAGTCGTTTGTAATATGGCAAAAGTTACCTATGATGATAACAATCATCAACTAAGCAAATAACTTTAAACCCACCCACATCGACAAAGCATTCTAAGGATTAATAAAGCATGCAGTGATTGCAAAGTGCTCACAATGGGACACAAGTTAGCAATAGAAGTTATTGTTATTTAACTTTGAAGACGACGCTTACCTACCTGCCAAATAAATTAACACAAGCACTTATCAGTCCTAGACTCAGACTGCAACAAAAAAGTAGATTACAGTATCTTCCAATGTACGATTAATGAAACACATTTCGAGCAGGTATCTCCGATCATGCCGTATCGACAAAGCCAATGGAGGAGAAATAAAATACGTAAACCTATGCAAAATAAATACTTTCAAAACAGATCAATTGAAAATCGTGCAAGATGCAATTGAATTAAATATTTGCAAGCATTTAATACATTCTTTTGCAAAAAAGAAACAGTATTAATTACCTGTATTATTAATTTCCATATACAGTATAGGCTATGAAAGAAAATAAAAATAATAGTTTCAGTGCCAGTCTTTCAGATTTCAGTTAAATTTATCCAACAGATAACTCCCAATGTGAATACTTTTGTTTCCATGGAAATTAACTGTTGATTTTTTATGTTGGTCGACTCGGGATTCGAAGAGTGAAAATTTGGGATTTTGATTTCTTCAAACTGATAGCTCATAAATGGATATTTGCTAATGTTGCTTAAAAAAGTGTTTGATATTTAAATACTTCTGATTTTTGAAAAGCATCTGACTTTTAAAAAGTATTTTGCCCAGGTCTGCAACAGGTTATGGGCTCAGAGTCGTAAAACTGTGCCAAGACGAGTAATAATTCAGTAGTGCCGCGTGAAAAAAGCCGACATTACAAGCGCGTTAGAAACTACCGTCGTGTATGTAATAAAACCCCGCGTATTTAGAAATGTTGGGCAAAGACAATTACGACACTTGGAAATGGCAACCGTATTTCCACCCTTCAACAGTTTTTTTTTATTCGATTGATAAGTTGAACGACATGCAAATTGAGATCAATCTAGATCTGCTGCTGATACCGTTGTGTACAGTTTACAGTTATCTTTTGAGAATTTTCGTTGTGCAATAGGAACGCGCGACGATCAGCCGATGCCAGATGCTTTCTGTATAAAAATCAAAGAGGAAAGCGACGCACGCAAAAATGAAGCTGGAAATACGAGCGCCATGTTTGTAAAGAAATACGACCGGTAGCAGAATCAACGACGATAAACGAAAGGACAAAAAAGTGACAATTCATTGTTTTAAATGTAAAAAGTTAGGGAACAAAGCAAACGTGTCGGAAAAACAGGAAAGAGCATGACATTCGTGGATAATGTCTGTCTCAAAGTGTCAACACTGAAGATAAACGACCCAAGGACAGTGGTGCGACCACTCACTTATGCAGTAAAGGTCGATTCTTGCGAATGAAAAGGAATTTTTCCCAGTTAACGCCGAAGAATCAAAAGCATATCACATTTGGTCTTCAGCGAAACGTCAACTACTCACTTCTCGTGACCCGAAGTTCCAGGAGGACAAGCTACCGGTTGGCGGTTTCGATACCAAAAACTCCAGATCTACCAGAGAATGAAATAGAGATCAAGAACTTAGTAGATCTACAATTTGTGGAATTCGAATTTCCATCTCATTTTCACAGAAGTCTACGTATTTGGAAAATGAAGAATTCCAGGGTTTTGTAAACGATGATGAAGAGGACAACTCTGAGTATCAGGACGCCAACGACGACTTGCTCAAGGACTAAGGCACCATTGGTCACACATTCAGCCAGCAACCCGGCGTCCACTTTACGGAAACATTTGAACCAGTAACTCAGGGCTCCATTCGTTTGATGGCATTACTTGCTGCTACACATCGTGAAAACCGCGTATCTAAACGGATTTCTGAAGGAGAAGGTTTACATGGATCCACCGAAAAATCTTCATGAAATTCTGCGTAATATCACAGATTCAAATGGCAAGTGTCAAGTTAGACCAAGAGCGAAGAAAACAACACGGCCAGATATTTCGTTTGCAGCTAGTTATTTAGGACAATTTAACAATTGTTTCAATACAGACCATTGGAAGGCTGCAAAGCGAGTCCTACAGTACTTGGAAGGTTCTATTAACAAGGGATTACCATACAGATCTGATCCTAAATAGAAAGTCCTACTACTTATTTTATTTATTGTCCCTCTTGTTCTGGGCCCTCAACAGGCGCCCAATTACAGAGTGACCCGCGTAATCCTTTTTTAGAGGTGCCCCTGCAGAAGGTCTTAAGTTGTTTTATACTACTCCGGTATTTACCTTATAAACTAGGAAGAGTGCAGGCAAACCTACTTCGGAGTAGCCGGCAGAATGCTCGAAACTTATCTAAGGTAATTCCCATCTCTGCCACAGATCAAAAATTCACTTCAACCCAGGTTCGAACACCCGACCTCCGCCTATGCAGCTTTGTAGTTCGGAACTGGGGATCAATAACCTGGGATTCATGTTGTGTTATTGTTATTACTGGTCTAATAGCCATTTGCACTGACAAATTTAAGCGGGGCTTAGCTTATGCGTAGCTTAAAATAAAATCCATGGGAACCATTGTATCAATAATCGATGCCATGAATTGTAAGCTATGCTTAGGCTCACTTCCGCTTAAATTTGTCGGTGCAAACGGCCATAAGTCTATTAACCACTGAACCAACAGTTGATGTATACTGCATTCGCACCTCCTGATGCAGTATGAGGTCTTATGGACTAAATGCCTCTCTTAATATTTTGCGTTATTCTTCCATAACACTATCCTTGTTCTTTAAGGCAATGATGCCAAACTGACATATGATTGAATTGAAGTGTAGTATTAAAATAATATAATCTCCTTGTGCTGTCACTTTCACGTTTGGGAAAATGTTTAACAAACATGCATCTGGAGGTGCGAACGCGCTATAGTTGATTTTAATAAATCACAAAAGGTAAGGAAGGTGTATACATCTCCCTTTGTTGCTCCATGGGGCGAATATGGAGACCTACATAGAATTCACAATAAGTAAATACAAATTTTCAAGACAAGTGTTATTCTTACATTCTTCACTATCATGGGTTGACTAATGGGTTGACGAACATAAAAAGTTTGTTTTAAATACGGCTAGTATCTGTAGCTATCCTGGAACCCACGAAATATTGAAAACTGCTGCATGTTATAACTCGGTGACCCATAACACTAGTCAAAGTTATAGGCACTCACCATAAATTACATGAACTAGGTACAAACAGGAACTAGTTATAGAAAATCGAATGAATAGGTGGGACAATTTAATACTATATAGTGGGTATGAATCTTATAGTGTGAGTTACCGTGCGTGTTAAAGTTTGGCCGTTACCCAAAAAGTCTTTATTGGGGAACTTAGAAATAAAGATAAGGTGAAGGCCCGCGGATCCCTTTTGAAAAACTACCCCAAAACCACCCCCAAAGGTGCATTTTTTTGGTTTTTTTCAATTTTCTCAGAAAATATTTTTTCGGAAAAATGTCAAGAGCCCTAATTTAAAGAAAATACAATTTCCTATCGATTGGTATATAACATGTTTATTTTCAACAAAAAATAAATTGTAAAATCCCCCTACAAATATTGCAAAAATACATTGGCCTCTATAATTTCCGACACGTTATTCAATTTTTAACAGGTGAAACATTGTTAGTTCCCTAATACCTATGTACTCTGGTACACTCTTGAATATAAGAAATATCAAAAAGGCAAACTTAAAATACATAATATAAAAAAAACAACACAGATTAAAAATATCTGCCACGCAATTGCGAGCGTATTTATGTCCTTTCCCCCCATAAAGCGAAACATTACTGCAGATTAACAAAAAATATTTATCAGTACCTACTAAAAAAACGCATCCCTAAAATGCACGCTGACTAATTATTGTTGAATTATGAAATGTCTTGACAACATAGCTTCGGCGCCCATCATGATACAACATCGCGCGAAATAAAAATGAGAGGTAGGCAGTTTTATGCGCCCAATTTGTATAAATATTAGACGATAAGAATAATGTACCTACCTAACAAGAGTTTGTTGTCTATTATTAGACTTAGCTATAAGTTCCTTCACCTTCAAAAACTTCACAACCAATGGGATCGAATAGCATTAAAAATCATAAAAATATTTCAGTGTTGGCGGCGATTGTGAACTTTTGGATTTGGATACTGTAGGTATATGCCAAAGATTAAAAAAAGCCCCAGACCCCAAAAATTTCGGACTCCCCGATCCCAGTAATGACGTAATCGAGGACGTCATCTAAGTAGGAACATAAAAACTAATTTTAAGAATATACATATCCAATTAAAGTTCTAGTGAAGTTTTTCTGTAATTTAATGGAAAAAAGTGTTTTCATTTGAAACAGAAAACAAATTCAATTACTAATTCTCAGAACAATGTCCTTCACATGCGCACAATTGTGTACACTGAAAACCATTTTTGACGCCCTTGCACACAGTACACCTCTGTTTGCAGCTACAGGCAATTAGTTCTTCATAACTTTTTGCGTTATCTGGTAGAGTAGACCACAAGGGTCGAAACCCGTCATTAGCTTTTTCCCATCCCCAGGGATCGGGAGAAGGGGATTGATGGTTTTTTCCAGACAGTTTTTCCATATAAGAGCTTGAAGGGTGGCTCGCTTGATATGCTGAAGTAAAGCATTTTCCGTTGGAGGTATATAATTCTCAATTGCTCTACTTTTTTTAATAAAAAGGAATCGTCTACACTCATTCACTGTGTTTAAGGGAGATGTTGCATCATACAAAAGAATCACAAATCTTTGCACGGTACTTATCATATTCTCATCTGAGAGTTTTCCCATTAGCAGCTGCTCAAGGATTTTATTAAAATCTTAAAATTGTTATTAGATAATTCTATTAAGGTATATCATACATATCTAATATTAATTTTTACTAAAAATATGGTCCTTTACAAAGTTAGTCTATGTCTGTGCATAGTTTTTTTGATCTTCCATTTGATGACAACACTACTGGTAGTAAGAGGTTCGGAATTTTGGGGTCTGGGTCGATTTTTGATCTTTGATATATGCAGAAACTATATCAGCAAAAGGCATGTTGGCCGCACTGAAATATTTTTATGCTATCCAATCCCACTAAACAGTTTATGACAATATTATCACCTATCAGCCATCTAGTCTGGTCATTCAACTAATAGGTACTGCGTTCAGTAATGATCACGTAGACACACTGGTGCGGCTGAAAATTTATAGAGGCCAAAATTAGTCTTAAAAATAACTGAAATTACTCAAAATAATTACTTCAAAATAAATAGATCATTAGAAGTTTAATTTATATTTTTATTAAATATCGGTAGTATTAGTCCAGCTTGTCACATTTTTTTATTTTTACCTTAATTTTATTACCTTATTTTCGATTAGTTATTAATTAATTAACATTGCATACACCAATCGATAGGAAATTTTCTTATCTTTAAATTAGGTCTCTAGACATTTTGCAAAAAATCAATAGTTTCCGAGAAAATTGTACAAACATAAGCAAATGTACCTTTGGGGGTGGTTTTGGGGTGGTTTTTTTTGGGAGGATCTCTGGGCCTTCATCCTATCTTTTTTCCTAACCCTCCAATATACCTATTTCCAGTGAAGGCCAAACTTTAACACGCATGGTAACTCACAACTCGTTTTTATATGGGATTTAATACCTACTATATAGGGTTACTCAGAGATATCTGCAATGTGAAATACAAATCCTAATTAAAAACTTCAATATGGAATGAGGTATGTCTTTCTAATTTACACACAGCATGCTAACATGACAATTTATGAATCCTTACCTAGTGACAAAGCAAGCACATTTAGCATAAATCCAAGTGCAATGCAAACACACACAAATTAGAGCAACACTAAGAACATACATACCTGTATATCCCTGAGAACATGTGCAATTGTAAGAATTGCTTAACGGATTGCATGTACCACCATTTAAACATGGATTATTAATGCAAACAGTATCAGTAGAGCAATTCGGTGGCAAGCATGGGTTTTCGTAAACTTCCAATTCGCATACTTTGCCTGCAAATCCGGATTGACACAAGCAATCGTACCCTCCCAGTTTGTGTATACACTGCCCACCATTTAAACAAGGCTGCGAAACGCACTCATCCACGTTCTGAAAATAAATCGATACATATTTGCAAAATCGACCACCTAAATTATACATATTGGCACATTTTCCCATCAAAACCGGGTGGACAAAGACACGTAAACCCTCCGTATGTATCAAAACATGTTCCGAAATTTTGGCAGGGATTGGTCCGACATTCATTGATGTTAATTTCACAATTTTTGCCTGCATACCCTGTTGCGGTACAGTCACATACATAACTATCATTACCATCCTTGCACTTTCCATTATTTAAGCATGGAGCGGATTGGCACTCGTTGATGTTAACCTCGCACAGCGCGCCAGTAAATCCTGGTAGGCAGTTGCATTGTGCTCGAGATATAGCCGTATTAACAACGCACATTCCATTATTTAAACAAGGATTCGGCGTACACAGAGGACTTATTATTACTTCTTGCTCACAATTAACACCTGAAACCGAAGTGTGTGAAACCTAAAGCAGAGGATTCACCAAAAACACACCGACATAACCTGGCGCACAACTGCACCGATAGTTCCCATTTATTTCAATGCAAGTGGCGCCATTCTTGCAGATTGCTGGTTTTTTATCGCAAAAGTTACCCAAATCAATTTCACAGTTTTTTCCAGAATATCTAGGGGAACATGTACATGTATAAGAGTTCGATCCGCTATGACATGCCCCTTGCCCCATGCACGGTTCGTTAATACAATAATCAATGGCTCGACTTGTCTTCATATCTTCCTTAGGTGAACCTGAAAACTAACCGTTATTCACAACTCTCGCATAACTAAACTTACAAGAGTTGAGCGGAATTGGACATACACCGAATATAACGTTATGAGGATGAATAAAGCTTTTATTAAATATAATTGAAGGTCCTTCTAATATGCAGCCGATGAAATGATTTCCAACGATTAATATGGCCCCGTCATTGTATAAATTAGGATTCGTTAACACTTCCGATTGATATGTTGCATTTGCAAATAGCTGAAACAGATTAGATCAAATTTTAATATAAATTATTTGCTTTGGTTAGTGATCATGAAAAGTTGCAGAACTACAGCATATTTCAAGCTTGCCGTATTATCCTATTGTTTTGCTCAGAAATCATGCAAATTTTATATATTTTTAAATCCTAAATACTTTTGAGTTTTCCAGACTGTTTTACAAAAACGAGGACCATTATATAAATTTAATTTACAACAAAAAACGAAATATATCCATTGATCACGCCTACCTAATCACAATACAATGTTCACCTGCAGTTCAGAAGCTAGTGAATCCTCTCAGAATTGTTTTTCGATAGTGACATATTTTATTGTTAAAACAATTTTTTTTTACCTAAGTATTTTCCATCCATTAGTGTAAAAACACATTTTCTCATTTAACGAACTACAAAATAAAATATCCTTATGATTTGCTGCCTCAACTTCTCTCAACAACCTCTCAACTATGTACGCCATTTCCCGATTAAAATAAATAGTCGAGACAAATATATCTAAAGAAAAGGAATTTTATTACTGAAAACAAAACACTTAAACCAAACTATGCTCAGTGGTTTCCATCCTAGATGCAATGAACAGAATGATCCCTGTTACAATATTTAGCTAAAATAAACAGAACCAGGTGCCAAATTCTTGGCTACCTAGCTCAAACGAAAAAGTGTCACGCGTTACAATTCTGGGAAAAACGTTTGTTATATCTGAGTTTTTAGCGCCGTGACGTCATACAACTTTTTTTCAAATAGCAACGCAAAATTTTTATTTAACTGTTCAAAAGACTTTCTTTTTCTGTATACAATCTCCAAAAATTAGGCTAGGTTTTATTAATATACCCTTTCGGGTCGGCCAATCAGGTGTAGGTAATTTCTATAAAAGTGAATTGTGAATTGACCGAGATATTTATGAGTTTCACGAACACTTAAGGTTTGGTACGAAATTTATCTCGAAATTTATAGTGTTTCTTGGAAGTGATAAACCTATAAACATAATATACACCTATAAATCTATAATATACTGGTATCATTACAATAAGGTAAACGAAATCTACCTAAATCAATCAAGCACTAAAGTCATAGCAAACAAAAATTATTAAAATGAAGTACAATAAAAAAACAGTTGACATTATTTATTTTAGATATTATCATAAAAGCGTCCGAGTATTGCTATGAAAATAGCTGCTACAACCCTTAAATATTTCACTCAGTACAGTGAACAGGGTTGCCAGGCGTCCCGATTTGAGCGGAACTGTCCTGAACTCAACGGACAAATCTCGAGCCCCCCATTGCTTCTAAAAATCCAATTCCAAATCCAATTAAAATTATGTATTTTTCTTTGTTTCTTAATTCTTGAACTTCCATTTAAATTTTTTTTGGAACTTGTTTTGGAAATCTGGCAACCCTGGTATAGAAGGACATTATTACTTAAAATACAGGGTCGGGGTAAATATACAAAGTCTCAAAAAAGGTTTTTGGGTTCTTCGGCGCATACTAGGCAGTAATAATCTTAATTATACAAGGTTGGTCATAAAGGCGAGGCACACCAAAATTACATTTTTTTTAAATGGAACACCTTGTATATTCGATTTTTAAATTCTTCTCTCAATATTAAAGAGAATTTCTAAGCATAATGTACCCTAAATTCAATTGTTTTGGTGTTATGTGCGTCAGTACTCAATGTTTAACAAAAATTGCTAGATGAAAACTATCATAGAATATTAGTGGCAAAAACTATTACCTAAAAAAAGTAAATAAAACACATACATTATTATATACATACTATTTACGTAAGTAAATGAAAGACTATCTGTTCAGCGGGTTTTTTTAAAGTTGTATTCTATTCTATTGTTAAGTTTAGAATAAAGCAAAACATATTTATTAATTGTTATATTGTGATTTATAAAAACTTTCTGCATCAATAGCTATTGAGATCAATATTACTGTATAGGCCAATGAATAAATGGTTATTATATTCAAATAACTGTAGGTATAGTCAATGCAGACAGCTCGTCGACACAACGTAGGTACTTTTAAAGTTTTAAGACCTTTATGGTAAAAGCTCTGTTATGAAACATAAACATAATGCTGTATTTTAATGCAACATGCTTTAGACATTTTGTTCCTTGAAGTTGTAGAGTGACTAATACTATACATTTGATACTTCCGATGGAATTTACCTGCTTGTGATCATCAACAGCCAATGTTAAGTTGCCAAGTCGATATTCTAACTGAATAACGTGCCATTTATTGTCTAAATAATTGCCAACCAGTTTTGTTTCAAAATAACGCTCCCCTGTGTTAACCACAAATTTGATAATATCTCCATTTACAGACAATTCGATGGTGTTATCATTGTGTTTTTGTGTAAATAACTCTCCACCTGCAATATTACTATTAAAAACCTAACGAAGCGACTACAATTAACTTACCAATACACGACCTAAAACTAATACTTGTATGTCTTTTTAATGATAGTGTAGTTTGCAGTCTTATGTATGAAGAACCATTAAAAAAGGCCTCTGGTTGGTCCGAAGGTCCCAGTGTTTGTAACCTACTATAGTCAAATAACCATACTACATATACGATAACTAAAACAGAAAAGATCAACTTATTAGATATATGCATGGCTCTAATGAACTGTTATAAGTACATTATCTAATGCAATTACCTACTCTTAATAGAAGAAGTGGGTAGTTGAGTCAAGGGGTAGTCTTACCTATAAATATAATATGCCTAAGTCTGGAATACATTGCACTACTTAGAAAATTCTTTCACACTAAAACATATCACAAAAATGGAAATTAATTAAAACAGGTACACATTATTCTACAGGTGTTATTTTAAACGATTTTATAAAGACACCATTATTTACAAGCGGGGACACCAACACATATGACTCAGAAAACAACACCTGTAATTTGTGCTACATTTCTTTCTTGGTGTTAGTGCCATCTTACGACAATAGTGGGTAGCGATAGGTCAGTGGCGTGGCGGATTCTCGATAAGGCGAGCAGGCTTCAACCTAGAGGCCTCTAAAAAGGTAGCTGGTACCAATAATGTAACATTCAAGCAACCCGTTGTTAGAGAAGGTTTAATATCATACTTTACACGATATGGATATGGATGGTTCCTTTACTCGTGAGAAAGCACTTCGGTCGCAAGATAGTCAACAATGGTTGAGGCATTGAATTTATAGTTATAAATTCAATGGTTGAGGGCAATGAAGCAGAACGTCATTCGAGAGAAATGGCATTGATTACGGCGAGACATTTTCGCCTGTTGTGCCATACAGTTTGATTCGTCTTGGCATATCGCGAAGTTGTACGAAGCTTAATTGTTGTTCCTGGGTACAATAGGGACGAGACCGTTTAGCCTTTCTGTTGACTGATGGAGGTGAAGTAACCTAGTGAAGAAAAAGACAATCGCCGATCGCCGCATCGAGCACCGAAGCGGATATCGCAATGGCATGCGCGTCAAAGAAGCACTATGGTTGGTACGTGTCATTTGTCAATTTGGCCAATTGGAAAGCATCAACACGGAGTTGTGTGACAGTAAAAAAAACTTTGGTTTACAGGAAGACATATTTCTATGTAAAAATTATCCACACTCATATCGCAATTCATAATCCAGAATCCATCCAGAAATCATATCTAATAATTAACCCCTTGTCAGCCACTTCCTCCCTACAACAGCACTCCTATCAAAAGTTCGCGCAATTTCAGATACGAATTTGAACACAAGTTTTTGCGTCAACCTAAAATAAATCTTTGCTTATTCCGCTATATGAAGATATATAGTGTATCCATAAATTACGCTCAGTCTCATATCTAATTACATTTAAAACTACTACCTATCTTATCACCGTTTAAACTAAAAAACGCCTACCCATTATGCTTATTAACACTTTATTATTTCTGATTAAATGTGAAAACATTATAATCCAAGCAAGATGTATTATTTCAGTTGTATAATATTTACATCTCTAATCGCCTCATTCTATTGTGAGGTATGTAATATAGATGGACCAATTACAAAATTATTAATTAATTTAGGTACCTCCTGAAGTCCAAGACGATTGGATTCAGGGCACAACAAGATCATTTAGCGTGTGCGTTTGTGAGACTGGTGTCGATGAGCAATTAGCTTGGAGATTATTTAGATATTTAGAATATCCGGATGATTCGTGTCTAGCCTGTTATTTAAATTGTATACATCGCAGACACCAGTTGATGTATCCCGACGGTTCGTGGAACTGGAGCAGTGGATCAACATGGTTGATGGTGTCACACAAGAGATTGCATATGATTGTGGTAATAAAACCATGGACATTCTGGACAAATGTATGAAATCGTATAACTTCTAAAAATGCATAAAGAAATGGCATAACTAAATAAATATTGTACTCATATACTACAACAAATTACATATTATTCTGAATGAATACATTGTCATTATTCCGTCTGTGATACAGCCTGTATCATTATTTAATAAATAATTGAGAAAATCAAAAGTAATCATTTATCAGCTTTATTCGGCGACGCCACTGAAGTAGTTAATATGCCTTGTTGCAACAATGGAACTACTCTTACGTGAGTGGTGGAACTACTAACGTCCCTTGGTCCCTTTTTGATAAGTAATCAAAAAAGAGGGTATGTTTGTAATATAAACGTAAACAATTTATTTATATGATTTAGACGTAAAAAGGCTAAACCGTCAAACATAAATTTTTTGTGTAGGAAAAGCAACGAAAATGAATAAGTTGTGCGATGTCTTCTTCCAACCCATGAAAGATTCGATTTACATCAAACCATTTACAATGTACTTCACCTTAAATGGAATTAAACGCAATTGGGACTTAATGGAAGTACACGATAGTGTGTCGATTTTGATTTACAATGTGACACGAAAAGTCCTAATCTTTGTTAAACAATTTCGACCGGCGGTATATTACGGTAAAATTCCTAGTCAAGAAAGAGCGGGTAATGTTGATGTACAGAAATATCCTGCCGAGCTCGGTGTTACGATTGAGTTATGCGCTGGGATTGTCGATAAGGATTTGCCTTTGGTGGAAATTGCCAGGGAGGAAGTGTTAGAGGAGTGTGGCTATGATGTGCCTATTTCCAGCTTAAAGAAGATCGCTAGTTATCAATCAGGCGTAGGCGCCACTTCTAGCAAACAAATTGCATTTTATTGTGAAGTGACAGATGATATGAAAATTCACGAGGGCGGAGGTGTCGATGACGAATCAATAGAAGTAATTGAAATGACTGTGGACCAAGTGATGGATTATGTTTCAAAGGAACATATTCTAAGTCCACCGAGCTTTTTATTTTGTGTTCAGTGGTTTCTTCGCAGTAAACTGTAATGCAAATTTTATAAATCAATTTAACTTATTAGGATAAATAAGAAATTTTATCATTTCTTCACAAATTTATATACTGTACCTATTCCACCATGCGGCCTATATTTTTTTATAGTTTGGAAAAATTATTCCTTTTGTTGTATGCGTGTTATATTGTTAATATATGCATATTCGTTACCACTTTTTTTAAATACATGTACCCAAATGATAAAAAACAACACACAAAATTGTACCTATAAATCACTACTAGGGAGTGATCGAAAGAGATCCATAACAAATGTTCCATATTTTTGACAAAAAAATTAAAACACTCCACAGACCACAAGTTATAGGGAAGAACCATTCACCAGTGGCGGCTCGTAAGCTGCGTAGAAGGTAGTGCCAAATTGTGTCCCCCTCCCCATTATTTTAATAGTTACAAATTTTTGTTTTCATATTCCAGTTATTTAGATTTTGAGTATAATTCGAATATTTATAATGCAAGTGACGGAAACAAATCTAGCCCCTTTAATTTCTTTGGAGGCTTGTTTCATTATAAGTATACTTCAAGCATGCATTCCAGTAATTCATTTTGTGTTATTTTAGATGAGAATTTTGACAAAAAATTGTATGGAAAGTGTTACTTTTTTCACGATTTGTACTATCCGTTTCCATGGCGTTTAGTCTGATCTATAAACAATAGCAACATTTTATTTGCAGTTGTATTAATGAGGCCGAAGTATCATTTTCAACAATAGTTGTACTATATTCAAATCTTTAACTAAACAAGTACCGAAATTTATTAATTCTCTGAATACCTACTCCTTTATTTTCGGATTTATCGCTATCGTCGTGTCCTCTTAAAGAAGATTCAGACACATTTCGTTTTTTAACAATATTTAAGTCCGGTAACGGCCTGCTTAATTGCTTTATTTAAAGTCTATCTTTCAGAGAATGCATGGAAAAAGGTTTATTTAAATAATTTTTTAATTTGTGTATTTTACTAACAATTAATCCGGGAAATATAATCTTACACAGAAGTAAAAAAAATTGTTTGACATCACGACTGAAACAAGGAAAACGGCGCAAAGTATAGTAATACACGTACACATTATTCAATTGTGCTTATGAGCCAAACTTCTGATGGCTCAAGTTGTACGTATAAAACGCTACTTCGGTTTCGCTCCTCCCACCCCTCTACTCCCCGCGGAAGTCCATACTTGTAGGAAAATACGAGCCAGTTTTAGTTTGGCACGGCTCGATCGTATGAGAAGTCCACGGATAAGCACCAATGAATGAATTCTTCTTGGTACCTAATGTATCAAATCATTTACTTTTTTTGTTTTAAGTTTTAAAACACAATTATTTACTCTAGTGAGCACAATTAATAATAGTTAATTATATTTTAAGAATTGATAATTAGCAGGTTTCTTGAGGTGGTGCCATGGCTCCTTGGCTCTTTATAGAGAGCCGCCCCTGCCATTCACAAAATCTGGTGGATGTACCTTCTGCAATCCTTTCTTTACTTCTTCTGCAAAAAGTTTATATTATCCCACAATGCTTTTTTAAATTTTACCGTGTCGCGTGGATTTTGGAACTTCATAATAACACTCCAAAACCTGCAGCTAACTTACTGCATCCACTGTTAGCTTTAATTTCAGCATTGTATATATACTAATGATTTCACTTCAATAATATATGTTAATAGAACACATATCAGCGCAGGGCCCAATGTATGGTGTCTCGGGTTGGTGGAGCAACATTCAGCCTGAAATCCCATCCATGAAGTAACATACGCAGCAGATAGTGTTTTCTTGTAATTTAATCGGTCTTATTTGATTTGCGTCTATGAATGATTAGATCATTTTTATATGTTGTTTTATTTTTTGTGCCTTAATCGATTCTCTGTTGTTTCTGTAAAAGATGATTTTTTCCATTTGAACCCACCCAACTGGTGGCATATGCCATATTTATTTACCTGTAGATCTCTATATGTTTGGGTGTCTCTTCCATCAGTCACAGGTGTAAATAGAAAGCGAGTGGGTCAAAACCGTAATATTAAACCTGGGAAGTCTAAGATTATTAAAAATGAATTAAAGAAATCAGTACTAACTTGTGTCACATCTGTACTAGTACTAAATTAAATAATGTAACATAAAATAAACAGTAAAATATTCGAATTATAAATTAAAAAAATGGAAAATAACATAAATCTACTACTCGCTCAATAAATAATGTATTTTACTTCTAAAATGATATTTGTCTGTTGGTAAATATAAATAGCAACACTTATAAACTACTTATAATTGACTAGATGCAAACACTAAAAATAAAACCTATAAGTGCATTTTATAAGTACAATTACCCTACCCCTAATAATTAATCTAAGTTACTGTAACATCGCTAATACTGCAGCTAATTATACACAAAATAATGCTATATGAAAATATCACAAATCGTAAATGCATTATAAAATACAGGTGTCAATACTATAAAAAATCGGCCAACTGGACAATTTAAACGATTTTCTCTTGGGCATGCTGTAAACCCGAACAATAATGTAACATCAAAACTGACAGTGCCTGAATTTTCGCGTCAGCTTGACCAATTAAAAATGCCAATTTTGCCTTTTCCACTTCAGTTTCTGTTGAGCTTAATTTTTTTGAAAGCGACATATGGTCGATGGTTATGTCATCCAAGGTTCTTTTCAATTCGGTTACCTGCAATTTGAGACCCGTGTATATAGAAAATCATTGTTATAGATAGAACCATTAAATTAATCTTTTCAACTTTCGTTTCGTGTTCCATGTTAATGTACAGTTGTGTACCGGTTTCTTTGGCGACGTCCATTAGACTTTCATCAGAAGGATACTGTAGGATTTGATCTACTGCACGTAGAATTATTTCAGTAGCCTCATTGGGCTGCTGTTGGATTTCATCTAGCATCATTGGGCACCCACTGAAAGGGTTGCTGACAACAAGTGATAGTTTGCGGGGCGTGTGCTGTGGAGATGGAGGTAAACTACGGCTTTGACTTTGAGTAAAGTGGGAACCTAAATTGGTACAAATTATTAAGAAAAAACGCACGATTTGAAATTACCCGGTATAGCCAAATTATTGGCACTGTTAACGCGTTTTAGGGCATTAATGTGCTGTTTCGTTTCGTTTGAATACTGCGGAATGATGTCATCTTTATCGTTCACCTCGGTCATTGTTATTTCAGGATGAAGAGCATCAGAATTTTCTAATTTCTGATCCAACTTCTCGATATGTATACAAGGCATGTTGAGTTGGCACTTCATTAGACATTTTTTGTGACAGCACAGGTTACAGTTCTTGCATTGAACTGCATCTTTGAGCCAAATCTATGTTTTGAGTTAACAGATGAAAAAGTAATTTCGTGGGGTCATTACCTTTTTAGAGCAGAAATCACAATGAGTTGTGCGGTGAAATTGCGTTCTGACAAAGTCGTGCTTTACCACCCCATCACCTTCCTTTATATGATTGTTAGTTAAAGGTGTCCTTCGAATCTCCGAATGCTCATCATGCGACCACATGAATGAGAGTAAGGCATCTCCATAGCAAAAAACATGCTCAAACCCAGAGTGTAACATTAGTGGATGTGACTGACTATAAGAAAAGCTGCCAATGTACATTTTAACAATAATAATACCCCCTACCACTTCCATGCAAATATAAAATGATTTGTAAGTTGTTTATAAGCCTGGAAGATCTTACCTACAAGAAGTTTAGTGTCTTACCTTGTAGGTGGCGTGCTAGTCGGTGGTAAAAAAGAAAAGCTCCTAATGTAATGACCAAGCATAGAATTACTGCATTGATTCAACACTTCACCTAATGAAATATTCATGTATCCCAATAAGATGTCTTTCTGCTCACTGGTTAAACCCCAAACATTAACATTGAGGTACTTGTCAGTTTCTTTCAAATTGAATTGGTATTCATCCTTATAACTAATTACACTAACTACATCTTTCGTTTGGCCTTTATGAATTTCATTATACTCGACAAGGGGTTCAGATTCTACGCTTCCTTCTTTTTCACACTCCGAAGTTTCTAATATGGACTGTTTCTTTGTGGATAGTAACGAAACTGGTGTGGAATGTTTAGGATTAGAGTGTTGAGGGGTGGTGGGCAATGAAATGTTTGGAGTACTTTTCGTGCTTCCTTCGGGAGGTGTACGTTCAATTGACGGCTTACGCTTACGTAAACTAAAATTTCCTATAGTTTGTGCAAATTTTGACACATTTTCGTTACTAGTGCTGATTAGTTTAGGTAGAGGCGCTTTGTCATTTTTTGCCTTTTCTGCTGTACGGATTGTTTTCAGATCAGATGCATCAAAAGATTTCGGCTTTGCTTCAATCATGATAAAGCTATCTTCTTGCTCTGTTTGAATGAAGTCACCTTCATTAATACTGCTCACATTCGATGTAGGAGTTTTCTGCTCAGTCTTATCAAAATACCTGGATTTCAACTGGTAACCACTGCATAATCTTTCAACACGAATACTGAAATTGCCCGGTGTCAGTTTCAACATTTTGTTCAAGTGCGTTATGTTAGTGACACTTTTTCCTTCAACTGTTAACAAAATATCTCCAACTTTAAGTGACGCTCTATCAGCTGCCATTTGGGGTGTTACAGAATCAACGATAATTTGGTTTTGATCGAATCTGAATGTGACCCCTATTTGCTGCTGTAGAGATTTTCTTATGGTTAATTCTAATACCATACAAAATTGGTTCTCTTTCTGATATAAGCAAACCCATGGGATAGAATCTGAAAACACACATATTTTAGTATCAATACTGCAACATTTTAATATACCTACCAACTGCAAATGTGCAATAAACTTGTGCAATGTCATTGACACCTATGGATAGTCGACTGACCTCCATACACATAACATCAAATTTTCCCTGAGGTATTATTTCGCTGTCTTCTAATACATCTAATTGACCTGGATCGGCTTTGATGAAAAATGGCTTATATCTGAAAATCAACATAAAACATAAGACACACGATAGAACACACACAAAACGCTCAGTTTTGGAAATATTGGTTCTTAACATTTTTTGTATTCTTAAAATGCTATTATAGACGGTTTTAAGGCGGCGGCAAAAAAGGAACTAAAGAAATGGTTTCAATATATTATTGTAGTTTTTTGTTATAGTTTTGCAAGTTCAACAGCCACAAGTAGAATTTGTATAAGTAATTTGGAGTTTGTTATTGAATTTAAATTAAAGGAAATTCAAGAAACGCAAAAATAAGGAATCATTTATTTTAAAACTCTAGCGCATTTTCCAGGCATTGATGAGAAATTCCCGAAAGGTCATAGATATGTGCTCTATGTTTTTCTTTACTAGAAGCATCTATAGCAATCTACGCATGCGCACATCTGAATATGCGATATGTTTGCTTTTATTAGAAACACCTGTAGTTAAAATTTAAAAAAAATATATCTATAAACAAAGAGTTCACATTTTGCAGTTTGCGCATGGTTTATTGATTTATTTAATTAATTTAATATATTTCGGTTGGCGTTGCCATCTTCATCAGAAAAGATTCATTATGTTGGTCCGAAACTGGTGATCACAACATTAATTAGACTAATTTTGTAAAACATTGCTTTTATATTAAAACGTTGACAACGATGTTAAAAGATTACACAACAGAAAAGCCAAAAAGGCAAAATTACAACGTTCAATCCATCCCAACTTGAGATAAATGCAGCATGTTAAAAAAAGACAAAACTGACATTTTTTTTACTTCCAGATCTAATTTGCGGCAAAAAAACCGTCAAATTTCTGATCTAGTCGCTGCGGTAAAAAAATTTATGATAATCGCCCATATATATCTAAACCACATAAGCTATCTATACCACCAAAGGATTTAGATAAAACAAGGAATTGGACCATTTTTTTGAGATTGCGCGATTGTTCCGTTAATAGCGAATGCCGAACTGCATTTGGGGCATTCATTCCGAATGACCTCTGCAAAAATTCTGTCAGACAGTGATGCCGATATTAGTATGCTTAAAAGACACGGCGATTGGAAAAGTGACGCAGTGGCAGAGGGATATGTGGCAGATTCGCTACAAAATATGAAAAAAATTGACACTTGAGTCATTGGTTGGAACCTGCAGTATTTCTACAAGTGAATGGACTGTCAAGACCTCAAGTTCTGGACATACAATTACCAGAAATTCAAATTGTGCATTTTATATTAATAGATAATACAGTATAGTTAGGGTTGCCATCCGTCCGGGTTTCCCCGGATTTGTCTTAGTTTAGGGGGCGTCCGGGGAGCGTCCGGGCGGGGTTTCATTGGTAATCCGGGTTTTAAGCTACTGAGGCATCTATGAGTTTCTGTCAAAATGTAAGTCAACAAAACTTTTAAGCGCCAATCAGCTTTGGTTCCAATTTTTTAAAACACTGAATCCTCATTTATACTTGGAGTTATTGAAAATTGCCTAGTGCTTTTTTTGCATTCCTGCTCATAATAACCCCGCTGGACCTAGCCCCCCCCCCCCCCCCAAGTAAATGTCAACTACTATAATTAATAATTCAGTAGATATTCGGGCTGGTACCTAATCCCGGCATTTTATTTTTCTGCCGCGCATTATTTACTCGATTATTTATTAAACTGTTCCAAGGAGGCTTATATTTTTAGAATACGTAGTGGCTTTTTAATTATATTTTTTTGTAGGTGATATCGGCGCTAGTTCAAAGTTTATGGTCATTTGAACAATTTTTTTGTAAATAAAATTCTAGATTTTTTACCGTAATTCGATTTTTGTCCGTAAGGATGCATTTTTTGTTTCAGAAAATAAATGGCCGTCTTTTATTTATTCGAAAATGATACCACACTTGCCCTAGTAGTTATAATTTAGTAGTTATGACGACCAACAGCGCGCGCGGCGTAAGAAAAGTTTACCCCCTCCCCCTCCCTCACAGTAGCCGTGTCTCCCGCTGCCTCCCGGGCGATTTCCATTCGGTAGAAAGTGTACCAAATCTGGTGATTTAATGACAAAAATATGTTGGCGTATAACAACCCCACTATGCATAAAAATTAATTTGAAATAAGTAAACGAAAACAGAAGAGGGGCTACGTCCAAGTGAAAATGGCCGCCCCATCGATTATATCTATTTGCTCTTTTAGGAGTGGCGCTCAAAAATCGAAATTACTTGTAAATTAAAGCTCTTAAATAACTCGGAATTCCAGTACAAATTTAATTTGAAAAAAGTAATTCTGATCAGTGGGGGGGGGCTGAGTCCAAGTAGACTCGGCCACCCCATAAGAAATGTTCGATTCCTAGTGATTAAAGCGAGCTCTAAAATTTTAAGCTTGTGATATGAAAAGCTCCTAAATAGCTCATAAATTGGATACCATTCTTAAATTGATTCACAATGGTGGGGGGGGCTAGGTCCAGCGAGGTCTCATAATGCCAACGTTGAAAGAAAATGTTCACTAGTGACATAACAGTGAACCAAAGAAAGGAATTTATTGAATATTGAAACATTCTAGTCAGTGATAAAAATAAAGTACAATTTCAAAGACTATTTCTTTAGACAATATTTTTTTATCAAATTCAGTTGATATGTCAGGGTTTATAATCCCTACATCCGGGGTTTTCAAGCTTCCTGTCCTAGTTGGCAGAGTTTTGAGATGGCAACCCTAAGTATAGTACACATTTGCTTTGTTTATGTTGTATCTTGGCTGTTGTCATGGTGCCTTTATGGCATGATAAATCGTGTTGTAATGAAAATCGTACCATAATATGGCAGATATAAAAAAATTTCATCATTTGTTGCTTCACATATATACTAAGATTTCAACCCCCTTCTCAGATTTGGAGTCAGATATTAATAAATATAAAATTTAGTAGTTTACTTGTGAGAAATCACGATGTGAATAATTTATGGCTATTATTCTATTTAATATGCAACAAGAATCGGTGCATTATTTAATAGTTCTAGAGAAAAACGATTTTTCTATTCATAGATATAACCATTGTTTAAATACTTCATAAACAAATGATATAACTAAAAAACTAAGACCTACTGATTCTCTTTTTATCAACAGAAAGAATATCCACTATCGACAATTTGTTAGACTTCAACTACAAAAGCAGCATTTCATAAGAGCTTTTGGCTGTTTGACCACAGACCAGAATAACTGACTGAAATACGCAAATGAATACCCACCCTCGTACCCACCTATCTATTCTAGCATTTTTTAGCGTAACACAACGAAGTTGAGGTAAAGCTTATGTGCTCGTGTTTCCGTCCGTCCGTTCCATCGAGATCTCGGCCCCTGGGCCACCTAGAGACTTCGGGTTTTCGCTAATTGATAGCTGTTATGGTCTATATTTGCCCATTTCGATCAGTTTCATTTAACTCCACATTTTGCGCAGACTGCGCAATGCCAACTTTCATATTTATGGAGATATTTCTTTGAAATTTTAACCACAGATGCTTCTAGTAAAGGCAAACATTTCGCACATGGTAAAAATTATGTGGACATGCGCAGTGACTGCGCAATGCTAACTTTCTTATTTATGGAGATATTTCTTTGAAATTTTAACCACAGATGCTTCTAGTAAAGGCAATCATTTCGCACATGGTAAAAATTATGTGGACATGCGCAGTGACTGCACAGACTGCTCATAGCCAACTTTCTTATGTGTGGTAAGTTCTTTGAAACTTTATTTTACTTATTTAACCCCTCTCTTCCTCTGGACGTGGATGTACTTCAATATACAGATTCGACATTTTGTGTACTTTCGATGACGATGCATCGTTTCAATACTTTGTGTTACGCGGCAATACCCACGAGTGGGTTTTGGAACATTTTTTTTCTTTGTGACTGTTCATTTTCAAAAAAGGTAGGGGAGTATGCAAAAACCTAGGTCTTCTTCTGTGACAGAGAAATGAATTAACTAGGTATGACATTTAGATTTTAAAAAGTTTTGGGTTGTAGAGACCTAAGTAATTTGGTACCATAGAAAGTTGGTCATATTTAAATGTATGTATTTATTTATTGTATTTCGAAAGCAAAAATAGAACTGCTCACTTACTTACCTAATTTTATAATTTGGCAAAGTATGTTTCCTCTTAATGGCCTTTTTAATTTGATTAACAATTAAATTTGTAACATTCGATTGTAACTGACGACCCTGAAAATGAGATTCAACTGCGAGCTCAAGCTCTGGTTCACCATAAAAACTAAATGACCAGTGAGTATATGGAAGCCTTGTAAATTGTAATCTTGCTAATCCACTAACTTGTTTCACTAAAAATCAGTGAGAATGAAATATTCTATTATAATCGAAGTATTACCCATAATTGACAAATAAGCGGTTTTACCGAATTTCATCTTAGCATCGACGGATATTAAAAAATTACCGGAATAATCCAACTTTATACATAAATTTAAGGTATCGATATGCCCTTCATTCTTATCTAATTTTACGCTTTCTACACCAATACTTTTAACGTTCGGAAATTGAGATCCTAAGTTCATATCTCTAATCTATAATGGAGATATTAGAAAAGTGGTTAATTATGTCAGTGAGTCGATTACAGTAACCGCATCAAAAAACTTTCCTGTCGTTGTTTTTGTGATAAGTTCTTCAAATTCCAGTGATAACTTTTTATAGAGCCACCTTTTAACCGTGTCGGAGTGCCGAAGTTCGTGAAACAAAAACTGCAACATTAGGCTGATTGCCATGCTGGAATCTGAGCTATCCTGCCCCTCTGTTTCCAGCTTCTTCTTCAGCGTCTTCAAATAAGCAATAAATTAATAGTAAGAAAGTATTTTGCAATCGATTTACCTCGGGTAGACTAAATACTTCGGCATGAGGTTTCTTAGGTGGGCTCGCTGTAGGATTCTTATCAAAATATTTTATTAGTACATAATATTGTACAACAAGTGTAACAATAATTCCAATTATAATGGAGATCATTGATAGGAAAAGTAACATAAAAATATCCATAACGTTCGAATAATAAAAAGTTGTATCACAGTAAAAATAGTAAAACACTTAAGAATTTTTATTAATTATAAAACTGCATGGTATTATTGTAGTCAGAATTTATTTGTAATGGGTCAATACAAATACATCAACACAACTCAGCTGATTATGATTTGAAGGTTATCTCACATTACATCAGTGGCGTGGCACAGATCGTCTCTCGATTTGAGTAATGAGAAAGTTTGCAACATACACCATACTTCCATGCCAAATTTTAACTACTTCAATTTGTTCCCTAAATAATGATAATTTTGGTTTGGAGATTAATTAATCTCGAAATGTTATAAACTTCAGGTTTAAAATTAAATTTTTTTTACATTTCCAAATTTCTAAATTATACCGAATTATAGTTTAAAAGGGCAATTATGACCAACTCCTGCTCGGATTTTGGGTATAAAATCGATATTTCCAGATTGCAGACGAAATCTCGCAGCATTTGTAGCTACACTTGAAACTATTTACCTATGTTATTCGAGTTTGAAAATAGATAATTATTTTGCATTTCTTGTGTAAAGTCAAAATCTGCTGAACTTATTATTTTACTACCTTCTTAAATTTTCGAATTTAATGCCTTGGGTCGAAGCATTCTGGCAAATTTTTAGTTTTGGATTTCAAGTACAAATCAACATTTCCAGATTAAAAACCAAATTTGGTGCAGTTTAGGACTTACCTACATTTAAAAGATGAAATTTGAAAAGTTTAAAGTATAGCTTTAGAAACTTAATTATAGGTACTATAGTACCTACAATTGAAAGTAAATTTTTACATTTCCACTTCAATGTCGCGATTTTAACACATTTCAAGGGATTCTTCTAATTTTTAGTAGCATGATTTGACGTAATTTTATCAACGCCCCAGTTTAGAATAGAAATCTTCTTAAATTTCGGGAATGATAATTTAATTTCTGACACGAAGTAAAGTTGGATTTCTGACAAATTTTAAGTTTAGATTTGGTTTTTTATTAAAGTTTAATTAGCATTATGTCAATTGACGAATGGAGTCTTATCTGATGGCTGATTTCTGTTTTAGGGATCTCGTAGCTGTAATAATAATAATAATAATAATAGTGCCTTTATTGCAGTGAAAAGAGTTCTTTGTAGTACATAAATATGTAGAGGCGAAGTTCAGCGAATGCTGCTCTTCCACTTAACCTCTAGGTTTAAATACATAAAGTAAACTTAGCAACGTCAAACATATATTACATTTGCAGTACATGTGTGCGAGTCTTTAATGGGGTAATAAACAATATAGAACCATAATGTAGATAGCTAAAATTTCAAAAAGTACACACAGATAAAATTTAAAATAAAAAAAAACAAAATAAAATAAAATTTGGATCCCGGTGAAACGCATTGCTAACAGAGGCTATTATTTTGGTTATCCAGAAGATATGACTTTAGTTGTTTTTTGAACCTCACTCCGTCTAATTCTCTTAATTTGGCGGGGATATTGTTCCAACTTACCGCGATGTTGTACGAAAAAGATCGTCTTAACATGGAGGTGTTATGTTTGGGGGTTGTTAATAATCCACGAAATCTTAGATTTAGATTATGTGTATCAGTCCTAAAAGTTATTTTGTAATATAAATACGGAGGGGATTGTGACTTAATAATTTTATTATATAGACATAAAGAGTTCAAATCACGTCTATTTCTCATGTTAAGCCAATTGGCACTAATAAGTTTATTAGAAATGCTATGAACAGTTCTGGGCACGCCATATATCAGCCTCAAACAAGCATTTTGGAGACGTTGAATACGTTGTGTGTCCCTCTGGTCTAAACAGGGTCCATATATTACATCACAATAATTTAAGTGCGATAAGACCAAAGATTCACATAACGTTTTCCTAAGGCTTGAATTGAGAAAGTCCTTATTTTGATAAATTAGGCGTAGGTAATGAAAACCATTTTTAATACATTGATTAACGTGAGATTTAAACCTTAAATTGCTATCAATAACTAATCCTAAGTTTCTGATCTTTTGGCATACTTCCAGATTCCTACCCTGAACGTTAATCTTTACATGTGGAAGCGTTTCTTTATAAAAGTATTCACTGCATAGCAACATCACTTTGGACTTTTGCGGGTTTATGTTTAACGAATGTAATTCCACTAAATGCACAAACGATTGCAGATTTCTGTTTATTATATCGCACGCTTGCTTAACGTCACGTGGAGGAAAAGAATAATACATTATTACATTTGGGTATCGTCTGCGTACATGTGCATGCGCAAGTCCTTGATACAGCCTCCAATGCTTGACGTATAAATCGCAAACAAAGTAGGTCCTAGAATGGATCCTTGCGGAACACCGCTGGTGATATGCACATATTTGGATTTATTATTCTTGTAGACTACGGCCTGTTTACGATTAGTCAAATAACTCTCAATGAGTGAAATTGATTGAAGGGACAAACCACAGTGTTTGAGAATGACCAACAGCAAAGCGTGGTCAAGAGTGTCAAATGCTTTTGAAAAATCAAGCAGAACTAGGATTGTGGCAAGTTGTTTATCTATTGCTGAGAAAATATCGTCGGTGATTTTAAGTAGCGCAGTGACTGAACTATAACCCGTTCGAAATCCTGATTGGTGTTCAGGCAAAATATTGTGAGTTGTTAAGTAGCTTCTTAATTCATCGATATTGGAACGCTGCCTATAATAATGGGCGATATCATTCTGACTTACTTGAAACTTAGGAACTGACCGTAAAAAGTAATCATTTATTGCATCAACGTCTTCCAAGTGTTCAGGCAGGGTTAACTTATCTTTGGATATTGTAGTAACACAATTTTTCAGATCTTTCCAAATTTGTTTTGTACGTTTCTTACGAGAGAGCTCATCGTAGTAATTTTTTTTGACACGCCTACACAATGTGGTAACTTCATTCCGTAGTTGGTTGTACTGAATTTTGTTATCAAGAGTTTTATTTTCTTTGTAAAGTTTAAAAGCAAAGTCCCGCTGCTGCATGAGGAATTTGACGTTGTCGTTTAGCCAAGGAGCCGGTAATTTCGTTATAAGGCTCTTTTTAAAGGGTGCGTGCTTATTAAATAAGTCATTGAGAGAGGTATGTATGTAAGACATCAGGGAAAGATGGTAGAAGATGGAGCAGGCACTTGGTGATCTGCTTCTCCCGTACGACTAAGAAGAGGTTCCACCCGCCAAACTGGCTGAGTTTATAAGAGTACTGTTGAAATTGTGGGCAAGCGTCGCGATAACTGCGGACCTTAATTTTGACGAACGACAAGGACATCTTGGTGGAAATCAGACCTTGAAAAGGTTCGTAAGGAGGTTCTCACGCTCTTTAATACGGCCATGCGAACTAAGCTGCCTGAGGACTGGAAAGATCTCAAGATCGCTCAGCGCAGGTAGGTATAAGGATCATGGAGGACGTCTTATTGTAAAATATCGAAGCCGGAAATTAGGGCACGGCCATTTGAGCGCAGTCGTTAGGGCGCGACCATTAGGCCTCGAGACATTAAGGTGCGAGTAGGATTACCGGCAGTGGACGAGAAAAACCTTGCATTGGGGTAAAAATGACTTCCCACTTTTTTTACGATTAGGTAGGTATAGGTACCTATACACATTTTAGATTAAGAGCACCAGGAATCCGAATCGTCTGTCTGTCTGTGTGTACTCTCATTTCCTGTTAAACGGTTGAACCGAGGCTTACGATACTTATATATACTCTCATACATAAAAGAAAGAGCTGAAAAGCTTTTGGGCAAAATCGCGCAAGTGTGTAAAACTCTTATTTCTGGTTAACGGCTGAATCGATTGGAACCACACTTGGTACACTTAGAACAGTTCAAAAAGTCAGTATTTCTGATTTTGGCGGAAGTACGAAATTCATGTCAACGCAGTTTTCGATTTACACTTAAATTTTAAAGTTACAATTTTGTTACAAGCCGTGTCTAAAATTGGGAATCTTGGAAGTATCTTTCTCTTAAAAATCTCTTTAGGAACCTAAAGAATTTTTTCAGTTTCTTAGAAATAGACAAAATACCTAATCCGTATCATCAATATTGTGAGCAACTAAACTTAAACTTAAACAAGGGTTTAAAAAATTTTAATTTTAGTAAATTTTTACAAAACAGGTTACTTTCATAACATTTCCCAAAGGAATTCACGTGCAAACGTAGAAGGAATAATTTTTTTATCTAGTGTCATCTGCTGATCGATGTGGTAAGGGCCACAAAGGTGTTATACTGACGACTGGAGTGCTAGAAACTGCCCGAGACCTCTTACAGTTTCGATAGGATTTTCAAAGGTGGATGCCCGCCAGAAGTTACCGACGTAAAGAATAAAACACCATATTAGTCCAAGATTTTCAGTATTATACGTATACCACCGTATATTTGCGTACTTAGCAAATTGTCATTTCCGTATACGTAAAAGAAAATCGTCTTTTAAACGTATACGACGTATACCCGCGTATACCCTCCAATACAGCACTGAGTAAAGGACTTAAATGGAGGAAATTTTTTATGCTTTAAATTACTAAGTACACAATTTCTAAAAAATGCATAATTTCCAAGTTCAACGCCGATAGAGCATTAGTTATTGTGGATTTTTTTGTACCTACCTATATTATGGTGTGTTCTATACGCGTGATTATAATTACTACTAATCATGTGTGGGGATTAATTCGCTAATCGTTAATTAACGAAGTTAATGATTTGCTTAACGGGTTAACTTTTAAGTTAAAAAAGTGATAATATATGAGTGGCATTTTACGTATTACGTATTTTTGAGTCAAATACGATAAAATTAAAATAGACCAATTCATAACTGTGTAAGAAATATCATTTACTTATTTATTTATTATCCCTCTCTTGTTCTGGGCCCTCAACAGGCTCGCGCCCAATTACAGAGTGACCCGCATAATGCTTTTTAGCATCCTGCTTTATCACAATTCAATGAACATACCTACATAAAATGCCGGGCCAAACTAAAAAAATTAAAAATCTATGATAAATGTTTAATATAAAAAACAATTATTTGGAACGCGCAAACTATCGCAAAAGATTCTCTCATATGTTACCTTTCATGGGTTAAAAAAGAAGAATACATACTCTTTAAACACTATACTTTTAGAAAACTATTCCCCAGCCATTATTTTCCCCCAATTCCAAATTTTATGCCTCATTTTCGTCTTTCGTCTTTTCTTACTGTACAAACAATTAATGACGAAGTGTGTGCCACAGACCCATCTCAAAAACGTTAAGTCTCTAGAAAAATGAGAACGGAGAGCAAATGAACGGTCGAACACAACAAAGTAATATGTTTGAACCAAACTTGAGGTGTCACCAAGGTCCAAGAGTACACTATCCTAGGCTTACCAGCTTTAGACCAGAAAAGTAGTCGCATTACTGTAATTCCGAGAACTTGTTTAAAGTGGTGCCAGATATTCGCGGTACGATTACTTTTAAAAATTGAACTCAAAGCTTTGTTTCAGAATAATCGGAAGTTTTCGGCAATCGTGAGCTTTTTTTGAAAATCGCGGGGTTATTTGTAATCGCGAGTACTTTTGTAGTCGTTAGCTCTTGTTTAAATATAGCTCGGGAATCGAGGTTCCGTTTTAATGGAAAGTAAAAGAGCATCGCGAGCTTTTTATAGCTGAAAAAAAAAAACGGTAATCGGTAACTGATTACTTTTTGTAAGAGCGCGATCCAGCTTAAATTTCAATGAAGTTGATCTCTCTTTTATTTTGGGTCAAAATCGAAACAAAGCAAATGCTATCACTATACTAAGCGCATTTTTGATGTGGATATTGCTTTTATGCTATAAGCAACGTAAGAATAACTCGATTGTATATGTATATCTTATGCTGAAACGTTGAGGGTTCTACGACATTTCGCCTGTACCAAGATCATGATCGATTTATAAAAGGCGCCGGAACTAACGAATGATCGGCCAGTCGACAGTTAGTGAATCCATAAGCTTCAAAAAGAACGCAAGGTTCTAAAATCCGTTGGCGAGTTACAGGACCACAGGTCAATATATAAAAGCTGACCTTTTAATAAAATTCATAAATTACTTAAGCGAGAACATTATATAGTACAAATATAATGTTGAAAACTGAAAGTTTTACGACATGCCGTTGCCGAGATCTCGATCGATTTATAAAAGGCTTAAAAGGCACTCGAACAGTCCACAGTTAGTGAAAGTAAAATGTTCGAATATTGGACACATTATTTATAGTTTTTGGCATTGTTTGGTTTTAATTAAATTTACTTCCTATTAATTAATTACCCACCCCTTTCGTTCAAGTTCATTTTTGGAGTTTTTAGAACAAAAACAAAATATATAAGGCAGTTATTACCTCGGTAATCATATAATTAAATTAGTGTTCGAGCGATCAGTCAGCCAATCAGTCAGTAAAAAGTCTCCCATTTTTCAGGCAGTAAGAATTAAGAACGCATTTTCTAATTTTTTCTGAAGAATATTTGTACCTAAAGTGTAATTTGAAATTTGTAAGGTATAATAGTTTTTTACAAAAAGAAGTGCCACGTTCTGTTGAACGTTTTACAGAACGTTCTTTTACGAGTAACAATAAAAACCTGGAAGTAGCTCTGTCCAGAGTTTCCTCGTCCTCTGAAGGTGTTCTTTTTGTTAGGCGCTTCTTACCTGTATATAAGCTCAATCAAACTGTCCAAGAAATCATTTTTCAAATTCAATATTCGTTTTTTTCATTTTTTGGAAAAATGTTACTTATTAAGATTTTTCGACATATTCGTTTGTAAATAAAACTATCTTCAATAAAACACCCTCCATCAAAATACAGAATTAGTGCAGAATATCTCTAAAGAGGTTTGGTTTACCTCGAACACTATATTAAAACAGATGTGGTACCTACCAAAATGTACAACACCCTTATAGTAAGCAAAGAGTACCCATACTCTTTGATAGTAAGTATGAAAATGCAAAATGAGGAAACTATGATAATGTATCTTAATTTTCATTATTTTATTTTAAAAAAATGGGCTTTTAAGCGATGATAATGATATTTTAACACTAATGCAAATTCTAATGGACATAGGTAAATACATAAATATTCAACAACTTAATATTATATGAAAAAGATGTATAAATTTATTTATACAATTTGCAGTACATCCTAGATATGTTGCTAACATGCTGAAGAACTATTAACACTATATATGGATATTATATATATTTATTATTTTATACATGTAATAATAAAATTGTATTCATTCGTAAACGATGGCATGTGCAGAAACATATTTAGGACGTCCTGCAAAGACAATTTATTTATAACGGACATTTCCTATTGACGTTGTATGTACGGCTTGATACAAAAATTCTCTTTATGTACAATGATTAGCGGAAATGCGAAGTAAAAAGAATGTAGTACGTATTTCGGTTAAGTGGTACATTTTGTTTGCAATATGAAATGTCCGCACCTGCCATAAAATATTTGAGCTAAGCCCACACAAACGACTTGACATGCACACGGGTATAAATGGTACGCACACGTTCCATGTCTAAGCTATACGTACAAGTAATAGAATTCTAGACCCGCATTTTTGTCAAATTGGCAGAATTATTAAATAGGTAGGTATATTAAAATAGATGAAAATGGAAGCCGACCACAAACGAAGCGGAAAGGCTCCATAGTTACTAAGGCTGTCGTTAACGACAGTACACAGTATTGTTGTTATATGACAACAACCACAATTCTGCAGTAATAAAAACAAGAAAAATGACAATTTGCCTTAAATCGGTGAATGTAATCGACGGAAGGTAGGTTATATACAATCCACAATCCAACTCGGCACATGGTTTAACAACTGGGTAGGTATAACAAGTATCGCCAAAAACATTCACCCTGCCTTCCACGTCCTAAGAGAAGGAAGGCGAAATATTGATACTCGGATTGCAAGAAGAGACTATGTAACACCTATCAACTTCAAATACGTAATATGTAAAATTAAGAATTGAAACACACAAGTACAAGATTACACGTGGTTTAGTAGGTTCTTATAACTTAATAGTTGTCATAGATTAATTTAGATTTATATAAGGCATCATTTTTGTAATAAACTATAGTTACAGGCTAAATGTTATATCAACAATTTTTTAATAGATACTAAAATCATCGCTAAATTTAAAAACTTATAATAGTGATACTAAACAAATAAATAAAAATCAGAGCACAAAACAAAGAAAAATGGTCTTTAATACAGTTCGTAGTGTGCTCAATACTGCACCTCGTAGTGTGCTTGTTTATCACAGAAACAGTGATCCTATTGAACTGATGGCACTAAATCACACTTAAATCATTAAATAATTTAATAACCGTCAGCTACAGTTTAAGCTAAACTTTATTAACAAGTACAATTGTAAATGTAGTGATTTTAAAGCACTTTAGGGAAGAATTATATAATTATTTATTAGAATACGGTTGAACTACTGTAGACATCATCATCTTCATCATCCACACGTCCAAGGTACAATTACAAACGCAACGTACGTACGCGGGCACTCGCAAATTCACTTTAATGAAGTGCAATTAACATAAGAGCAACAAAACATTCTTGGCAGTATTTAGAAAGGTTTCGAATTAATAAATTATTTTATGCTTCTTCGGTCACAAAGTACGTTTTCGACAGTTAAACACATGTATTTCAATTCCTGGAAGTACTCCGGTACCAAAGTGTTCCTGCTTTTACGTTTTGGTGATTTGGTGTAGGAAATTTAAGGGGAAATCGAAATTTCAGATGTAGAATCACGTATTTTCAGCAAAATTTAAAAACGGAACACACTTTTGGCGTTAATGGTACCAGGCGAGCGATAAATAGCTTGTTTAAAGCACTTTTAACTATCAACAGTATCTTCAATCATCTTCGCGCAAAGATGAAACGAATACTTGGGGACGTAATAAATTAGTTGGTCAATATACGAATACACCCCTTATGTTAGCACCAATCGTCATCATCTGAATCCGAATGACGGGAACGTGTTGGTTTCGGTTTGTATCCATTTGGAACGGGACTTGGTAACATTCTTCCACCGCGCCCAAGTGCAACTGCTTGCTCAAAACTAAGTGGTGCTTGTGAGCCCTCGTAACTAAGCGGCGGTATTATTTCTCGCAAGGGTTCCCGTACAACGTTTTGTGAGACTACGTGTCCGCCATGGGGAGTTGCGTGCGCTGATTGAGATTGCATCTATAAATGAAGTCAGTTTACACTGTCTGTTCAAATGACCTCTTACGTGTGTTGGTGAAGCGTTCAGTTTTGGAAAGTTAATGGGTCCCGGTCGCAGTTGCAATGTGGACGGTTTGCACGGTGTTGGCGGCAATCTGCGGCCCTGCGTCCTACGACTGCCAAGTACTGGATGACTATGTTGCATACTGCTTTGCAACGCGGCGGATTGTTGCATTGGCAAACCCACAACGGCTCCTGCTAAATATGCATGACGGTAATAAATTCCGACACATACAAGTAAATCGCAAGAAATAAAATGTTCAATGTTCTCTGTATAAACCTAAAATTGGAAAAATCCGTAGAGACCCAACGAGTAGGGGTTATTCAGTAAGCGGTTACAATCCGAAAGAAAAGGAGACAAGTGAAAGGAATGTGTAATTTGTGTAAATTTTTGAGAAAACCTAAATTTGATTCTACCAATGGTCGCAGGTCCGTGTTGATGAGGTGTTACATGTGTGGGACTGGGAGAACGCGATCGTTGACAAAGACTTGTGGTACCGTAACCTCTTCGTGACGATCTTAGTAAACCATGCCTAGACGAGTTATGCCTTCGACCGGTTGGCGAAGGTGACCTAGCCGGGCTTGTAGAGGCTGACCAAGATCCTTTAGAAGTAAATGTTGAACTAAAGCATACTGTATAGTAAGACATACCTCGTATATATCTACTCTTATTTGACTGTGCCCTTTGGTGTTCATGTTTTACTATTTCTACAACGTTGGATACTGTATCAGAGAAACCGATGTCGTGGTGAAGATGGTGTGGATAATGACGACGTGGTGACGGACTGCGTGCCAAAGACGGTGAATTGGCACGTCTGCAAAAATGCGGGCCATCAGTGTGAATTAAACGATTAGGTAGTTGTATATCACCTCAGGCTTGGTGATCTGCGGTGAGAATTCGTATATGCAGGATGAAGATGTTGTTGGTCCACTAAACTTTCACAAGACTGCCTTCGGGAACCTAAAGCCTCTTGCAACTCCATGACCTACATGCAAATGAGACTATTGTCTTAACATGCATTTAAAAAAAACTAATATCATTTATAAGAAAATATCAAATATGTAAATATAGAAGTAAGGAAATTACTGTTTCCCCCATTCATACTATGTCCTATAAAAAGACATTAGATCAACAATATTCATGCACTAGTCATGCTTAAGGTGCTTAAAACGTCACACAAACTGTATATTGATACCTACCATCTAAGTTAGTACGAGTTTTTGGTTAGACATTCTAATTGTTAACTGTACTAGTAATGCTATGAAATGAATCTTGTTTTTCGATTATGTTTGAATACTATAGGTACCTAATGTATTTATACAAATTATAACTATTCATTCCTTAACTAATCTTCTACATTTACCGTAGTATCGAATTGAATTTTGTTTCTAATGAACAAAAACATTGTAGACCTAAACTAACGAGTAGTTTTATTGTTTCTAGATCTTAGTGATAATTACGAGAACAACAATTTACCACATAGTTTTCGACCTTCACCTTTTTGTTCCTGTAAACAATGAGGGTGATAAGAATCATCGTATTTGGCTCTAACAGGTCAACGTTTACCTGAACGATCGACTACGTTTCGTATTTCGACGGGCGAGAGCTGCAAGTGGACCTTCATCGTGATGTTGATGAGTGTCCGTAACTTCGTGTCCACCCATTAGAGGTGCACCTTCCAAACTAAGCGAACCTGTACGACTCTCCCCCAAGTGGCCCGCCATATCCAACAGGCAGTCAAAAAACGACGCTTTCTGTCATTTAACATAACTTTAACTTTAAACGAACTTTCAGACGTGAGCTCAAGTTGAGCGTCTCTCCACTTAACATTACATACCTACTAAGTCTGCTCAGATTGACGTAACATTTAAATAATAGTAGGTACTGTCAAACTTCCTCTAAGAAATAAAAGTTCTGAAGTCTATCTATTCAATATGTTGTAACGGATGTGGTTTAAAGATGTGTAAAAAATGTAATAAAAAACACATTCCAAATGCAAAACCATATCATGCAAAAAATTGCCATATGCAATAGGGTACTTGTGAATTTTGCGTAGTAGCAACAGCATAAAAATGTAGTACTTAGTATCAAGTGGTACTTTAAACCAGCAGTCGCCAACGTTTTGATCCTCACGGACCACCAAACAAAAAATATTGTATCTATTGATCTACATATATACTTCGCTGTTTGAATATGATCAGCGAAGTAAACAGGCAGAGAAAGTTTACTTCTCTGCCTCTTTTCCACTTCTCTGCCTCTTTTGATTGGTATAAAGAGTGCGGATAAAAATGCATTTATTTTTATAAAATAAGCGCTTATTATATGCAACAAAACGGGCAAAAAAAGCTGAAAAAAAGGCAAAGTAAGCAAACAAATGCACAATCAAACATCCACACAAAAAAAACCTGTATTCCTCAATAAAACATTATTATGATGAAACTAACTCTAATAAAAGATTATCTTTGCTCTAATGATCGGAAAAACAATTCACAATTATGTATTTCTCCAAATTTGCAATTAAAAGTTTGGCCTTCGGTCCGATAAAATATATTTATAGACGGAAAAGCTTCTCTCGAGGTAATTGGTGCAAATTTAAAGACGTTTAATGGTGCTGTAGTATGTGCTTCTAAATCTTCAACGAAATTTCCGGTTAGGCTTTTGGAGATTTTTGAAAGAATAAGAAAACCAGAATTTTTTGTTACCACGTCCCCTAATTTCTTCTGAACTATATCGGCTATTGGACCGTTTATCAAATTTGTTTCCCTTTGAAAATCTTCTACGATTTTAATTGATTCGTCAAGTGGCAAATTTTGGGATTCTAATTTTTTCCAGTGCGCTATTCAAATCCCAACATTCTTGCCCACATTAAGTTAATATGCGAGATATTATTCTAATCTCAGTGTAGAAATGTAAAAAAAAGCAAGCAAAAAGCGTTTGAAGGCATTTAAAGCACCATTGTTAAAAAAAGCAAAAATGGCAAAATAAAAATAGCCTCAAACGCTTTCATTTTTCATGAAACGTGTATATCCAAAACCATTATGTTCTGCATTCAACATTAACGTGTAGGCAAAGTGCCATAAATCCGCACTCTAGGCCGTATAACTGTATTGACTAGCCGTTTATATACCAGCAATTCCAGCATACTAATTAAAAAAATTAGTGTTTACACGTCGGAATTTCCGTACTCGGCGCTTAAAACTTCCGACTTGTCAGCGAAAACTCACTTCTCGACCTGTTGTTTACCAACGTGGAATGTGGGAAGGGAAGCTATAAACAACGCATACCTAATCAGTAAGTTAGCATTGGTGATCACCACTAAAATTTTCATACCAGTGGTCCGCGGACCACCGCTTGGCGACCGCTGCTTTAAGAAATTGCGACTCGTTGCAAAGATATAAACTCAAATAATCAGCATCCAGAAGGTCATTGATCAACAGGGCTATGGAAGGGATTTGGAAATCGTGTACGCTCACTATGTCCACTCAATGTATACATTATTTAATAAAGGTCAGGAAAATGTTATTGGCGACCCAAGTCATTTCACTAACGAGTTTTGTTATGTATTATAATATTCCTGAAATTGTCTTTTTTAATATACAATTTCAATTAATAGTCTGGGAAAGTGAGGCGTGAAAAGTAGTAGTAGAAACGAAAATTTCATTTCCCGAAATGGTCATAAAACCTTCATTTTTATGGCTACTTTATGTCAGGAAATTTTAGTTTCCAGTGGCAGTAACACTTTATCTGATTACTTTTCTTGCCTCCTTGCATGTCACATTGGTAATGTCTATAAAAACTCCTGTCATCACTGACAGTTTGACATTTATCAAAAGTTCTATATGAAAATTGAAATTTTATATTACAAAAGACGATTTCTGGAAAAATGTAATACAAAAATCGTCAGTAAAGTGACATTACTTGACCCTAAAATGTTTCCCCGCCAGTAATGTGTCATTTTCCTGACTTTTACGTAAATAACTATTTACATAAAGCAGGCATGAAAATGAACTTCATGACGCTTTCGGGAAAAATATGTTACGTGCCGTCGTTTCCTCCAAGAAGGATTAACGTTTAGAAAAGCTCTCGGAAAAATATCTACGCAATGTTAAAGCGCTGTTCCATTTTTGTGAAACATTTTCTAAAGATTCGCTCACAAAAGATTCGCTTTAAGAATTTTCGCCTCCATGGTACATTCGCTCCCAGATTACTCGTTCGCTAGGGGAAGTTCATGTTCCGATTTAGAGATAGACAAATCGACCTTTGAATAATTGTTATGTTATACGTAGGTACCTACTTATGGTCGATTTTAAAATTTCGATCTATATCCAAGAGGATTGCTTACAGGCAAACTCATCCTGGGAATAATTGTAAACCGAACCGGGAAATTTGTTTATCAAACGGAAATGCGATCTGAACCAGAAAAGTTTTAACAAATAGAGCCTAGAACATTGCGCTTAGGAATCCCTTTATTGAAGTTTTGCGCTATTGACCACTTTTTGCGTGCGTCTATTCACCAGTCTATACTAAGACACGTTCGTCAACTGTTACACATATCGTACAGGGGTCAAAAGAAATCTAATAATGTCGGAGAATAACCCTTTACCGACCCCTACTATCTATCGCAACCCCCTCAGTTAAAAACAACTTATGGCCGTTTGCACCGACAAATTTAAGCGGAGCTTAGCTTAAGCGTACCTTAAATTCCATGGCAACGATTATTGAGACAATGGTTGCCATGGATTTTAAGCTTCGCTTAAGCTAAGCTCCACTTAAATTTGTCGGTGCAAACTGCCAGAGCTAGATTCAATTCTTGCAAGAACGGTTTTGTCCAGCTGCTTCTGTACTGGTAGTCCGATTCATGAAGATACGGCGGCTTTCAAAATATATCTCGATAAATAAGACAGTTGATTGCGCAAATTAATGTGATGATTACAATATGTGATATGTTTGCCTTTACTACAAGTGTCTGTGGTTAAAATTTCATTAAAAAATGAGAAAGTTGATATTGCGCAGCCTGCACAATAATCGTCAAGGATACAGGAATACACTTCTAATATATGTGGACGTGGACATTTCTACTTAACAGTTACTGGCGTACCCAAAACATCAAAATTATGGTTATGTAGCCAAATAACAAAGTTTTTCCAATAAATAATTAAAAAATTGTGTAAGTCAAGCGCCATATGGTGGTTTTTGGTTGAAAAATGCAGTGACAATAATTCCGTTACATGGCGCGTGTCGTGAGAAAGTATTGCGAGTATTAAAAGATGTAGAAGAATTTTGATGGTAACGTTAAGTTATTACCTCGTTGTATATAAAACTTACCTTTTCTGCTTTGCGTATGAAAATACTTGTTCTGGATGTGGTTTAATATAGTACTGATGTAGGTATCCAAAACTTAATTTTGGTAGATTTATGGCAAGCAGAATTAGGAACTAAATACCCCTCAAAAAAGTTCAAAATCGATACGTTACCTGAATTATACTTTCAAATCAATAAATACTGCCAGATGCAGATAAAACATCGTCTGCTTTATTTATGATGCAAACGTTATCGGTTACAATTCAACAAAATGAACAATTCCATGCAATTTTCCTGAAAAATCCAAATAGTTACGGAAAAGTAGAACGACGAAAGCAGGATTATGACAACGAAGGTCTGCTTCCAATCTTACATGCTTTTGCGTGTTAAGAACGGAAGCTGTACCCTCTCGTCAATGCAATTTACCTCTTTCTTTCTGTGATTGTTTCTACACGTTGATGTATTATTGACGTGAATTGAAAAGCACTTATGGAAATATTTAGGCACATTTCCCACTAAATGTTATTAATTATAAAAATACGTCAAGCTTGTTTTGTGTACCTCGACCCGTCATCATATTTTGAATAATACAACCATTCCCTATAATTTCCTTGTAAAAAGATGGATTGTGATGCGTCAGATGCGTAATTACAGTTTTTTGATTAAATACATTTTGGCATCGTCTTACGTTCGCTCCAGAAGGTTGATTGTAAAATGCATCGATAATGAAAGCGTGTAAGTTAATGTTAGATTCCCATTGCATAAGTGCATAATGCCATGAGTTGCTACTACACAAAAAACACTTCTCAATAACATCACCTAATGAAGTAAAGATAATTTTGTTAGGTACGTGTGAGATAGGTATAGGTTAATCGTGTTAATACAAAACTACATGCACTATTGTGTAACTAGTTAATAATTATCATAAACTTCAATGTTCTGAGTAAAGAGGTGGGTACTAATGCTAATTAACAGAAGTGCAGGATAATGCAGGCACAAGAGAAAAACTATTAAAAAAGGCTAAAAACTGTCCTACAGGACTATACTATGAATGAGAATTTAATAGTGGTCAACGCAACCACCAGATGCTTCGAGCGGTTAGTGAAATTTAAAACAAAAAAGAAATTAGGTACTACCGCGTGATTCGCCGAGGGGCTATTTCCATAATCCTGCAATAAACATAAAACGTTATAGGGAACTAACCTATACATCTATTTTTGGTAATCTCGTCTATACTATGTGTTTCGTAAATAGTATAAGGGATAGATAACAATTTCAGGCACATATGCTTTCTCTAACAACAAAAAGGGCAATGGAAAGATCTGGGGTAGCTAAACACATAAGTATGGTAAAACTACTACATCCAATTAGTACCTCTCTGTCATAAACAGAATACCGTTATAACAATTTTGAACTTTTCGACCAGACCATCAGATTATAGTAAACCGATTCAGAATGATTGTAGAATAATAGATTACGTACCGGAGGACCCGTTGGCTCCATTTGACCGAATCTCGTGGAACGCCAACTCTCGAGAATCAACAAGGCACCATAAATCTTGCCAACAGTCAGCTTTCCATTGTTTAATTGATCACTTGGAGGAACTAGAAGATCAATCATGGATTTAGCTTGGATTGGCCAGATACTTTTAATTGTTTCTCTTAGTTCATCATCAGCTTGGTCCATTTCCTCGGCTACAATAGCAATGTGAGATCGTTAAAAATCTTTGTAATTTACTAACCAGGTCTCATTTTCATATTTAAATTTTCTCTAATAAGTGCAAACAGTGTCGTGGTAAAATTAACTTTTCCATCGCCGTCTACGGGCATATTCATTCGGATTAATTTCTTGTACGCTAACCTATTTGGACATTTGTTTCCAAACCCCAAAGGAGGATCCATATTTTTAAGCATGTCATACATCTCCTGGTATAAGATTTTTCCGCTGAAAAGTACGTGCAAATAAATCGAAGAGGAAATAAACGCCTTACGTTGCATTTGGATCATACTCGGCCCAAATGCGAACAAATTCGTCTAAATGATGCGCGCCCAAAATAGAGGGATCTCTAGTAAGGTAGTCGAAATTATCCATGATGACGGCGACAAACAAATTCAACATCTGCAAAATAATTTATATGGTTATGGTGATGTTAACATTTGGTACTTACGAGGAAGGAGCAAAAGAAGATGAACGAAACGAAGTAAGCGTATGCGAGATTAGAACCACAGCTGTTGGTCGGTTTTCGTGCTTCAGGATCACACGGCCGATCTTTAATACAGGATAGCATTATAAAAGGCCAAGCTTCTCCCGTTGCGCACCTAAAATATAATTTCATTAGGATTTCTGTTCGATATATTGGAACATATATCATGAGCAAAATAAAGCCGTTTTTGCAAATGGGTGGAAGCAACTTGTCTACTTATAGTAATATATTTAGTACTCGAGAAGTTACATGTTTGATTTTCTTAACTTATAGCAAAGAGTAAGTATTATTTGCTTATAGTTACAAAACAAATGTTCAAGCACTATATAAGTAGGTAGGTAGTTCGGTTTGTATCAGAATTGTTTAGTTAAAGTGTAACCCAAACTGCAAGTACTTTACAGCTTTATCGACTAAAAGAGCTTCTTAGATTTTTTATAAGCACATCATGATATCTGGCGGGTTCACATAGTTGCTGAATTCTAAAATAACGGAATATTGTAGGTGCCCGAAATTCGTTATTCATTATTATTATTGCGCCCAAAGATACTTAAAATTATCCAAATACAAAGAACAGATACGAATGGTTGCACATGAGGATCAACGCAAAGACTGACAGGTCATTTGCCAAAGCTTCTTCAGTGAACGGTGGAAACTATAAAGGCTGTTTGACGCAAACCGTTGCCTAAAAGTATTCTCCTATTAATAATTTTTTCTGAAACTACTTTAGAAACAACTACTTTCGTCTTTAAAACGGGTGAAGAAAATGTGATTTTCTTCTCTAGTGAGGAAAGAAAAAAACAATTGCTGCTTTAATCTTAATAATGACATTTAAAATTTAAACATACAGGTATCTAGATTACTTTACTGTCAAACGTCATTATTGCAAACAATAATTTTTGAATGTTAATTGTAGTTTCAGAAAAAAATATGTGTAACACTTGAGAAGAAAGTGTTTTTCAACTCTCGTTCGATTGACACACTCGCTACGCTCATGTGTCAAACTTTAAACTTGAGTTGAAAAAACTCCACTTTCTTCTCTAGTTGTACAAATAACTGTAAATCTGAAGATTTGCATTCCAACATAGTTTCTCATGAGCTATCGAAGGAAAAAATTATCATGATCGTTTCTCTTCCGATTTCACCGGATGTGGATAGCAACTTTCTTATTTTAAATAGAACACCCTATATTTTATTGTATTTTCGAAATCTACATGAAAATCTACTTCGTTTTAATACCACATTTCCCTATACCCAGCATCAAAGGTTTTCAAGTTACTCCGTTGACTTGAATTTCCAAAAACCTTCCAAAATGAACAATGCTACATGAGAATGATTTAAATTTTGATCGCTCTTCTATAGGGTGTTTTCAAATTGATGGTCATAGTTTAACAACTTAAATTATAATCTTAAAAAGTTGATTTTTTCGAAAGCTCCTAGGGATTTTTCCACAATAATAGAAAGCGTTGTAGGAAATTTGCCGTGCCTGCAATATTTCCCCGTCCTTCTCGTTAAAAATGACGAATGCAGAATTCACCATATGTGCAATTCATTTTCTCAACGAGTACTAAACCGTGGTCAACATTGGACCAACTGGCCTTTCACGCACAATTAGGGTAGAAGATTATATCGTTACCTATGGACTTTCGACATTATTTGCTTTCGTGTCAACTAAACCTCCGATTGGTGCAGTGTATTTCCTTTGCTTTTCGCGTGTGTTTCGTAGTGTTGTTATAAATTAATAAACAATGAATGTGCAAATACCGTGACAGTACTTGTCTCTAGTGAGTAGGTTGATTAGGTCAGTCCGAAGACGATCAAATTGCTTCGCTTTTCGACCCATGATATTCATGAAAAACAGTTGAAAATACCTCCCCAACCGGAGAAGCAAACGGAATTATCAGCATGTACCTCGACAAAAGGACAAAAAGAATCAGCATTCACCTATGCTAGAGGAATCAACAAGGATCGCAAGACGCAAAACGACACCTCCTCCGATCCAGTCATGGAAACAGCACCTCCTGCCGTCTCCTAGCTCCCAGGTGAAGAACCAACCTCTACCAATGCAAAACACCACCGCACCGGAAACTGCACGAATTCGCGCTCGGATTTTCCTGCTTAGGTACCTTTAATTCCCTTATTTCACTTCTTGTCGTTGTCTTTTTTTTGTTTTTTAACACATTCATCATTTTTTCCACTTAATTTTTTAATTTTCGTTTTCCTGGGATTTTTCATTTCCTTCATCATCTTCGCCGGATTCCTCGCTTTCCTACAGTCTGTAAATTCCCCCATTTTACTTTTTTCTCTCAGATTTTTCGGTTTTTATCCTCTTCCTCAGGATGCGTACTTTCCTTTTTTCCTCGGATTTTGCGGTTTATTCATCACCCTTCTCGACGTCCTCGCTTTCATGCGTTTTTTAAAGTGTATTTTCCTTAATTTCTTCGACCTTGTGGTTTCATTATAATCTTCTTTCGCCTCCTCGGTTTCCTACTCTAATTTCCGCAGTTTCCCTCTTTCCCTCGGTTTTCGAGTTATATATCATTTCCATCGGCTCTTTCGATTTCTTCATATTTTTCCGCGGTATCCTTGTTTTTTATGTTACGTTAATTTCCTATTTTCTTTTTTTACCTCAGTTTTTTTTGCTTTCTTCATCATCTTTCTCGACCTTGTTGCGTTTCATACGCCCCTTTCATTTCTTTGCTGTTCACAGCTTTTCCGGTTTCTTCGTTATCTTCCTGGACCTCCTTGTGTTATTACTCTCCCTCGGATTTTTCGTTTTATTAATCATTTTTATCGGCTCTTTATCGGGTATCTTTATGATCTCTGCCGGCCTTCTTACTTGCCTACGCCCATGTAATTCCTTATTTTCCTAGGCTTCTTCGGTCTCTACGTTTTTTCTCGCCTTTTCAGCTCTTGGCCAATTTATTTGGTACGTGGTTTTATTGACTGTGTCTGAATTCATAGCAAATCTCTCAAATGAGTCCAAAATTTGGGGAACACACTTACCTAATTGGGAAGAACGCCTTCCTCCATTCCAACTATAATACTACAACTGTTTTTTCAACTCCCTTCTGGTTACTTGAGGCAGCTTTCACGAAGTCTTCCTCGAATCGTACATCTTAATGTGTTTGCCTCGCCGTCTTCTGTTTATTCGGACTCCTCCCCCTTATTCTATTTGTCTGACATTTTTACTCTTTCCTTTTCGACATTTTCGTCTTCCTTGATTCTTCAACTACCCTACCCTCGATTTCCTCTTCCACCTTCGCCTACTCTGCAATTTAGATGTCGTGGAAAAACTCAGCTCAAACCGCCTTCCCGTTTATCGCCGACATCAATGCAAGGTCTACCATCAGTCATCAACGTAGCTGGAAGGGCTTCTATTATAAACATATCCAAAACAAAATCACAAATAAACAACCTGGATGACATCCACCGCTGCATAGATCCGTTAACAAACACAATGAAAACTGGGTTACATATTTATATAAGAGAAGTACCTCCTTGACGATGCAACGACCAAGGCCCGAAGAGCTGTTAGTCAACTCTACCCGGTTTTAAAAAGTCGCCTTCTCATCCAGAGGAAAATATCTGTCTATTGTAATGGGTGTGAATATTTTCAATTACACATAATGCTTCTTGGTTGTGAAGCTCGCATGGTAATCGCAGGTTTTAACACGTACAATTACAACGTTGCGAAAACTACTGTCGTTTAGGGCAATAATAACCAATCAAAGTGTAAACTAAAAAGAGTGCATATTCAGTTTATTGTCAGCCAATAGTATAGCTCAGCGCGGAAGAAATTCCGTCATTACCATTTACATGCAAATATATCTCTGAGTGGAAAGTTTCCCAAGGAGCAGTGACGATCTAAATAAAAATCAAGTCAGTGGAATCCATTTATCCGAGGCAATGAAATAAAAGACGACTTTTTTTCAATGATCCGAGGAAACTGACTGCAGCGGAGGTTTCAGATTTCAAAACAACCAGGACGTGGCCATCTACGACGTAGACAATTTGAAAGGCGCAAAAACAATTCCAAGGTTCGACATCGACCTAATCGAGTTCAACAAACTCACGCTGAATCAAGTGACTTAATTCATAAGGTAAAAGACCTAGTAAAAGACAATGTTCCTTTATACTAATTAAATCCAACAGCGTACTTATTTTAAAACTAGGGGTCATTTTGCGTGAGAATTAATGACCATTTATTTATGATGTTCGAATTTAACCCGGGGATTGAAGTGCTAAAGTATTTTCCAAAATTAGAATTGTTTAGATAGTTTAGGTTTAGATTCAACGTAACTGTAAATATTTGCTTTATTGGTGTGTTTAGTATTCTAATTTATTTATGTCATTTTTTGCAATCGTAATTATTACAACCACTAATCTTTATTCCCAGGAACAAAAAAGTTCTGAAATTCAAACGTACACCGAATTATGAAAATTGCGCAAGTCCTAAAGGCATATTAGAGTGTAAATTTTGGTAGTAATAACTTGCCCAAATTTTGATTATTATTTGTTGAAATTAACCAAGTCCCTGCGAAGATCAAAATTAACTTAATTATTCCCTATTATGTACCCATTCATTTACCTGAGCTAGCGCTGGAAGTATAAAAGTAAAATTAAGGTAAGTTCCAAAATACTTCACACCGACATCGACACCGAGAAACGAAGGATAAGAAGAATCGTCCACTGTAAGACTTACATAAGATTTTGAACTTGTTCCCATGAAAGCATGAGTGCGTATCGGGTCATTGTTAATGCCGTCGAGGCAAATTAGCATTGAAAATGACTTAAAGCAGAAAAAAATGAAAAAGTTTTAAAAGTGTTGGTAGGGACTCCTTACAGGATACATATCAAAAGAGTTCCCACCTCTCAGGAGGGTGCTGCACCCCCTTTTGCTTCAGAAACCACCCTCTAATGCGACCTCGCACTGGTGTCAATTTTTCTCGAAAACTAATTTATTCCCTATGAAATTCTGCATAATTTTTTCCCTATAACGTATCCTTAACTCACAAATAACTTTTAACAGTTAATAACCGAAAAGGCTTTGGTGGTATGTGCTTATTGATCTTTATCACTACATTTAAGTGGTCTTCCTTTGAAAATCTTACCTGAACAGTAACATCAGTCCTTGAATAAAATTCCTAAAGTTATTGTGTCGAGTGATGAATGTCCCTGCGTTATTTTCAATATTTCCAAATACCTGAAAAAGTGGTAGATAATAACGTCAAGTTTATCTTCGCACTGGAACGTACCTGCATACCAATAATGGCATAAATAAAAAACAACATGGCTATAAGAAGGCAGACGTAAGGCAAGGCTTTGAAACTTTGTACAAATGTCCACAGTAGTATCCGAATTGTGTACCCCTGACGTAACAGCTTGATCAGTCGAGCAGCACGAAACAACCGCAAAAATCCGACGTTGATGAAATTTTCCTACAAATATGTTTAATTACCACAAAATCGTAATTTATTGTTAACAACAAAGATGCTAGCTGCATGTTAAGTTTACTATGCTAAAATGCCTCTAACATTGTTACTATGCTAAGTAAAGACTACGAACTATGGGTAGTATTTACACCTAACATGGATTTTAGAAAGGTTAAACTAGCTTCAGTTATTTTTTATTTAATAAGTAATGCATCCTGCAAGTGGTTTTTAAGTGTAAAAGTTTTGTGTCTTTGTATGTGTCTAGCGTATACAACTTTACTTACCACTTACCTACGTCAGTAAGTACACATTGAGAAATAACAAAATTCATTCAATGTGCGTTAAAAGAAAAACTCACAACATGCATCATTATTACTATAAAATGCCCCATTTAATCCTATGATAAAAATAAATAACGCGAAACACAAAAAAAGAACAGTGCATCAAGCGTCCAACTAACCGACAACCATAGAGAAAACTTAGATGCGAGATCCAATTCTACTCCTGGCGGCTATGTTCAAAAATCACTAGTTAGGAAACCTCATTTTACTAATCTACAATATTTAGATATGCACACATGCAAGAACAATAACTAACCTTTTGGTCGCACTACTCTTGAGCTCCTCTAGCAAGAGTCATCTACATAGGTATAAGTACTTATTTATCCTTTTGTCACTTACTATTCTACCGTGATAATCTAAACATCAACAAACACAAGCTCAAAATCCGGTGGTGCGACTGATTTAATTACTTTTCTTTTACACAAAAAAATAAAAGCTTCAGATAATAAACGTACCCTTTCCTTTGCCAACTTTTCGGCCCTTTCCTTATAATGGGAACAAAATTATTATATTGTTAATTGTGGATTTGTGTAGTGTTTTGTATTATTTTGTTGCTTCTCTTTATAAATTCTTTTAATTCAATACTTACACCAAACTCTACCACCATCGCGTCTACAATACTTCCGATTACTGTCACAAAGTCGAACGTATTCCATGGATCCTTGAAGAAGTTCTAAATAACAGATTCGAACATTAATATCGTGTATCAAAGTTTTTGGCACTTAATGTTTGTCGATCAATTTTGTTTTTCCAGAAATGTTTGAATAGAAGGTACGGTCACGTTATTATTAATGATAATTGTCAACAAAGATTAAGTGCTGTTAGGAATGTTTGTCAATTAGTTAATAAACTGTAACCCGTGTCGTTCCATATCAAGTACACCTCTTTCATTTCAGTCAGCGGGGAATGATGCCGTTATGCCTAATGGTAAATTACACTACTTATGCAATTTTGCACAATAGCTCCCTTGGTGGTCCTCAAATGGACAAGCAGATTTGGGCCGCTTTCAACAAAATATCTCCTTTGCTGAAAATGAGATTAAGTAGACCTGTAGTATGTTATGAACTCGCGAACCCTTCAATGTTAGAACAGCGTTTGTGAATATTAAATGAGTCATTTGATTTTTTCAACAGAAATGATCTATGCTCATTGAGGGTGTCTTACCTTTCGCAAATCGATTTCTATGTCCAAGGATAATGGTTATTGAATATGAGTCGGATTAGCAGTCGAGTTTGCGAAAGAACATGGTATTTAGCCCAATAATCAACTCTACGATAATCAGACTGGCAGCTATGGACGGATGTGGACGGGAATTGTAGGTAGTTTCCAAGAACTCTATTTTTTTCTACTCATACTAGCTTTTAATTAGTACTTTGGGGTACAGTTTTTTGTTGTTATGCAACAACTTCATTAAAATGGTACGAGCACGGTCTTTTCTATGTTGAGGTCTACGGTTACAGTTTATTAAATAACCTCGATAACTTTCTTTAAACGCTTAGTTAAACTATAACACAAACTAAATATTTAACTAACACCCCAATTTTAGAAACACCATTAAAAACTAAACATCGAAACTAAAAACCTAGTTGACCTGAAACTATTATTTACCTTTTTAAACAAATTTATGATTAAAAAAATACAACAAAAAATTACAACGTTCTATAACAATAACCTAAATAATTAACGAAATGAAAAAAAAGGATGGGATTTTTGGATTTTCTAACATGCAAACTAATCACTTTCGAAGCGGACGCAACTGATCAAATAGTCAATAAGGATCTAGTTACGCTACGAAATTATTGCACTACTTTAACACTACTTTTTACTCACTTTATGTGAATTGCTAAAAAATCTACGTAGTGAATGCCAGGTGCAGAAAATGTATTAAACTACTTTATTTTAAAAAAAGTAAGGAAAAAATGAGATTATTGCGATCAAACCAGATACTAGTGATGTTGGTGATAAAGAAAGTATAATTAAATCGAAATAATATAAAAGATATATTAATAATAAAACGTTCTAACGGTGATGTTATTGTTATAATAAATAATGATGGTGATTATTACCTTAATCCCAAAAGCGATGAGCTTGAGTACAGTTTCGCAAAGAAAGAGGAAAGTAAACAGTATGTTCATTGCTGCCAGGAGGTCGGAGAGTAAGGGTGGAGCCGTGTGATACTACAACAACTTTTCAATGTAGCTTCTATGCTACAAGCTAATGCCTACCTTCGTGGCCTTTTGAGACAAGTTTATGGGAAAAAGTCGGCAGGTTCAGTAGAAATTATTATTGATAACAATAAATACTGTATTTCTTCGTGATTATGCTTAAAATAATATGTCGAATTAAATGTTGCCGCTGTTCATTTATTAACGTGTAAGATTTGTAGCATACCACAATGGTGTGTGGCACATGTTCAAGAGAGCGTGTATATTACATCCAACATAACATGCACTACGAAATACTCATGCAACATTCATATATCAAGCGATGTGTTAGGGTTGCGGGAGAAAGGACTTTATTAACAGAAGATAATAAAGAAGAATTTAGTTTAGTTTTAACTGCTTGTTTAAAATTTTATAATTATATTGCGATTATCTTTAAAAGAATTAATATAGTCAAGTAGTATCTACTTTTCTTACCCGAACACCATAGGCAAGGATCTTGAGGATGCACTCCAACGTGAACAGGCTGGTGAAACCCCAGTTGAGATACTTAAGCATATCGGTGAAGGTTTGATCTTGCTTGTCATACTGCTAACATACAATGCGGCTATTCTGTCTAAATATTGTTACACATCTTATGATATAGCACACTTTACTAAACTTAGTGTCCTTCCAAACAAAAATAAAATTGAGTAAAACACTTCGCTGACGAGAACAGGTTACATGCAACTTCCACAACAAACAAAACTGAAAAAATGGGTAAATATAGATATACTGCAAGGATCAACAAGTACTAAAAACAAAATTTTACGCAAAAGCAAGTCAGAATGTTAGTTCCTTTATTGTGTTTTTTGTTTTCTTTTTAACAACATGTGTTGGTCAAAAATGAATATCTTTCAATACCTGAAAGTAATTTGGAATTTTAATTAAGAGAATGTATGAATTACACTAAATAGTGCATACCTGACACTTTTTCACAGAACCTAACGTATTGTTTTTTTAAACATTAGTTTATTGGCTTGGATAGGGGTTATTACAATAGGTTTGTGGCAAGAATTACATCAGAGTCAGAGTCAGAATTATCGTAAAAAATGTGATACGTCGTATCCAATGTCTTCTACTGCCTGGCTGAAGAGTGATTCTAGTTCTCAAATGCAGCAGCATATATGAATGGCCAAAAAAGGTCTAAGGAGAAACATTTTATTTTCACCACTGTGTAGCATTTTCGTAGCTGACTGGTTGTAAACGATAGTGTAACCAAAACTGAATTCGCGTAAAGGGAAATTGCTTGCAAGGTCTTTTGTCGTTTAATTAGCTAAAAACTGAATGCATAACGTCCCTCGCAGGTTGAGATATCACTCGATTACAGTAGGATATAGACAATAAATAAATAAATTCCTATTTCATAACTGCGTTAGACTTTCAATGCATGCTCAAACCATTTAGCGCCCGGCCTATAACCTTCTAAAGCAAATTTTCATATTACCATAGTGTAATTAATTGTTTACACTATGCTATGTCTAACAATTTCATTTTAAAGAAACAAATTGCACTTGCGCTTGAAATTTACTTTGGTAGTTTACCACAAGTAAAGATTACGAAAACAGGTGGAAGAAGGTGTCAGGTACTTAAATAGGATCATAAAGTACCTACTACGAACGTAGGAAAAAATCATAGTAAAATCCATTCTGAGTAGTGATCATCGAAATTTTGTTTAAACACATAAATCGTACATGCAGTTTCGATATTACGAACACCAGTTCACTTTTAATAAAATAATGTGATTTGACGATCTAATCTAAAGCTAATGTTAATAGTAAACACAGATATCACACGCAAATATTACACCTCAAATTAAAAAAATCATATCATTCAACATTGACTATGGATAGTCACCTAAGAAACCTAAATAGCAAAAGTGATCTACCAGATTAAGTAGGTACTAAAAGTAACTCCTTTAAACATTGACTAAAAGATGACAAACCAGTCTTCAAAATAGGCAGGCTTGTCACGGTTAATAAACTTTATAGGGTACTATCAGTATAAGTGTAAATCGTTTGAACTGCACCTCGTTTTCTGAATGTAAGGACAGTGCAGTTGAAAGCAATGAAGCAGCCAAACATGTAGGTACGTTTCAAAATGCATGACAATGCATAAAGTGCATTTGCAAATGGCATTCAAAAATAGAAGTGTGTTTGTTTGTTTCATTTGGTGTGACGGCGTGTTACCTACTAGTGCGATGTGCATTTGTCGGTATTCTATTTGGCTGCCGACTTTTTGAAAATTTCAAAAAACTATCACTATGGTGTATATTTTTTTGAACAATTCACTCAAAGGGTTAGTACTAAATGAACTTAAATCAATACGTACCTTCATCATAAGTAATAATGTGTTGAATACGATTAACATCATTATTAAGTATTCAAATGGAGTAGACACTACTATCCTCCAGATTTTGTACTTAAAGCTATTTCTTTTATTGGGCATATACCTTTCCAGAGGTCGAGCTTGAATTGTAAAATCTATGCACGATTTCTAAAAAAAGTTTGTTAAAAGTGTCATAACTATCAGCGAAGGTGATACCTGGTTTTTATCTATCTCGCCACTTTGTAGCTCCGCTTCGCCCTGTTCTTGGAAGGTAATGATGATTAAGGCGACGAATATATTTACAAAAAAGAATGGAAATACCACAAAATATACAATGTAGAAAATGGACATTTCTATGCGATAATTTTGTATAGGCCCTTGGTTTTCGTAAGTGGCATCCATTGAATTTTGAAGAACCCTAAAGGAAACGTCCCGTTAATACGATCAGAAAACTGTTGTTTACGCATTTACTGTGGCCATCCTTCACCGGTTTGCACAGCAAATAATGTAAGCATGGCCATTGCGACGTTGTCGTAGTGGAAATCTTGCAGATCCCATTTACGGTTTTCCACTTTCGGCACGTCGTTATTTTCTTCAAACACAAAGTATTGTCCCCTGAAATAAAGTAGTGCAAATGAGCTGTATTTGCGAACGTATTTGAGGAGATGTTCATTTACATAGCATTAAATGAAAACGGTACTACAGAAAGATGCAGCAATGTTTTTCATAATATACATAATATAGACTATAACCTGCTATAACTGTATCTAATGAACTAATAAATTGGCATATAAAAGGTACAAATTTAATTTTTCCCCAGATATTTCCACAACTAATAAGTTCTACAGTGATATTGAAATTTTTAGTTAAAACATGAGCTTCTGATTGAAAAAACAAACAGTTTAAAAAAAGTAAGTAAAAACAGCCATAGTACCTAAAATAAGTATAACATAAGTGCGTCTTATCATCTACATCAAAATGACTAGTATAATTCTCATGGAACCGTTGCTGTAGACTCATATTGGTTTTGCTGGACGACGATCGTCATGGCTTTCGATCAGTGCTATTTATTAAGAAGTAGACATAGGGATTTTGTTTTTACCTACGAGTATGTCTACTTTTAAATAATACAATCGCTTCTAAAGGGCATCTAATTTTATGCAACCAAAATAACTTCTTAAAAGAGATAAATATCTGGCTGAAGAAAAAGCTGATTTTGTCAATTGCTATAGTGCCGGTAACAGTTTAAGAAGGAAAAAGACAGTAATAACATATAATATAAATGTTTAATGGCGCAAAATACTTGTTCTATCTGTACTCCTTCTAACTGTATCTTTACTTTTTCATCTTCTTTACTTATAGTATTAGTTTTGTTTGGCCGATGTTTTTCATTCCAAACTACTTTCCAACTGATATTATTTCTTTATCATTCGTTGTAGGTATGGTTCCTTCTCTTTGTCTGCAAGTACTACCATGTGGTCAGCATATTTTATTGTCTTTATGCTGTAACCACCTATTCTAATCCTTAGAATTTCCTTACCAATGTCCACTTCCAACAACTGCCCACTTGACTGCCCAATAATTTCTCTCAATCTATGAAGCATTTTTATTGACGTCCATCATTGTTTCCTGTCCAACCAATGGCGTTTCTTGGTCTTCCCTTTGCAAATCAAAATTGTTCATCTCATATATACTCGTATTTCTTTATCTTACCTTTTAGCAATATTCTAGCTAAAACCTTAGTTGCATGGCTTATGTAGCTTATAGTCCGGTAATCCTTGCATTCCTTTGCATTATTTTCCTTTGGTAACGTAATGAATATGGTTTTCTTGATATTATCTGGTCTGTATTTAGATTTAGATATAATATTTACAAGTTTGGTAACTCTGGCTATAGCTCAATGGTCTAATGCCTTCGGTACCTCTGCAGGAATACCGTCACAACCAATCGCTTTCTTATCCTTGAGATCATTGCCCTTCCCACTTTACACCTCATTATTTCTGGTCCTTTATTGCCCTCCGTACACTCCGACTCATTCTCCACCCCTAAATCGTCTTGGTGCACCTTATTCGACTATATATGTATATATGTATAGGTTCGTCTATATAGGTACTCTTTTATTCTCCTCTGTAATTGGTGATATTTCACCGTATTTATTGTCTATGCCTTTATTACTTAATTGGATTTGGTTTTCTTCTTGTTGGTGTCTTTGCCGTTTTGTACATTTCTTCCACGCGCCCTTGTTTATCAATTTCCTCTACCTCTAAGCCCTTGCTTTCCATCAATTGTTGTTTAGCCTTGTCAAATTTCCTTCTTATTTGATTATTAATTTGCTTATACCATTCCTTTATCCTCAGTATTAATAACTTTCCATTTTCTTCTTTCAATCTTGTTCAAAATTTCCTCTGGCATCTATTCTTTCTTACCCTCTCCTCTTCGTTCTTTTCCCACCTCTTCTTTCAAAGCATCTGTTACTACATCCTTGCTGTTGCACCATGGTTCCTTTACGTCTGAACTTGTTGGGTGCTTTTCCACGCCCTTCATAATACTCAAAGAATGTCTTCCTGACGCATCTGTTTTGAACATTCCTAAGTTCTCTTTCATGAAGCGAATATCTGTGATATTGCTAATGAATTATAGCCTGACGAGCTGGTAGAATTGAAAAAAATACGCGATCAAAACTACAAAAAAATATATACCAAAGATTATATAGTCTTGCCGCCAAAATTCATACAACGTTGACTTGTTTTAGATCGACTAAAAAATGAATATTTCGGAAAGGTTATATCCCGAAGAGCTACCAGAAGTGAGAAATATTAGTGTAGTGTCCAATAAATACGACATAAATTGGACAAGCAACAAATACCATTAGATTGCACATTTATTTGTTCTTTATTTTATCTACCCTCTCTGTTAAAGGTTAGACTATTACTACCCTTATTGTAAAAAGTCGAACTGAATGCCTTTGTACTAATTATAGATATATCGGTACCATGATTTCGGCACAAAGCCACTGCGATACACAGCGTCATTTTATATCGTGGATTTAAAATAAGAATGACGAATGTCATTAGAATGCAGAGTCATTTGTTTCACTTTATCTATCCTTACGGTTAAAGATCGGCTTAGCCAACTCATCCAAACCTATTAAACTGTCAATTTAACATATGCTAAAAAGTAATAATATATTGTTTACCAAGGACGAGAAGTGAGTTTTCGCTGACAAGTCGGAAGATTTAAGGAAATTTACGAAAATTCTGACTAAATTTTTGTTTATTAGTATGCTGGAATTTCTTGTATATAAACGGCTAGTCAAAACAGGTATAGAAATCAAAAGATATGACGCGATTTTGACGGCGAAGTCATAGCAGATGAGGTATGTTCCATTACAGTAAGTAGAAGAAGTCTACCTAAAAGCGATATTGAAAAAGTTTGCAGGAGTATACGCGAGCTCTTCTAGAGATTTTCATTCCACCATCTTTAATAGCTTTTAAGAGCCTTTCACAGTCTTCAAAAGTTTTCAAGAGCATTCTAGAAGTTTTTACATTTTATAAACTCGAAAGAGGTTTCAAAAGCCTTTAGTAAACCTCAAGAGTCATCAATGGTTTCTTTGAGACTTTTAGAGACTTGAAGAATCCAAGCTCAGAAAAGTTTATATTGCTCCTTAGAAAATTAAAAAGTCTTTCAAATTCTCCATGTGCATTTAAGGCTCCTCTGTAGTCAATTTGCATTTCAATGTTATTGCAATTGGTTAGACCACCAACAATACACATTTCTACGTATATTCGTGGAGTGCGAAAACGGTATATTTCTATCTTTTTCAGTTTTGCATATTTTCTTCATTTATTGTTAAACACAATAGACCAGGTATAATGATCAAGGACTAATTATGTAAACAAGTTTATTGAAAAGGTGTAGTCAATATTTGAATAAAGCTACACAAATACCTGTTCCTTTTACTCCATTTGTCTATAATGAGATCTTCTGTAAATTACTTGATTCTAAGGTAATTAGTGGAGAAAATTCGCAATGTTTGCTAACAATTCCCAATAGATTGTTAGTTAATTACACCTTATTATTATTTCCTGTTATTTGTTTTAATCAATTTTACTGATCAACTTTGATTTAGACATTTTTATAATTAATAGGTTATTATTTACTTATTTAAAAAAAAGTTCTTATCTTTTCAAAAAATAATTGTACAGTTAGCGTATTCGTTTTATTTATGCACGGCCCATGAAGGTTTTTTATGAACAGACAAAACTGCTGGTAAAAATGTAATTAACACAATAACACATGTCTATACATATTGTCATTGCAACCTATCTTCCATTTTTATGGGTAGAACCATATTCGGCACCAAAAAGCATGAGATATCACATGGACATCAAGCAATCGAATTTACACCTTTTGGTCTGTAAGTATCGATATTGGCATCGTTTGTGCGGTATCATAATTCGGTTTTTTAAATCCTTAATTCAGTAGTGAAAATTGAAATTGGGGATTCCTCTATTTCTTTGACGACCAAGTATTCATCCTTGTGGATATCAGATCATATTGAAGCAATTATAAATTGTGCACAACTCTTGTGCAGATAAAGTGAATTTTTTTAAACCGAAATAGCTTAGTAAATAGTTGGGTTATAAGGCTCTTCTGTTGTCAAGATATTCGCTTCGACTTCATCAATAGATGTCTCGTCCAGACGATTCATTCTGCCTCTCCTCCGACAAACTGTATTCGCTCTTATCGTGTTGAACTTACCAATGGATATATTTGTTCCACACGTCCCAATCGCCCTTTGTGAGTACCTCCTCCGGCAATTCGCTATAGAGATAAAAATTATAACCGATCACGATGAAGCGTCGAAGAGGTAAAAATGGATTCCTTTTGTTGAGACCTTTCATTAGAGTATGGATAAAACTAGTCCCTCTCTTCCCCGAACTCCCTATTTTGATAAGGGTAAAAAAGAGGGGGGCCTTAAAACATCTAAAAGTGATGGCCGTCTGGCGGACCTCCAAGGTATAGGCTACTTATTGCAAAAAATTCCAAGACTATATATATATTACCATAATAGTAGTTTAAAAAAAGTGGGCCCGGGCGGACGGGCAAAACGCCCGGGTGCGGAATTAAAAACTCAAAACCTTCCCCATGCGTCTAAACTTATTGATTAAATTGTGGAATAAATAGATGCGACTAGTTTCGACGTTACCGTCATCTTCTGGTTTTAAAATTAAGGACTAACATTCTATGGTTCCCTAAATGGTAGAACGAGTAGTTACATATTGAACAAATCTAACCTTAGAACTAGGTGCATGGGGAAAATAACATAAGAATTAAAACATCAATAAGGACAACTACGTTACAAACGAAAAAATTGACCAAAAAGGTCTCTTAAACAATTTAATTTAAACACAGTTCGTCATGACAATGTGCGAAGGCGGAAACCAACGCCATAACGGCGTAGCCGGAGTTCTCGAAATGGAGCAAGTGTTTTTAAAGACCAGTTATCCACGAATACTTTACGCTATTATACCTGCCCTGGAATACTGGAAAAGTTTATTAAGTAACAAGGGATTAAAAAGAGTTTTTGTTCCTGAAAGAATGGTTTAAATCCCGAGGCTTGCCGAGGGCTTTAATATTCTTGAGGGAAACGGAAAAAGTAAATAGTCCGAAATTTGTTAAAAGTGCGAGAATTTTTTATATCTGCCACTAATAACCGGGAAAACCAACGAATTATGCCGCTTTTTTTGATACGGATATTCATTTTGGTGACTTGACAAACTTTACTTTTGAATTGATGCTAATTGAAACTTCTGATGTATTTTGTGGAATTGTGGTATTGTGCTTTCTCCTTATGTCGAGGTCATGCGTTTGTCCTGCCCTACCACATTTTTTTTTAATGTTTTTATGCACGTAGATAAGCAGTTTCATGGTACAAAATGTTAAAAAAACAAAAAGGAGTCACATTTTTACACCACACCTGAATTGCCACAAGAAACCACCAAATTATTGGTATAATCGTCTCACTATGTACCTAAAACACATAAGTGGTCGTATTCCGCTTGGGTTGAGCTAAAAAATGGGGCTACTATTTGATATCTTCCTAAACAAATTTCTTGAAGAATCTAGATAGAATGAAAAATGTTTTAGAAATAATAAAGTATTTCTATAAAAATAAAAATAAACATTAGCTAATTATACATATAGTAGCTTATCTAATCCATGTCATTAGGAACGAGGTAACAATGTGCCAGGATAATGCCAGGTAGTTTCTTTTGTTTTCCCTTGCAAGTAATGAGATATCGCCTTAGGGGTTTTAAGTGCAATTTGAGTTGCCTACCTTTATGTTAACGTTGCGCTCTTTTCTGAAAATCGCGGAACTTATTTTTTAAAATATATGCCTTATCATAATAGATGGAAATAATATCTTTAAGTACCGCCGTAAAAAATACTGTCGGATTTCTAAATTGGTGCTGTAGGTTTTTCTACTCCCATTACAACGGCTGTTATTTACGAAAAACGATTTTTCTATTCAACGATCTTCCTAAAAAACTAAGACCGATATTTCAACTTTTTTTAAGTACCGCCGTTCTTTTCATCATTGCAAAGAATATCCACTATCGAGAATTTGTTAGACTTCAACTACAAAAGCAGCATTTCATAAGAAAGTTTAGCTATTTCTCCAATATGGCGGATTGACTACAGAGGAGCCTTAAGGGACTTCAAGGGTCTTTAAGACCAGCTGCTAACAGTTAAGAATTTTATAATTGCTTTTTAGTATAAAATTTTTGCTTTTAAAAATCTTTAAGTCTTTCTATGAGTCTCCAAACGAGAAATTCCCAGAATCTTTTAGATGCGTTGTCAGTATTGTGCGTTGCTTATCTCACAAAAGCTTTCTTATAGGAAACATGCCTAATGTAATTCATTCCGTTTTAAGTGTACCCTTTTTTTGGAAATTGCTGATTTTTCATGTTTTTAAATGTACCTATGTCCGAGCTTATGTCCATTATTAGTAAACAACTAATATTGTCATAGTGCATTCTCTGAAAGTGAAGACGTGATGAGAAATGAATAAAATGTTTCTTAAATACCAACGGTATGAATTCCGTAACCTTACAGAATAACGCGTAAAACAATAAATTATAGTAGTAGTCAAATTTAAAGTTTACTAATAATTTACGTACATTTAAAAACAACAATAAACAACAGTTTCCAAAAAATAGTATAATAAGGAACAAGTGCAATATCGAGTCTTTGAAGCACGCGCAACGAGTTTAAACGACCAATTATACATGCGGTTCTTATAGTATTTTTATTCTACCTGCAATATAGTTTAAAAATAAGGGAAATAAAATGAAATCATATTTACGATACTCGAATATATTTCCGATTGTGGGCTGATTATACGTAATTCCATGATTACCATGGAAATGTCACTGGACATTTGCTTATAAAAATCACGGACTTTGTAAATAAAATGTCTTTGGTCAAAGAATTCAGTGGCTTGTTGCAGAAGCAGAAAAAGTTGGTACCTGCAAAATCCAAATGCAAAAGTGTATTATAAAGAATATGCAATGCTGTGGGGAATAGGAGGAATTTGAAGCATCTCTCAAAGTAAGTCTTAAATACATCGTTAATGCTGGCATATATGAAGAGAATATCAAAGGCATTTAAATCTTCCAACCCTTGCCGCGTTGTTTCAACACTGGAATTAATACGGCGATTAAAAAGGGAACCGATTTGCCAGTATACCTAACCTATACCACGTGCGTTTGTGAAAGCTAGTTACAAAGGATACGAACCATTTTTCTGAAGCGATCTGAGAGGTTTTTCCACTTCATTCTCAAATTCTAGCTTCATATGTCGTATTTGAGGTAACGATACCTAGCAACCTTTAAAGCTTCGCGTGCTTTAATCGCTTTTTTTCGGACGCTCAAGGGTATTTTAAACAACGATTCTGATGCAGGTATAACAAAAATGTATAATTTTTAAGGCATGTTTCCCTACAGATAGGCATCATACAATATACTGATAACACCTCCTTAACAGATTCTTTGCAAATTCTTAACATCCTTAGAACGCTTTAATAGTGTATAAAGGATACGCCATATTAAGAGCCTTTAAGAGCTTTTACAAGTTCTTTTGAATTCCTTAAAAGCTTAAATCGCTAATAGTCTTCAACAGAAAGTCTTCAACAGTCATCTTTTAGATTCTCTTCTCCTTTCAAGACCTTTGTCTTTAAGATTGTTGCTGAGACCTCTTCCCTTGCCCGCCCTAAGACCTCCACACTAAAATCGTCACAGAGCTTTTCTAAACGATACAGTGTAGGTGACGAAACCTTATAGATCCCTAGCACCTCGATATCGTTTTTCATATGGCTCTAGGTATGACATAATTAATTTTAAGCAGTAGTACTCAAGTACTCTAGTAATCAACAAATTGTGGTCTTATTTAGTTGAGCAAGAAGTTAATAGAAGTTATGATAACTTACTGACACGTAGCTTCCGTAAATTTACTTGCATCAGAACAGGAACGAAACTTCCCATTAAATAACTGAACAGCAATCACAGCAAATATAAACTGGAATAGAAGATACACTATCAGAATGTTTATCACATTTTTTAATGAGTTCACTAAACAATCAAACACTGCTTTTAATTTGGGCACTCTTTTAATTGTTTTTAAAGGTCTAAGCACCCGCAGCACTCGTAGAGATTTGATGGTTGATAAATTGTGACTCGTTTTACTGCCTTCCGTTTCCCTGCAACAACATCGAATTAAAAATGTATCGCAGATGAATGTTGCCATACTTACATGAGATCGAAACCCATAGACACTAACGCGCAAATTACTACTATCGCATCCATAACGTTCCAGAATTCCCTAAGGTAAGAACCGGGGTGTAGTATTATCCCCAAATCGATGATTTTAAGTAACATTTCGATGGCAAAGACACCCGTGAATGCGTAATCCAATTTATCGAGGTAAGTATTTCTAGGAGAATTTTCCACTATCGGATCCTCGGCAGCTAACGCAATTGAACTCAAACAAATGACTATCATGATAAAAAAATCGAAGTAACGTAAATTCACCACCCAATGTGCTCCTCGTCTTATACTGTAAATTATACGATTAAACGACGTCTTTTCTATATTCACTTACATATTGGTCGGCGACAGAACAAACATGCTGGAGTACGGTAGCATTGGTTTAGGTCCTACTATTTCCTCTTCCTCGTCGGGCGGTGGTTTCTCGTCCTTTTTCTTTCTCCTCGTCGTCGGACTTGATGTACCTCCTTCTAAACGGGAAGTAGGTGACCCTGTTCAATGTAAACAGTTGCGGGCTTATAAAAACGATGGAATACTACCTTCCATTTTCAAGGCTTCCATTTCTTTTTCTAATTCTAACGCTTGCTTCTCTTTATTCTCCTCTGCCTGCTCTTCTTCGGCTGCCGTTAGCTCTTGAGCGTTTGCCAAATTGTCGACGGCAATAGCCAAGAATACGTTTAAAAGAGTATAATTTCCAAATAACATAAGGACGATGAAGTAGAGGGAATAAACCATATTTCCTTGCTTGGCAGCAATACCTTGATACATGACTTCGTTCCAATCTTCACCAGTCAATATCTGCAAAATTGAATGGGTGAACTCGAAACAGCGGAGTGAAGGTTATTACCTCAAACACAGTCAGCAGTGCAATAGGAAAAGTATTAAAGTTTGTCGGAGGTGTACCGGAATCAAAATTAAATTCACCCCCAAATAGTTGCATGCCCAGTAAAGCAAATATAAGTATAAACAGAAAGAGAAGGAACAGTAAGGATATAATGGAACGCATCGAATTGAGCAGGGAGATGACGAGGTTACGTAACGAAGACCAATACTTTGTAACTTTAAATATACGTAGCAGGCGTAGAGCACGCAATACTGAAAGACCAAAGGAACCACCTTTTACTTCTGACCAAATAACTTCAAAGATGGAACCGGAAATAACAACACAATCGAAACGATTAAATGCCGACTCGAAGTATATCCTCGGTCCAAGCGCGTACACTTTAATAAACATCTCAGTCAAGAACAGACCGAGGAACACATACTCGGCATAATCTAAAATGAACTCAGTTACTCGGTGGCGTGCCCATTAGTCTTACTTACAAAGGAAGGAAGTCAGCCAATCGGGTTGTCCATGGAACTCAACGGCTACGCAAACGGTGTTAAAGAAAACAAGTACTATAACAAACCAATAAAACCACTGCGCTTTCACCATGTGACGAATCCAAAAACGGAAACGCTTCTCCGCCCGCCAAAAACCAACGCAACCACCCTTGTTCTTCACGCGTGACTTCAGATAGGCGGCTCTCCCAAACCCTGTTAACAATACTATTTTCACTATGCAGTAACTCGCCTAAGATAGTTATAAAAGTATTTATCATTAAAGTGTAAGTTCAATCGAAGATTTATGCTCATGTTAGGTCAAGCAGAAACAATTCGACTTTGTTACATCTAAAGACCTACAAGCATGTACTAAATAACATCTGAATTGCACGCATAAACTGTATCTTTAAATATTACGCAACTGTTTACATCGCCATAAATGTAGTTGCAGTTGTTCTGATATTTTCATGTTAGTAGTGCAAGACATGATAGAGCAGAAAGATAGATTCTAGTGCATTAGTTTTCTAAAAATATACAATAAAGGTAGGTAGGTATTCTATTATCTGTCATCAGCGGCATGCCATCTAATTGGTATTCACCTATACATTGTTCATTGGATTACTGTTTCAATATTTCCAATCATCTAGAGAAGTAGGTTACTATAAACTACGTTAAATAATCTTATTACCGCTCTATTAGGAACGTAAAAGCATTCTATGGAAGTATAGGTGCTCTAAAACATATAAACGGATGACGGTATACTATCACAGACTGAAATAGCTACAATGCATTCTGTGAAATCTGTTGTATAAAGCCTTTTTTTTTGTATAAGTATCCACTGAGAGAAATGCGAGGTAGATTTTAAAGCTCCAACTAAAAGCTTTTGTATAAATTAATGCTTTTGAGTAGATTGGTTACGAGCAAATCAACTGGTAAAAACTCTACCATAATATAATTTTCCTTTCTGACATAATTAATGAGAGTAGTTTTCAATTCACACAAAATGATATTAGATCGTTAATTACAATATTATAGTATGCATGTGTCAAAGGCTGCGAGGGCAATTGTAATTGTGAGGATTGATTGAAACAAATAAATTGGTACCTATTCAGTGTATAAAGAATGTGTTTTTTCTTGGAGACTAATTTAAATAATTCTTAATTTGCACTTAGCATTATGAAAAATTGGATAAAAGTTTTAATTCTATGTGCTTCATATTTGAGTGGAATAATAATCGAAACGCTGAACGTTTAATTGCTTTCTCAACAGAACTCTACGGTTTACAATTTTGGTAGGTATATTTTGAACAAAATCAAAGACGGAATTATAAAGTTGTCTTGAGGAACTAGACACAAAAACTTATTCCGTAGGTGAATGTTATATTCAGTAAAGAAACTTCCCCATGAAACATGGTTTATACAGAACCTATAGCGTAGTATTTCCTGAATCGCACTCAAAGACTATACGAATAAAATTTGATAAAATTAGATATTTAGATATATAGATATTTTACAACGTGTGCGGGCCTGGACAGTTCAACCTGGACAATACGCTCCCGAATAATCTGCTTCGAGATAATTCGCACCCAGAGATTTCGCTCCAGGGATATTTCGTACCCTGGATATTCTGCATCGGGAAAATTCGGACCCTAAACGTTCACACTCGAACATATTATACCCTGGAAACCCGGACAATTCGAACACTGACGTAATTCCCAACAATTTTCGCAAATAATTTGGCATTTGCATTATTAGCATATGGAGAACCTGCTGCGTAAGGGGAATTCGCAAAGGAATTTACGGGGTGTCTTGAAAGTATGGAATAATGTACCTATGTCTCTGTAAATATTCACTTTAGGGAAAAATATTTGACATAAAAGTTATTTGGCATTCCATTTCGCCACAAATGGCCTCTCTGTCGAAGAATATAAAATATTAATACCGTTTTATAATGAAAAGAACGACCCTTTTAAAAAATACAGAAAAAAACATAGGGGCGTTTTTTCTAATTTCCCGTTTTTTACGATATCGGTATTTCATCCGCTGTTACAAAAAGCTCCGTCGGCCGTTTTGTTCTGGAGTGCTTGATCTCCCCTTGCGATAATTGTAAAAAATAATTCCCTGCATGGCCATATTCACCTAAAAATGTTTACTCCAATGCTCTACCTTATTATTGAAATACAACTGCTTGTCATTTTCATTTGCGGACCAAACCATTTTTTTATATGTTAAAAATAAGGCAGAAAAGCGCCCTTCTGAATTCAGACGGCCGTTGCGACCTCTGATTCAAAAGAGGTACTCATTGATATAACGTTTCCAAACTTATCAGCGACTTTGTATATGTTTTAAGAGAAAGAGAACGCACAATTGGAACAGTATTCGATTTGATTGAGAGAAACAAGATGCACGAATCAACATTGCAACTTTATTTTCTGAAGAATTTACTTAGATCAGTCGAGCTTTCGTGAATATTTAGGAGCAAATTTTCTACAATAGTTCACATATCATGGGTAAAATAGCAGAATGAGTTAGTCCCAAAGATCTAGCAATCTTTTCTTGTGTCAGGGATATTGTAAGTAATTAAATAGTTTCTTGCCTATTATAAAATCATGCCTCAAGAGAACAGGTGTTCAGTACGTTTAAAGTTGATTATAGTATATTATATTATATTATAAACTTGACTTTAATTATGATTAATTTGTTTGATCTCGGAAATTTGAAATAATCAGTCCTGCGATGTATCGCTAACGTTAAACTTAAACGTCAATCTGTCAAAAACGTCATTTTGCCTATACTAACGCAAGATAACCTGCACGTTAAGTTTGACGTTTCTGATACATCACAGGGTTGATTATATGCGTAATAACATTAACAGTACCTAGTTTGCGATGGATAGATTAAAGCCCCTTTAAAAGAGATCGGTTCTTAAAAGTGAATTCAAGCTGTAATGAGAGCATTTATTTGCGTTAAATTTTTTGCGAGAGAAGAAGTTAAAAAAAGAGCCAAGGTTTCATGAACATTCCACCAAACAAACATTCCTCACAAGTTTTTATTTTGTCGATTGTAATACGGCAGGCTTTTAGTAATCTCACATGTTCGTCAATGAAGTATTTGTTCTAAATTGTGTCTGAGCGCCATTCTCTGGTTTTGGTTTTGAATTACACGTTGGAAATAGGTCGTATTAAGTTACTTTTGCAACTTTGCAAATTAAGCGCAGCTTGGTAAAAATAAGTTGACTTTACATAATTCTGAAGCTAAGTGTCTAGCCTTGAACGAATGAACTAAAGAAAATTAATAAAATATCACCGTCAATACTCCACCATTAAGTAGGCGTTAAAGATTTTTTATAGGTAAGAAATGAGATGGCCATCTCAAAAAAAATATTAATTATCCCAAATTGTGACCGGTATATTTTTAATAAATAAACAATTTTGTAAAAAAGAAAAAGCATTCTTAAAAAGCACTTAACACTTTCTGATTTTCGTCAATATACATTTATATGACCTTTTGGTGTTATTATTTTGCTGAAGAGTAAAAAAGGAAGAGACCCATTTGTAGTAAATTTTCAGATTAAAGCACAGACCTCTTTCGCAAGCAAGGGGGATTAAAAGAGATTTAATGGACAATCATAAGGGCTAGTCGACGGCATTTAAATAATCTGTATATGATACAGTTTTCGTGTTGCAATTTCCGGTTTTATCAAAACAAAGGGAAGTCTCAAAAAATTAATTGTGGTAGCTTAAATTTATTCAATTAAGCAATTAAAGAATGGTGATTGTGAGTTATATTCACTGTATATGCAACAGTGAATTAGGATTCATTATTATTTTACGCCAATATGTTAATTATCAATTCTTTAGTACAGTGTCGGGTTGATTAAATTCAAGGCAGTCTCCCTGCTTTGTTAGTGGCCGATGTCAAGGTGAGGACTACTTCTAAATACCGCAGTCTTGCTGCAGGAATCAATCGTCTGCGAAGTAAACGAGAAGTACCTACGTTAGTGTCAACAATAGTTCATTGAATATTTGTCTCTGCGAGTGTTTAATAATTAAGTGAGAGGGAGAGGTTGCTCTTTCAGTAAAAAAATATCAAGTGGTGTCCACTTTCTGTTAAACGAACGTCTTTGATGTATGTATGTTCTGGCGTTTGATTAACAGCTTGAGCCGGGGTCCTTTAGGAACGTACATACCAAATTTCAGATTGTTAGATTAGGCGGTTTATTTTGAGTTAATTGTTAAGCAACATCGTATGTGTAAAATGTTTGGTTGCGTTAAGGAATGGAGTAACGAATCAATCTTAATTTTTTGTATTTAAGAACATTTAGACCGAATGCATCTCCACTAAAGTAGAAAAGCATTGACTAAAATCTACAGATTTTAACAAACGTTTTATACACCTTAACCTGGTGCATCTTTTTTAATGTAAACCTATTTAAGAAAATTCTGCAGTTACTCGGAACGTTTGATTGACACAAGAGCTTTAGAAAGGGTAGGGAAGTTGCCATTGATGATGGAGTGAGTCGTTGTCCTCGCACATCTCGCAAACACCAAACTGTACCAAAAATTCTGGAGGTTGTGAGCGTTTATCGTCGTTTGAATGTTGTTGATGTTAATAAAATAGTAAACATTGATAAATAGGCAGTTAGGCATATTTTAAGGAAAATAGTGTGCGTGAAAATGGTGCCAAAGCTTCGGAGTGATGAGTAAAATGGAACGTGAAAAACGTTTTGCTCTGATACAGGGCGGTGCATATGTCAGTTTCCCCATCTAAACAGGAGAAGTATAATTTAAAAAAGTTACAGGTGCATAACTGCACTGGGGCTCACATCTAACAATCCACCACAACAGAAAACTATGACTGTTCAAAGTGTTGCTGCCAACGCAACACTCTTACCAACCTGTTAAAATGTAATATTCTACTTGATCGGAAAACTGACATGTCACCCTATATTTTGGAAACCATCCCTGGAGAACCCGGTTTCCTAAAAAAATGTGAACTTGCGAAGGTACAATGATTTATTTAATATGACCTATCAAAACAAAGAGTTTCTTTGTCCAGGATCAAAAAAATCAAGATAAGCAACCCAAAATTTACGGGGATGATGACCTTTTTCTCGAAACATTCAAAACATCATCCACATCTGAAAACCTTACATGATATTGTCAGAGAAAGACCTTCAGCAATCGAGATTCAAATACAGCGGCGTAAGGATAGGGCCAAGTTTCATAAGTGTAACAATAAGACCTTTTGTAGCGACATTTTTATTTAATAGGCAAAGCTCTAATGCACAATGGTCCAGCCCAGATTATTCACCAGTTTGCTTTACATTTCCGGCAATGAAACTAACATTATTAAAATAGCAAAAAAGTCTTGCTTTTGCTACCTTAAACTTATACGTATAAAGTGAATAACGAAAATATGATAAATTAAAAAGCAAAGCACTTGAAACTTTACGTTGAAAAGTATTTCCGACTACTATCAGAGCTAATTAACTTTCCCTAATTAAATTTTAAAATTTAACAGTCATACTAAATTTTAATTATGTACCTTATTCAATTAATGTTTTTGTAATATTAATCTTATGAAGATGTATCGTCGAACGTTGTTCTTGTATAGTATTTGATCACTTGATTTGGTCGTAACCAACCCTTTTTCACTAATGAAAAAAAGGAACGATATGTACTGTAAGAGTTATGAACGTGTTGAATTTTTAATTCCCATTGATCAGTGGAAGGCTCTTGTTCGGTCACAAAATCAGACTCCTTGTGGATATTTATATTTGTGTATTCACGGCGTAGGTATAAACAGCGAGTGGTGAGTTCAGAAAGTACAATTTGCAATGAAGGATGTACCTACATGTATGTAGTTTCACGAGTGTCACAGAATGGATTGTAACATTGAAAGCTAAGTTTAACCCGCACTAGCAGCTACAGAAACTGCGATAGTATGTCAGCTAATAAGACTAATTTTTAGTTTACATTGCATGTAGTCCAGTAGTCTGCGTACCTTTCAGTTTTTTCTTAGACTCTGTAAGAAATACTGTGGATTAAAACATGAAATCAGTTAGATAGTCACAATAAGGTTAAGTAGAGATTAGTGGTGCAAGTATTTATACAAATTAAATTATTTTTATAGTGGGCCTTTGTTTAATTGTTCCCCTGAAACTGTGGATTTATAATGTAAAGCTTTAAAATGTTATTAAACCGGTGAATCGTAGTGCAGTAAAGGGAGCCACTATAAAAAATATTTAAAGCTCACCATCATCGGCCATATCTTCTTCTTGTTCTTCCTCTTCTGTATCTGTACTTTTACTTTTACCCATCTTTTTTAGTTTCTTTTTCTTTGCGGCGCGCCTTCTTGCCTCCATTATGTGCATTTTCTCTTCTTCCGTTGTTCGCTCCTCGGCTAGTATAACTTCCTCTGCACAGATTAATTGGGTTTGGTTATTGTGGGTAAATTACGAACAAAAAAGTCAAGCAGGCAGTTCTAGCGCCCCCCTTACCTGCTTTGCATATCCACTGCACGTATCCGTTGAGCTCCCTTTCTAATTGCGCCGCCCTTCGCATCTTTAAAAACTCTTGCCGATTTTCTACTTTCTCTCTCTCTTTCGCAAATTCGCTAAATAAAAGCAACAGTTATAAGTCTAGCAATACTACAACTAGCAACGGAAGGAACTACGTATTAGCAAGTTCTACAAGGGCGTTGTAGATCACCTGCTTCAGTAATCCAAGTGAGATATCGATCGAGAGATTCTTTGAATAAATTCTTTGATCTGGTTTTTTGAAATTTTGCACGACGCTCAACACGCAACCGTTCATTAGAAAATTCTCTAATAATTTAATCTAGATGATTACGTAAAGTTAAAGGTAAGATAACGTACCCACTTAGAACACCGAGTACCAAATTCAGCATAAAAAAAGAACCCAACACGATGAGTGGTACAAAATACATCCAATTGAAATGGTTCCCAACGGCATCGTTCATCTACAATCCATGTAAATTTTCTTCAAATTCTGCAAACAATGCTTACCCAGTATAAAATGGCCGTCCATCCTTCCATAGTGATACATTGAAACACGGTCAACATGGCTAACCCGATGTTATCAAACGAAGTAATTCCGTTATTTGGACCTTGCCACCGTTCTAAACAGACTGAGTTTCCGTCACGACACCAGTTGCTCCCGTACTGTTCTGCCTGCGATTTATTGTCCGTGTTACAAGGAAACGCTTCTTCACCTTCTTTCGCAATTAGATCTACAAATGGGAGTTTTAGGGTTAGCAGGAGGAAAGCAATTCGTACTAACCGATGTCGTACAGACTATAACACGTCCTATGCAATGCTCCCGAATAGAATTCCAAACCAATGATTGCAAAGATGACGATTGCGAAGAGCACCAACAACCCTATTTGCAACAGTGGCGCCATTGCCTTGATGATAGACTTCAAAACCACTTGCAGACCTAAAGTACGATTACAGCTATAAGTTGTGAAGATGTGATATCGAGGTGTGAGTATATGTGTGAAACGCGAAGAATATGAAAATAAGAAAGATTAGTCTAGACATGCAACTCTACAACATCGACATTGCACTACAGCGTTTAAACTAAAAGAAAAGTTGCGAGAGAGAACTATTGCATCTACAACGAGCTACTTACTAGGGATGCCAGAGACTAGCTTGAGAGGTCTTAGTACTCGAATAGCGCGCAACGTGCGCAGGTCCACAGATTCGCTATCCTCAGTGTACTTCGTCAGAAACCTGCAAAATACTAGCCTCTAGCTCTACTCTCATCACACTACATTCAGATACTAAGTTTAGTGTACTAAATCCTAAAACAATTATGTGTTGTATATTTATCTTAAATAAAAACTAAATTAGACACTAACTTCTAGGGAGGGTATTTATTATGCCTATTATTAGTACTCCGATAATTAATCGACCAAATCAATCATCACTTACGATAAACAATGCTCGAAATGCAAGTTCGGTAAAATAATTTAAAAAGCAACTAGACAGTAAGAGTATAACGTATTAAAGAAGTGAAAGAAATGCTTAGTGTTAGAAATAAGCTCGTTCCAAATTACACCACCAATGTTCCTACTCTTACTTTTCGAAATATCTACCAGTAAAACACTATCGAGCAGTGTCTACCTACAGCACACTCATGCACACTTTGAAACACACACGTTGATCCCATAAAAGTGTTTAATTTCAATAAAAAAATGATTTATCTTCAATGAACCGTAAATACATCGTAATGTATTTCATGTTTAACTCCGAAAAGTATTCTAAAACTATCTCATTCAGTCTAAGACTAAATTCTGCACTACTGCAGGCCCGAACTTCAAGAGCTATACATGGAGAAGCGATGGTGTCCTTACTTGGGATCCTAGACACCAGTTTCAAAGGCCGTAACACTCGGAAGGACCTCAACATCCGAAGATCAACATCTACGTTTGCTTCCGCAAAAATTGTCATAGACCTAACAAATTCAAACGCTGACAAAATACCTTAACGTATTAGGTCGTGTGATATTTTTTTAATGGGAATTTGGTAACGAGTTTCGTAGCTGCCTTACATCAACAAACTTACCCTGTGAGTACAACAAAAAAATCCATTATGTTCCAGATATTTCTAAGGTAAGAGCCTCTGTGCAAAACAAAACCTAAAGCTAATATCTTCAAAGCCGCTTCCACACAGAAGATACCTAAAAAGTATTCTTCCGTGTCTTCCTGTAAAATATCATTATGATAAAGTTGCAATCACAAAGGATCGGGTCTTACTAGTCTTAGTGCTAGCATTGTCTTGTCGTGGTTGGGCAAGTGCTCTTCAAGCGCAAGCACCACACAGTTGGCTATGATTGTCAAAAGCACTGCATACTCAAACGGAGTAATTGTTATTAAGGAAAATAAAGACGAAAGTTTGACATTAAAGTAATTATTAAATATTACCCCTATGCAAAGGATATATAATTCGTTTCAAAAAAATTAATTCGGTTGAATTAATTAAAACAATCCCCCAAAATGTATTCATGTTCAAAAAGTTATAGTTAAATGCTTGAAAGTGCTAGAGGGATCACTCATTCAAAGTATTAAATTATAAATGTGACATTCTGTGCTTCATTCTACGTGGACCGTTATGGTGGAAACATTATCAAAAATTAAAAAAAAACTGCATATTGCTGAACAGAGAATTAAAATCCCTATCAATGTGCCAAACGAACCTCATTCCATGTAATGTTTTCGAAGAGGTGTCACTCAGGGGGTAACATTTTCACGCTATAAATCGACTTGTTTCAGGCTTTTTCCCAATACCTAGTACATAATATCACTTCATAAAGTGTACAAATATCTTAAAATTAAGCCAGCCATTCGTGCATGAACATTTAATGGAATTGATAGTTCAATGCTACGAAGTTTCGTTAGTTTTTGAAAGTTCTTATAAAATCGTTTTTGCTTTCACCTTTCCATCTTTAAAAAATTAAACATTGAATATACGAATTGTTAGTCCAAACGCAAGGATTTCGAAAACTATCTAAAATAAAAAGATGTTTAATTATTCCTTGGATTCCATCTTTAACAGTCGAAATCGATAGCCTTAGAAGAATTATACAACTTTCAATAAAACGTGTCAATAAAATATAGTCTACTTCAATCACCTTTAATTATATTATGCAAAGAATTTCAATTTTACGAGCTCATGTAAATTTTTGTTTTGAATTTTAGAAGGGGGTAATTGTGCCGGTAAGGGGAAAACAAATATTCCTTGAAGAAACAAACTCTGGAATTTGATGCTGCAATTAAAAAGTTTCGTGGTAATTTCCCGCGTGACAGATGAAAAAGTTGAGAAAACCAACACAGAAAAAGAAATCCTAGAGCGTCCCAGAAAATGACAATAGCACGACCAAAGCTGTACAGATTGGGATATAGGAGGACAAAAAATCTGAAGTACTATGACAGATTCACAATGGTATAATGGAATGCCATCTAGGAGTGACAAAAACCTTGGTTAAAGTGCGGGAACGACTCTACTGGGCGAATTGCAAACAACATGTGACGTGTAACGGGATTTCTGTATACAGGAAATTTTTTAATTTATAAGAATGCGCAAGCTATATTTAGGTACCCATGTAATATTGAACGTACGAATGTCTGTGTTTTAGCAATGAAAGGAACTTATGACTGTTTTATGCGGTTATACGTGCAATTTTAGTTCACAAGTTATTATTATTATCATGGTAGGTGTATCTTGTGAGAACTCAGGTTTAGCCTAGTTAACTAATCGCACGGATTAAAATCAAGTAACGATTAGTGTCTGTGTCTGTGTCTGGTGAAGTTATGTAGGGTCCTAAAAAAATAAAATAAATATAATAAAAATAAAAATTATTATTATGGTCGGTGTTTCTTGTGAGAACTCAGGTCTAGCCTGGTTAACTAATCGCACGGATTAAAATCAAGTAACGATTAGTATCTGTGTCTGTGTCTGGTGCAGTGTTATGTAGGGTCCTTAAAAAAAAAAGCCACGTGCATTGGCAATCTAGGGATAGTATGTAATTCATACTTACCAACATAGGTATTGATGGGCACAATAGCCAACGCTATCAAAAAAGAGGAAAACAAAACAAAACAGAATCATTATAATAATTCCTGTAATTTTATTAAATGGATTTTATTGCGTAAGTTATTATTACTATTATTATATACGGAATGAGGTAATTAATTATCCGTCATTGTAAGAGTTAGGCATCCCATGGGTGGCACTCCATAGGTAGACACGTTTTCAGTTCGCAACAACAGCCCCTGGCCTGTGTGACCTAACGACAGTCATTGTATGACTGCTGGGACCATCGGTTTTACATGCCCTCCGAAGGATGGTAGTCAGGAGATGTCCTGTACCCCTAAAAACTAGCAAGTTGTGGGATACGAACTCAGTTGAAATGACAAAAGCCTGTAACAGAGGTGCACACAACTTATAAACATCTCGTCGCAGTGAGATAGGCGGCACTTACTTACAGTAGATACTGAGCGAAGGGATATAAGTATAGGCGAATTCGTCTGGAAAGTTAAGTGATTCCACGGGCAACCGCAGACGTCGAATTGCGCTAGTTTTCTTGCGGATTCGAATCGTTCGTTGTCAAGCGAATTGTCTACACGGCAAAGCACATAAATTACACCGAGAAATAAGTTGATCCCCATAGAGCATTAGCAGCGCACGGACGAAATCTCCAGCCGCATTTTTGAGAAAAACAAATACGCGAAGCCTGTCACAAGGCCACACCCGCGAACCATCCAGTCCGTCCGGCCAGAGGCAGGGAAATCAGTAATTCTCCAGTCAGTCAGTGTACCTTTAACTGGATTCAAATCAAGGAGCCCGAATCAAGACCATTTTACATTGAAACATCCACGAAAGCGCATCAAGAGCTCCTAGTGGATGTGGCCTTACAAGTTGGACTGGCGCATGTTGCTTTAACCCAAGAGGAATCCTGCAACCGATTCGTAAGACGGTGGATAATTTTTTCTTCAAAAATTGAAGATACACGAGGTGGTCGTCGTGCAAGTAACGCGCTATACAAGAAGAGTTTCCTGGGACTGTGTCTCCGCTACAACCGTCATCCGTGTTGCGAGACGCAACAGTTTTAAGAGAGGTGCGTGTAGCGGATATTCCAGAAAACTCGATAGAAATCGAGACCAAGAGAGATTAGCTCGGCAATAAAGAACGAAGGCGGATGTGAATAATGTTTCCAGAAAATATGACGCGAGTGTTCGAGAACAATACAGAAAACTCGAGAGCGTTCGGAAGCGGTCGAGAAAGAGGAGTGTTTGCTATATAAGCAAATCGAATTGTGATTCGGGACAGTTCCAATTTCAACGTCGAAGTAATAAATAGTTCGCGCTGTTACAAATTGTGTATGTGTTGTTTTTTTTAATTATTTCTTGAAGTTAACGTCACGTTTGTGCTTTTATTTCGCTGATTTGTACGGACGATTCGTTGTCGATCAAAATTCTGCTTTTACTAGTGTAAGGTTATTGGAATTATTAATTACGTAGTACATTATAGTAGTATACGAGTACCCGAGTGGAAAATTACTACAACAATATTACTACCGCAATATTTACGTTTTTGTTTGTGTTATCTGTTACAGATAAGGCAGAAAAACACCCTTCTGAGCTCAAAAGGCCGGTACCCGAGCTTACCGTGTGATTAGCTTCGTGGTAATTTGGTCACGTTTGCTCAAAGTGTGTCAAGTAAAATTTCATTTTTGGCAAATTAACAGAACACAATTGCTCTAACACGTCTAATTTTCCTTGAAGGAAGACAAAATTGAACTCTACTTTAACGTCTCAAATTTTGTCTCTTATTTTTCTTTAGGTGTAGCCGAGGGTGTAGCCACCTCCTTGAAAAATTTAAATGCCACGATGGGTCGTGTGATACATCATTCGGGCCAGATGTAACATGAATGAAACAGGGAAGTAAATAATTGAAATATAGATATTTGGAACACTAAGCAGTAATTACATTTTTCTTGATCCACAGTGTATGATGATCAACACTAGAATTCGGACCACATAAAAATAAGAACCAAATTTCCAAATTTGCATTGGCATTAATCGATAAATGTTAATTAAGTTTTATACTACTTACGGCCAGACTGATCTGGAAAGAGAAATAAAATTTGCATAAAAAGGATATGGCCACTCGATAATGAAGCGCGTACATCTACGGATGATGTTTTCTTCGGACAAGATGAACAGCGAGGTGGGGCCTTGTCCCCCCGCCGTGTTCGCGCCCCCCATCCTATCAGCTGCGCCCACCCCCGCCTGCTGCTGCTGCACCGCCTGAGCCGCCGCCTCCTGTGCTGCGGCCAACCTGGAAGATAAACAGGATTAGTTATTTGCGAATTCAGATTTTAATAGACAAAATCTTCATTGGAATAGGAAAATTGTACACCTAACAAACATGCCTATTTTTGTATTGGATTTATGTGTGAACGTAATTGTAGAGGTGCCATTCGAACGAAAAATTGTCTGTTGCTTATTGCATCTTTGAGTCAAAGGCAATTGTTTAATTGAGGATTTTATATTTTTCTGGCTTAAAGTAGATTATAAAACAGGATTGCATGCAGGTATATCTTTTTATACATTCATATATTAAAGATTTAAACTATTTATTGTGATCGCAAACAGCCCCCATGCAGTCATACATATCATAGACTATACCTCAGCTGGAGGCTTGTTTCTGCCGATTCAAAGCTTTAAAAGTAAACAACAAAACTACCAGACGTTTATTACTCGCGCAACCTTCATCGCCGCAATTTTTAGGAGAGGAAAGCTTGCGAATATGCAATTATGAGAAATAATAAAATTTTAATTTCAAGCCCTTAGTAGAATATTTTAATGACGTTCTTACATAAAAGTTCTGTTACCTACGTTTATAAAATATGGCATACCTAATGAATTTTTTACTTTGATAATAGACCTTACTATATTCCTCTCAACGATTGCAATTAGCGCATACATTGTACAATCCTTTCGGATACTTAATTCTCAGTTACTTTGTGTTAGGCGGCGACATAATAAAAGCTGATGAAGGCTGAGGCTGTAATCAACATATCGTATTTTTCAAGAAAGATATAATTGAAGCATTATCTTGTTGACGGGGCGAGGCGGTTTCTGAAATGACATGACGAGGAAATATTGATCGATGTCACTTGTCTAAAATGAGATATGGAAATATTTGATGTACCTAATTAGAATAATCAAATTAGTCGATGAGAACAAACATGCGAATTCAATCATTATTCAATTAGATTTCTGTTTATGTGGTATTTCGAGATAAGGGCCTTAAACTCATCTACAATTCCGAAGTATTGAGAAACTAACCGAATAGTAGGTATCGTGGGAACAGAAGTGATTCATTAATCCATCTGGTCGAGCTCTTAAGGGTAAAAGACATCTAATGATGTAGAGTTTGACCTACTAAAATTCGTCTATGAAGTCCAAACCGCCTAAAAAAGGAAAAACATAAATTTTTTAAACAGTTTCTTTTTTAATTATTCTTTGTTTCTTATTCTTTCTTATTCTAGTGGCAGTGAATATCGTCTGCACATTTTACATTGCACACTGTGGGCAAGAACGCAAACACAATAGCAGTTGGTTAAAACGGCATTTTATAATTTGTACTTTTTTATAATATCGCTTATAAAGTACATTACTTTCAGATACCTTAGCGAATCTGACCATTGTGTTAGGGTAGATTAGGCATTACATAAATTTCCATTCGTCGAAATTTAGAGGGTCGATTTTTCAATAAATTATATGGCTAGCGGTATTTCAAGAATAAATCTGTAAGCATTTGGTGGAATTGATGAAGATTGTCCTTTCTGCGTCTTTTAATTTATGTAGAGCATTGTTTTTATAATGGGTACTGGATGTCTGGAGACGACATGTCGTTGTAACTAGAGTTAAAGTGGGGATTTTAATTGGCATTATCTAAACTGCTGAATAAGCATGAGATCATTTCAGTTTGACATTGACAGCTGAATCTGTTTGTTAAAATTTACGAACCCATTCATTTATAGCATGAGTGGTAGGAACTCTGCCATGTCCACCAATTTTGAAATAAAGTCGGAAATGTTTCTGAGCGGCAACCACACAGTTATATTGTGACAACATTAAAGTGATCTTCACTATTAAACAAGTGAATAAATTAGATCCACATTCCTTTCGAACTAGAGTACTCCAAGAAATATCCATTTCACAGAGGAAACCGATTCATTGTTGTATGCGACGGAAATCACCCGCTTCAAGTCAGTATGTTTTAAGAAAGGTATTTTTTAATTTTCAATTTCTCATTATACAAACTAAATTGCTTTGTTTGGATCCGTTTATTAGTATTTAATACTGTAAATCATAGGAGAACAAATTTCATTGATGTAACATAGTAATTAGAATTTTGCTGCACCAATTTGTGGAGATTGGCTTATGAAGACATTTAATAATTATGTGTAACGTCTTCGTTTAAGGACTCTATTAATAGAGATGTAAATTCATTTCAAGTAATTTCCATCGAAAATTCCGTTGTTTGTCCCTGTAATTGGGCCCGAATTTAATCATTTAAAATAGAAGCTTTTATAATAGGGAAACTTAAGAGAAGTTTTGATTTGCTTATTATTATAAAAAAAGGAGCTGATCAGACAAAAACGTAACCAATAAAAAAGTGACAAAGTGGTTAGAGGTAAAAAAATTAATCCAGATAAGAATAAGGAGTGGATTCTGGATTAAGAATGATTTTATTTATCAATATGTTTGTGCTGATATCGCGTTCAAATATTTATTGTCCAGCAGGAAATCAGAAATCAAACTTAAAAGATGTAATAAGTGTAATGTAGTGTACTATAGCAAAGGGAAAGGAGCAATTTTTTATTGGGAGTGATACCAGATACAAAAAATCATTTCATATAGGGCTCGGCGGAGGTCATTTTAAAATTCTTGCCAACAATAGGCAATATCAGATATGGCGCCGTTAAATCTGTCGACGTGGATTGCTATAATATCTGTACGGTATTGTGTACTCACGAGGCGGAATTACAGAAAAAAATAATGTGAAGGGTTTCAGCCTCAGGTAGCGACGTAGGTACTATTATATCGTGCTGCCCTTAAAAACCCCCAAAATCAATTTAAAGAATCAAAAACTTTGCAGATTCATCCGATTCCAAAGAAAGGTTATTGCATTATTGCTGAACATGATCTCCTTCAGGTTATTTTTCAAAAAATCCAGCAAGCTGCTTAGTATTCTTTTCAATTCAAAGTTTGGATATCTGAAAGGAAAGATCATCCTAAGCAATATGGTGCAAATTTAATTGAGGTTTTCGCTGTTACGATGAATATGCTAATAAAAGGAATTGAATACTATTGGGTCAAATGTAAAACGAATAAATTGCCAATCAAATTATTGCCAATTATTGGGCGCATGCCTGTTGAGGGCCCAAAAACAAGAGAGGGATAATAAAAAAAAAAAAATAAAAAAAAATTAATTAATTATTAAATTAATTGAAAAACTATAATTTCAACGTATTTGTGTTATGTTTAAGGGGGTGTATGGATTTGGTGTTTAATTTAGGGGGAAAAATGTTGTATAAATTTACGTAGTTTAAAAGATTTTTGTTTAAATAGCCGCAATTTTTTTATTTTCTTGTAAAATTACGTTAAGAAAAGAAAAGATAATAATTTGTAAACAGATGGTTGCAAGTGCTGTTCTTGTGTTTTGAGCTATAGAGTTTTGTTTCTACGTCTAAATTTTAGCACAAGATTTAATGTGGGCACGTCCATAGTGGGGCAATGCTGTAGTAAAATCAGTATATTACCTAAATTTTAAAAGTTTAGGTGTTATTTGAAACTGCTAAGCTTTGACCAATAGCTCGATATAATTTAATAAATAAATAAATTATAAAATTTCTTTTTATATGAAATTTTGGGGATAAATTTCTAGCTATGAACCTGAATGTCGATTAATAAAAAAATGCAATCTGACTCGTTTCTGCTTATCTACTTCGCATAGGTGCCATTTGTGTAGGAGTAATGGCCGTTTGCACCGACAAATTTAAGCGGAGCTTTGCTTAAGCGTAGCTTCAAATCCATGGCAACGATTATTGAGACAATGATTGCCACGGATTTTAAGCTACACTTAAGCTAAGCTCCGCTTAAATTTGTCGGTGGAAACGGCCATTAGGCTGTTTTATTATCTCCTTATTAGCATGAATGTCAAATTTAGAATTTATGCGCCCTCACACCTTATGTGTAACGGGCGCATTAGGTTGGATTTGATTTTTTCGATTTTCCCGCAAGAAATAAGTAGAGCAGAATGTTTAAGCTGTCCAGGTTCTAAAGTGTCTTCCCAGCAAATTTTGGTCATGATGATGTAAAGAATGTCTTTGGATGGTTGGAGTCAACGAAATATGTGTCACTGTTGCGCGGGTGTTTTCAATGACCTTTTTGTTCTTTGATTGATTTTAGCGTCTAGATATTGGGAGTAAGAATTGGATTACATTACATGAAATAAGGTCAGCGTGGAACTTGCTGAGCGTGCAGGTTCTGAAAAGAGATGGAATTGATTAACAGCCGTTTGGGATTGGTGGCCCAGGGAATTTAACCAATAGAAAGGGGTTGGAAAGAATACTTTCTCGACCATCGGACAGAGATTGCAAGATTTTAATTAAAAGGGAAATTAGAATTTTTTTGGTGTGAAAAATTGGAATTTGTGTTTCTTGAGCGATTATTTCGAGGCATAAGGGTGGTTCGAGAAAAGTAAAATTTACGCCGAGTTATCCACCGAAGAAGTTACGTCTTTGATATGCACAAAAGATTACTATTACTTCATAAAACGAAGAGTAAATGTAAAAATTAGTTAAGTACTGATTGAACGCATTCTTCACTACGCGATAAAAAAAACTTTTCATCAATAAACCGCGCGGAATTTAATAAAACAGTATCATGCGGCGAAATTATAACTAAAACTGTCCATCTTTTCAACAATAAAAGTTCAAAATTGATTTTTGTATATACATCACAGTTTTCGTTCAACATTTCAAGGCTTTGTGAAACGAAGGGAAGTTCCAACCCTTTCCTATATAATAGTTCATTACACATGTTAAAAGCTCTTATCTTGTAGTATTGTTATTACCTACATAAACTGTACCTTGTGCATCGAACTTAGGATAAAACTATTTAAAAATGACTAAGGGCTCAAGAAAAATTTTGAACAAAACTAAGGCATCAAGCCTATCGGGGATTGGCAATCTTAGTTGAGACACTTTACATACTTCTTACTGAGAGAAAGATAATTTTTAATGAGAGAGATGCGATTTACAA